AGGGGAGCAACTAATTATCTATAACGTTTAAATGACCATTTTCGACATTATTATGCTGGGGTAACGCACACGAAATAAATTAGTGATGTGCCGGATCGTTAACAAAGTATATCCGCGGATAGGGATCCGAATACGGATATTTGGTGTCAAGATCCGCGGATACGGATACGGATCTTAAGTTTCTTACTCAATCGGAGCCCGTGACCTTGATAGTTGTCGCCACTTGACGCTTTGCCGTTGATATTTAAATATTTCATTATTATAATAAGCTAATATAAAGATGTTTGATTGATCTCATTATAAAGATAGCTCTTTCAGTACCTACGACCTGCCTAGTTGATTTAGTGTAGTACGATAAATGAATGCAATACAAAGGTGCCAAATATTTGTTTTAAGAAATAAAAAGTAATCTGAACAGAATTCAATAGTTTTTCATAGCTACCTAATAACCATTATTCAGAGTTATTTTAAATTTACTGAAAACCTCTGAAGTGCATATTAGTAACATTATAAACAACAACTTTTCTTCTGGACTAACACCGAAAACGAAAGAAAAAAAATTGTTTCTCCATACAAACTAACAACATTTGAATGGAGAGCCAATTTTTTTTCATTTTGACGTTGGCCAGAAAAAAGTTGCTGTTTATAGTGTTACAAACACATACCTAAGAGTTTTACAGTGAATACAAAATCACCTATATAGAATTTCATCTATATAATATGTATTGTAAGATCCGCCAAAAAAGTCACGAATACGGATACGGTTCTCTCTTCTCCCTTGGATATCCGCGGATACGGATATCCGGCACATCACTAAAATAAATGTTAGCTACACAATTAGTTATCTGGACTAGGTAAATATCTATAATCTTTCGATATTCGACTCTAGATGGCACTGCAAGCAAGTATCGGAATTAAGAACCATAATCTCAATGCGTTGTGCACCACTTGATACTAGATGGCGCCATCCTCCAGACACAACTGATTTTTGGCGACAAAGTTCGACTAAATTTGGAAGAAAACAGATCTTTGCTAGGTGCCCTAGTTTTTGACATACAAGCGTGGCCCTGCTGGGGAGACTCCAGCAGGGCCCCCTATAAACGCTTATAACTTTTGAACCAGTGACCGACAAATTATGATTTTCAAATTAGCGACAAAATTTATGTTATCAAAATTAAAACCCCTGATGGTGGCCATGCCAGGGTCAGTGACCGACAAATTAGCCACTAAATTTTTCTGTTATCAAATCCATGATGGTGGTCAAGCCAATGTCAGCGACACCTAAATAACAGAAATATTTTTGCCCATTTATCATATCTTCATTTTTTTAACCTTTAACTTCATAGCCTTTAACTGTCCACCACTGGACATAGGCCTCTCCTTAGAAAGGAGGTTTTGGCTTACTATACCACGCTGACCCGACAGGTTGGTAGGTACAGGGTTTTATTTCAAGTTTTCCTTCTCTTTGCAGTGCTGTTGTCCGTGTGCGTTACCCCAGAAAAATAATGTCGAAAATGGTCATTTAAACGTTATAGATAATTAGTTGCTCCCCTTCTGTAATTGTTAAGCACATTTTTAAATTTGTTTCACTTAAACTTTTTAAGTTATTTAAAAAAAACATTTCCTGCTGGGGTAACGTTTGAAACTTTACCGCAGCCAGACATTTTCTTTTTTAATTGTAATATTGAAATAAATTTTAGCTAAATAATTAGTTATCTGGACTAGGTAAATGTTACAACTTATTTGGTATTTGTATTTTCTTCGGCTGCGAAGTTATTCGAGATCCTGCTGGAGTAACGTTTGTGGGTTTGCTGGATCTCTGAAACGGGTAAGCGGATTGTAACCATCTTTTGTACATAACTTCTTAAGGATTAGTTTTAATTTGTTCGACAATAAAATAACAAAAATAATGGACCGTTTATAAATTATTTAGTTAAGTATGAAAACACTTCAATACGTCCTAACACTTTAAAAAAGACCTCTAAAGACTTACTTGAAACGTTATTCTATTGCTTGTAACTACCTTCAAATGTATACGAATTTTCGTAAGAATACTGTAAGTGACTAAAAAGTTATGATGAAATGTAGCTGTCCACGTTTACGATCACAATGTGTGCGGCCTTTTTTGGCCACCGATAAACCTGTGTGTGGATATATAAACTGAATGTTATGCCAATAATTAGTTGTTTAGTCCAGTTGTCTACCTGTAGAATTTCAGCGTCGTACATATAATAATTTACGAGATAATTAAATAAAAGTCATTAGAAGGTGCAAGTCCATGGTAATCCGACTATGTTTAGGTGGTTACAAAAAAGCGATCACCCAGTACATTGCGCTGTCTTTTAAATATTTAGTGTAATACACCTTACGATTTCGGTACAGTTGCGTACAGTGTTAAATACATTCAACATTTATTCATTAGTATTACCTATTATTTATTTTGTTTTTTTCCCTAATTAATCTTAAGCACTAGTTTCTTTAATTAAAATTTCTTTAGTCCTTTTTACTACCGGAGCTACAATCAACAGAAAATCTGCACTGATCCGCTAAAATTATAAATATGTAGATACATGTATGAACGATTCACCTGACTGCAATAAATCGAAAATTTAAACCAATAAGAAATCGTTTCATTTCTTTGATTTTTTTTTGTAAAGAAATAACACTAAAGTAATTGTATTTTATTTTGGGGTGTATAGAGCTTAGACTTGAATGCATCAAAATATTTAAAGCAACAAGTCATCTACAATAAGTTAAAATAGACCGAATAGTAGAAGAATACAGTTGTAAATTAGAATGCATCAACATTGCATCGCCCAACAGTCGTATACCTCGTAAGAGTAGGTAATATTGTTCTGTGGTCTATACCGAGAACCGAGAATTATCTATACCTATGTACCTACCGTTAAGCGTTGAGCCCGTGACTGTTGATTTCTGTTAAAAACGAACAGTTGTTGAATGATATTTTGATATAATAACGGTAATTTAATTTATCGAGTGAAAGTGATACATTTTTATAGATAAAATTATTGGTCAGATAATATTTGTCAATCAAGAATCGCTGATAATACATCCTTCGCTAGAACGCGGTCGGGGAGGGGCGAAGGGATACTTCATTGTTTGCAATTTGCATCTAGTGCACTAAACTTGACCCTTAGGCAGATAATATACGTGTTGTAAAGTACGTGTGCGCTTCCGCTTTCTATTTTTGCAAATATTTATCGTATTCTTGAGAGTTCTTCAATATGTGTGTACCTAATTACTAATAATGGGCATTAATGCTAATTCGATTCAATTTAAGTAATTGTCAATTCTTGTCTTAGGATATTAATTACTAATGCTAATATTGAAATTTCGTTCAGGGTGAACAAATTAAAAACGATCATAACTTGTAGGTAGGTATATCACTTATTACTAATTTTACATAAATAATTCATTTTATTATAATTTAACTCACCGCGATTTTGTGATCAAATATTTTATTTTCTCCAACATTATTACAGAAATAATGCAATACAGAGTTTGTTCGCGATATGCTAGCCTAAGTCGATTCATCACTTAAAAAAATCCCCATCTATTCACAAAATACCTATTTACAACGCATACGTTACACTCTTCAAAACTTAAATTACCTATACCTACCCTAAAATTAAACTTCAATTAACAAATACTACGCAGGTACCAATTCTATGAACAAATATAAACAATTCACCTAAACATTACGATAAAACAAAAGCATTCAAAACAATACCTAATCTCCCGGCTGATTACTAATTATGCAATAAACAATCCTAAATAAAAATTATTTAAAAAACATGTAGTTTTTTGTAACACTTATGTACATATCCGTAGTAAACTGGCAAATAATATCCTACATATTTTAAAAGCCAGCACAATGTACTGGGTGATCGCTTTTTTGTAACCACCTAAACATGGTCGGGTTACCACGGTCTTGCACCTTCTAATGACTTTTATTTAATTATCTCGTAAATTATTATATGTACTACGCTGAAATTTTACAGGTAGACAACTGAACTAAACGACTAATTATTGGCATAACATTCAGTTTATATATCCACACACAGGTTTATCGGTGGCCAAAAAAGGCCGCACACATTGTGATCGTGAACGTGGAGAGCTACATTGCATCATAACTTTTTAGTCACTTACAGTATTCTCACAAAAATTCGTATACATTTGAAGGTAGTAACAAGCAATACAATAACGTTTCAAGTAAGTCTTTAGAGGTCTTATTTAAAGTGTTAGGACGTATTGAAGTGTTTTCATACTTACCTAAATAATTTTTAAACGGTCCATTATTTTTGTTATTTTATTGTCGAACAAATTAAAACTAATCCTTAAGAAGTTATGTACAAAAGATGGTTACAAACCGCTTACCCGTTTCAGAGATCCAGCAAACCCACAAACGTTACTCCAGCAGGATTTCGAATAACTTCACAGCCGAAGAAAATACAAATACCAAATAAGTTGTAACATTTACCTAGTCCAGATAACTAATTATTTAGCTAAAATTTATTTCAATATTACAATTAAAAAAGAAAATGTCTGGCTGCGGTAACGTTTCAAACGTTACTCCAGCAGGAAATGTTTTTTTGAAATAACTAAAAAAGTTTATGTGAAACAAATTTAAAAATGTGCTTAACAATTACAGAAGGGGAGCAACTAATTATCTATAAAGTTTAAATGACCATTTTCGACATTATTTTGCTGGGGTAACGCACACACATTATTTTGCTGGGGTAACGCACACCTGTTGTCCTGCATAGTTTACTCCCTGAGTCGGGATGATAACACTATATTGTTCAATACCTAATCCCCCAATACAAGTCATTCCTATATCAGCAATGCTTATAGTCAATTTTGTTGGTTCAAGCCAACATGACTGACTGATGAGCACTTACAGAACTAAAGAACTATTGCGGAAGGATGGAGTATTATAATAAATAAAAAAATGAAACATACATGAGTTTAAATGTTTTTTATTTCCTTACAACTAGGTGTTCATTTCTTAGCCTTGGCTTCGCGTGTTGCTTTCCTCTCAGCTGCGCGTGCAACTTGTTTGGCGGGCTTAAGATTACCTTTTTTGCAGAACCTCTGATTTCTGAGGAACTTGGGATCCATCTAGAAACAATAAATACATACACTTATTGTAAAATCAGGAATAGGAAAACCATAAATAGAAACCTATCTAATAAAATATCAAACATTTCAGTTCAAAATTCTTAGCTATAACATGTTGACAAAAACACCTTGGGACTGAGTGACTGCTCAATGGACTCAAACATATAGTTAAAATTAAAAATCCATCACCACACAAAAAATATATATTGTTTAAAACATAAGATGATAAAACTAAGATTTCTATTCTATTTATTAAATGTAGGTAAATTATTCTTCTACAGATAATGACTACAAATATCATTTAATATTTTATATCACATTTTATTGTTTAAATGTAGTTCAGTATTGCATCAGGTACTTATACAGTAGAAATAATCAGTAATTTATTTTAATTTTTTAGTTTTCAGTGATATGTTTATATATCATCATCAGCCTATCACAGTCCACTGCTGGACATAGGCCTCTCCCATTGCACGCCACTTAGATCGATTTTGATTTTAATGATTTTTTGATTTTGGTTATATATAACCAGTAACAATTGGTATCTTAACAAAGTTTAACAGAAAAATGACAAACTGGTTGCGTTATGCTAAAGATACTAATTAATATTAATACATAGTTATATTATGTATTATGATGTACTTACTCCAAGGGTGGATTCATGCCTGACTTTTGTAGGCTTTTTGATGCCATTTCTATGGGCTTTGCGGTCTGAAATAAAAAGAAGTTTGCTATTTACTTGTTATGTGTAAATTTTACACACAAAATGCACTTTCTTCCTTCTGGATACATTAACACTTGACACGTAAATATTTTTGCACAATATAATATACACACACAACATATATTGATCAACTTTTAAATTAAAATACCGTCTGTTTACTCACTTTGGTTATGATTAGTGTGATTCTTTGACTTTGCCATTTCGTTAATTTACCTTTCCTGTAAGAGAAATATCCTTACAATTAATGCAGTTAACATAAAACCTTCCAACACTAATATTAAAACTTAATTATTAGCGAATGATTTATCAGATTTTATTAGAAATATTTTTCAAACTTTGACACAAACCTATTCACAGCAAGGAAAAAGAGAAGAGAGTTACAGTTTTGACACTTTGGAACAACCTCAATTGAGCACTCATGTATTATACTTTAAGCTTGAGTTATAGTGCTATCTCTGTCATTCGTTAGATATAAAAATGTTATCCTGTTCTCGAATTTCAAATTTTTATGTCAAGTGGAGTCGTTCCAGCTTTGAAAATTGATGAATATTTACTTTTTTTTTTTACCTGGATATTAGTCAAGCACTACCTGGATATTAGTCAAGCACTACCTGTCTATGAATGCAGACGACTCGGCGTACTCATTTGACGGGTATTTAGGAGAGAAATATTAATATTATAAGTCGTACTTGTTATATTTTATATTATTTTACTTATAATCATTTATTTTTAATAAATAAGGGTCATTAAAAGTAAAATTATTAGGCTAGTTTTATTGCCAATACTAAACTAAATGTGACACTTTATTATAGATATTACATTATAAAACACGAGTCTGTGTTAAGTCTGTTCCAAGTCCAAAACACAGTATGTATGTATCTTTGAATTCATTTCAGCTATTTGGTAATCGTCATCATAAACAGCTTTAATAGTCCAGCGCTGGACATAGAAAACTTTAATTTATCGACTGCTTCGAAGTTAATTTTCTGTTTTCGTAAAGTTCGTAAATTTCATTTGGAAAACATTGTATTGCAGTTTTATGAGGCTTGTGTTTTCTCGCATATTGATGAGTTACGAACATCTAAGTATACCTGATTTAACTCTATCACAAATCATAAGGGCAGATGAAATGAGAAGAAATGGTAAATCCTATAGATCACTTGCTACAAGACTTCATCGATCGTTATCAACGATTCATCGTAGCATATCAGGTATATTCGGGTGTTTATTGATTTTACTGCTATGTACTCTTTTCTACTCTTATATCTATTTGCAAAACTATGCTTCTTGGACAAACAATTTGTTCGGCGTTGCCTGGGGGATATTTAACTAGTTGTGTCGTGAAAAGGTATATATGCAGTTCTACAAAATAAAGTGGCATTGAGAATTCCGACATCACCATGCATTTGCAGTCACAGAACGCACATTTAGTGCACATTCTCACATACATAATGTAAACGGAATCGTCTTATTACAGAAAGATCTGCTAAATTAACTTTTATTTCATATAATTGGAATGTATTTAAAAAAAACAAATGAAAGCTTAAGCACGATCAGTGAGACAATTTACCGGTTAAAGTTCACCGGAAGGGAAGTTCACCGGTTAAAATTGACCTTTAATGAAGGTGTCGACTTCACCTTCTTTAAAGGTTCTATTATAAGGTACTATTCTCGTGTTGTTACTATACATTTAGATTCTAAATGTATAGTAACATCACGAGAATATGAATTAGTTTTGAGTTTGTAAAAATTCTGAGACAGACTGATTTTGTATATAAAATTGTTTATTTGTTTTAATTAGTAAAATTAAACAAATTCTCGGAACAGGATTTTGATAAGAATTGGAATAATCTCTTCATATAATATAAATCCTTTCTAAAAAAATCTATTCGGTACATAGACTATAGAGTTCATTCAGGCGGAGACAAATAAACAAGTTACACACATTTATTCTCCTCGTTTCTTAAAATAGGTTGAAAAGTAAGCTGCCATGGCTGTGGATGGTATTTGAAGTCTCGAAATAGTAAACACCCGTCATTTGAGTTTTGACGTGACAACGTCTTATAAATTGGTTTGCCGGGTGACACTTCAAGAAACTGCGTTACGCTCCGCTCACGTTATGCGCTCACAATGAGAGCGAGTGAGAGGCACGCGTCCCTTCCAATCGGGCATGGTTAGCCCGCCTAAGAGCGAGAGAGACAGACATAGTCGTTGTCACGTAAAACTTTCGCCCGTATACGAGGGTTTTCACAAAAATGTACACACCCACTATTTCAACTGTCCCTTAAATTCAAAATTATATTTTATTGAATTGGTTTATTTAAAAATTTATATGCAATTTTAGAGTGATTATTTACATATACATCTTCAACATAAAATAAATTACGATAGTATAAAACCTACCATAATTAAATTAAAATATTTTAACCATTCGTGACAAATGCATTTCGTTGTGTCCCCTGCTCAATCCCGTCGACAATTAATGGAATGGTCATTTTTTTTTAATGAAAAGCATTCCTTAGTTTTTGCTAATTACATCTAGCATAATAGATTCTTTTTAATAGTGTCAATAATGTTATTCACTACAAATAAATTATATCTATAAATCATCATCAAAGTTGAATCTAAATTATGGGCCCTTCCGGAACATTCAGTTTTGTGACCTGATTTTTCTATTGAAAAATAGAGATAGTAGTTATTTTTTCTAGTAATTTGGCAACACTAACCTTGATCTACTATCAAATGTTCTTTTAATATTTCGTTAGTGTCAAAAAAGTGCTACAGAAGGAGTGTTCAGTGCACGTCAAGACAAGAACGAATTTTTTATTCAGGTATGTGACCATTTTTGAGTGTTTTTTATAGTAATTTATATAATTGTGTTCAGTATATTCGATTGGTATTTGTATTATTTATAAGTTAGTTTAAAAAGTAGAAAACTATGTATAGTGGTTATTTTTAAAAATAATATTATATACTACAGGATACCAACATGTGACCTCCATTGTGTGACTATTTGAACGGTCACATATAAACGGAACGGAAAGTCACATCATGACTGATCATATAAAGCGCTGTCTACATGGCACCACTGCCGTACTTAGCGAATTTAACTTGTTGAACAAAATACTTTAGCAAGATATGTAAGTATTATGCTTAATGATAAAACTTAAATACTTTTATCTCCATTAATTATTTATATAGTTTTTTTTTAAAGGTTACAAATATTATTTAGATAGCACAATACTAGCACTCTTGATAACCCCTCCAGCTAAGCTAACATTGTGCTTAGTGTTAGAGTGAATTTACGGCCGTAGTGTGGGTGGAATTGGAAACCAGAACCTCTTATGAGATCGTAAGACTTTTACCTTATCCATTAAGGTTGCCCGCTTTTTAGTTAGAGATGTATAATTTACTTTGTAGTATTTATTATAATATTAATAATATGTTACAATATAATTAAATATATATATTTTTATTTTCGTTTCATTGTTTTTATTATTTCTGTTATAAATTCTACAGACTGACTATTATTTTAAAATTAACTAATTTATGGGCTCATTTAAACAATAATATTTTAGGTGTGGCAAGATGCCTCTTACAGAAGCTGAAAAAACTAGGCGCTATAGATAGAAATTAAAGTTAAAGCGCCCGGAAGAATATAAAACTCAATGCTATAGAAATTTACAACGAATGAATACTAAGAAAAAGAAAATATCAGAGATGACTGCCAAAGATGCCGAAGATCAACGGAAAATTGCCTACCTAAATTGCACCTACCGACTATTACTTTATCCAAAATTTAGACAACTTTTTAGTGGGTAAAAAATTCAATTCCCGAGAGGCAGTACAAAATGCCTTTGAAGAGTTTGTTGCCTCCCGTCCAGCTGATTTTTACAAGAAGGGCATCAATAAACTGCCAATGCGTTGGCAAAGATGCGTCGATTGCATGGGTGATTACTTCGAAAAACAGAAATAAAAAAATTTCAAAAAATAAGTACTTTCACTTATTGCATACAAAACGGCAATTTCATAGGTAAAGACCTATTAAAATAATGGTTTTTATTTTAATTCTATTTTTATTTACCCTATCCTATAAATATAAGGTTTGTATATGTATAACATAATAAATATAAAAACTACTTTAAAATATAATTTGCCATTATTCTTAATTATGTGTTCTTACTCGTATGAGTGGCAGGTGGCAAGGTATTAGTACATACTCGTATGTACATATTATACACGAGGGGAAATGGGGCCTCATTAATTTTAACGCGAGCAAAGCCGTTGACAAAAGCTAGTTAATAATATGTTGAAAATATGTAACTATAGTAGATTTATAGATCAGGTCAAACTTTGTACTTTCTTAATGTTTCTCGCACCATGTAAACGCATCCTAAGTGTTCAGTTGTGTCACTGTCCTTTATTATTTTTATCAAAGATGTACTTTTTGTTTCTAAAATTATTGTTTAAACATAAGTAAAACACTTTTCCCTCAATAATAATGTGTTAATTCTTCTAATTACAATAGTTTTTTACTCTCACATGCCATATATATTCAGTAGTTTCAATGATTAGCAGGGATGAGGGACCCAAAGTCACACAACTGATGATTTTATTTTATTTTAAGACCCTTCTTTACTATAATTGGATGCAAAATTTGTCTTTTAAGGAATAATGGTCATTTGTTATGTATTTAATTGAAAACTTTTGACAAAATCTTTAATTCTACATTGTTTTTCAACCTTTGAATATAGTCACAAAACTGACTTAAATTTTTAGCACTTTCAGTCGTATTTAGTATTTTTCATAATAACTCCATTTTTAACAACATGTTTGAGATAATATAAATACAATAAAATTAATATACTTTCAATTGAGACCAAATACAACATTAAAAGTAATACTTTCAAAATAAAGTTATTTTTCAAGGTGTAAGTACATTTTTATGAAAATGCCCATACCGACTTTACAGGCAACCAATTTTTTTTTTATTTGAGTTTTCAAAAAAAAAACGTTTTAAACTGATTTTAACCCAATGAGTTTAAACCCTCGACGGCGGCGACAGTCACTTTCCCTCAGGTGACCCGTCTGCTCATGTGGCCCCCCTATATCATAAAAAAATCCAAATGCGGACACAATTTTCATTGCATGTTATATTATCCAACTTCAAAGAAAAAAATTTACAATTGACCTTGCTTCGTTTATCGGCGGTGAAACGTTTATTAAATAATAAAGTTACACACAAAAATATTGTTTTCTTGCGTAGTTTGTGCTTTCTATGTATGTGTTTGGTAACCAAATCACACATCAACACCACAAACTTTGGTTCAGTCTGTGGTGTTGATGTGTCGTGTTGTCAATGTCATAGTCACAAGCTGTCAGGTTCTTATTCCATCGTGTCCTGATCTACAAAAATATTGGATTTGAAAAAGCATATTTAAAATATTAAGTAATTTGTTAATTTTTAGTAGCAATGGTAGTTTCAGAAGGTGACTCTGGTGACGCGAAGCCTATAGCGTCTGAAGAGACTGCTAAAGAAGATGTTAAGTCACCCAGGCTTCTCACATTAGAAAGTATCCTTTAAATATTATCTGACGTAAATAATTAATAAATCTATTGCTTAGTTAAAATAAATTAAACTTTTGCAGAATGAGTTTAACTATATAAGTAAACCATATTCTATTTATTTATTCCCTTTTAAACTAAATGGCATGAGAGTCGACGGTTTACAATCCTCTGATTCCTCACCTCGTCAAATCGTCCATGGTGCTTAATGTCCAAATTGTGAATTATTGTAGACATTGGTTATTTAAGCAAATATGGTAGGCTAACTGTTATCAGATAAAATGTCAGAAGAAATATGTTATTAAATTTTTAATTGACTTAATCTGGATATTTGGAAAAGTATATTGAGTTTTTATCAGTATTTAAAATTTCAAATTACATAGTAAGTAGTTATAGGTGCCTCCTCTACCACCCTTGTTCATAGAGTATCTAAGAAATAATAATTTCATTTAGAAACTTGTAAGTTACTATTTAATAAGAACTACGGTAGAATAGGGCTAATTGGAACACAAATGGCAATTCCAGAAAAATGGTAAATTATGGAAAAATCTTAAACTTCTTTATGCCAATTTGTTGTGGTAGAGTGATAATTAAAAATTAACTATATTCATAAGATAGCTACAATTTTGTGCAAAAAAACGTCTGGTGCAAACTTTTGGATTCAAATGATATTTAGTACATTTTTTTTGGTAAGGTTGTAAAAAATTACTATGCTTTATTCTTATTACAAATCTATACACATTGTTCGGTAAGCTTGTTTGGTTTTTACTCCATCTCAACTAAATACACAAGGGGCTTTTTAAAGATAAAAATGTAGCATTTCAATTAGCCCCACTGGACCCTAAGCACTACTTTTTTTTAAAAGATCCCATAAGAGTAGAATTTTAACTATTGTAAAATATCTACAAACAAATAATATTTATTCTTTATTCTATGTACTGAATTTTGATTTACAACTTAATATTGATTTTATTTAACCCCATTCTATGGTATTTATTTTAATTTAGAAAACACTACAGCATGGTTCTGTGTTAAATTTCCACCAATATACACCTCAAAAAACCCTCTAGGGGGGTAGAAGTTAGAAGAGAGAAATGCTGTTTACATGCCATTTGCACATCAGCTTGAAAATGTTGATAAAATTAAATGTACCATTAAATAAATAACAAAAACATAATTAATTTCATTATCACCATCAACAGCCTTTAAAAGTCCATTACTGGACATAGGCCACTCCTTAGAAAGGAGGTTTTGCCCTACCATAGCACACTGGCCAGATGGGTTGATATAGGGTTTGTGGCAAGTTTGCGTTTTCTCTGCACTCCTGTCGTCCTGCGTAGTTTGCTCCCTTAGTTTCCTCTTACGACATACAAGGCATGAATAAGGGTGGTGACACTGTATTCTAAATCAGTCACAACATGGACATTAATTTACCCCTTTTTAAACCGATTATATTTTACATGTTACTGCTAGAGCCTAAACCAAGAAAAATTTTGCTCGATGCAGGATTAGTAGATACTCAATGGTCCTGTATATCTTTGTTAGATGGTGTAGATAGATAGATGAAGTATGTTATCGTTGCATTCTATGTAGAAGATACCACAGTAGTGGCAGTGGGCATTATTTGTACATAGCTAAAGTTTCCATGGCCGCACTCTAGACGTGAGAATAGCCATCACTGTTCCATTCAGGGCAATAATGCTAATTACATCTAGACTCTCTAATATATATACATATGACAGTAGGTGTACCAGTGTACATACAATACCAAAATAAAAAAACTCCTTAACTATGTCATCAGTTTTACGTATCACCAAGGATGCTCAACAGCAGCATGGTTTACGTCATGCGGACTTCCAAAGGTACAGAGGGTACTGCTCCCGGCGGCTCAGGCGGTTGCGTAAAGTGCTCAAGATTCCACAGGTAAGCAATTACTACATAACAGTGTATAGCCAAACTTTCTTTCACAAATTTAAGTTTTTCGGTTTGATTTGACTAAAAAGTACAGTGTAGTATTTTTACGTATTTTTAGGGTGACAGGCGTCATTACCGTCGTCGTGATGTTACTACGGTCCATTTGACGGCGGCCGCTGCCGAGAACCGTCTGTTGTGTGTGCCGCTGTTGCAGGCAGAAAGGGCTTGGGCTCACGCTATGCAATTGCGACAAGAGGCTAACACTGAACCAAGGAAGAAATTTCATCTGGTGTCGCGATTGAAGAAAGCTTGCGCTCACGCTCAAACACTTTTGCAGTTATGTGAGGTGAGCCTATGTTCAAGCAGTAGTGTTTTATTTGTTTTTTTAAAAAGACAACTTTAGACAAACTTTCCCGCATTAGGAATATATCCTGTGTCGCGGGGGACTTTACAAACTTACATGAAACGGACACAAAGAACACCCAGACTTAGAACAACAATTTGCGGATCACACAAAGTGACATCCCATGTGGGGATCGGACCCACAACACTCAGCGTGGTAGTAAGCGGCGTGGAGACCGTTTAAACCACTACGCCATCCGTGCAGTCTCATAATTATATATAATGAGAATAAGAAACATATAACTAAAATATAATAAAAAGAAAAAAAACATTCAAATTGGTTCAATTAGTAAAAATAACTTTTGTATTACTTATATTTGTACAGTCAGAAAGTTAGGTTTCCTATTTCTGCTTTCAGCAAAGTGGTATGTGCGACGCGCGTACTCAGCTGGAGGCGGGCGCGTACGCCGCTTGGTTGAGTGGCGCGCTGCTGGTGGAGCTGCAGCAGTGGCGCCCCGCCGCTGAGAGCCTGCACCGCGCGCAGCTCGTGCTGGAGAAACTGTGCGCTGCGCTGCCTGAAGACGAGCGCCTCGTCTACCGGCAGAAGGTGATTATCCTACTGTTTAGCAGAGACAAACGACACATTAAAGAAATAAAAAAAAACATTTTCAATTATAGTTTTCTCTACTATTTATTACGTGTGTGCATTTCCAAACACGAATTGTACCTAAGTATTAAGAGACAGAGCATTTTAATGCATCTCTGGCTTCTTAGATCTGACGGTCTGAACTTCGGTTTTATTAAAATGTAATATTCACATTATTATGTTTTATTGTTATTAGGTAGAGGAGTTGAAGCCAAGCCTACGTTTCTGCGCGTATAACATCGGTGACGAGTCGGCGGCCGGAGACCTCGTCGCTATGCGAGGACAAGGCCTCATTGAGAACTTGGACTCGCTAATGGCTCAAGCCAAGTAAGTAGCTATTTTTTGTTTGCTAAAATAAGTGTACAGTTAAAACAGGCAGTCGTTTTTAACGTGCATAACAGTATAGTATTTAACACTTATACTAATCACAGTGTCACCTCAATTTGCAGGACTTTGAGTAACAATAACTCAAACTCTCTTTATTTCATAAAAAAAATAAAATTGTTTTAAATCGTCTTCTATGTAGACTCAAGTCATAGATCAACACACACAAAAGCAACAATCTCTGTTATGTCAAATAGTAAGCAACTAAATTTAATAATATTTCATACTTCAAGTTCTGAGGTTTTGGACTTGCTTGTAATCTCGGAGGTAACTCTACTAAAAAGACACTAGTTATTGCAAGAAAACCTTATGACTGTTTTGATAGCGATTAAACTTCAAGTGGAAATCGGAATCGGAATATTGGATGATGCTGTTCAAACCAATAACTATAATTTAATTGTGATACAAATATGATTATTCTTACTAAAGTGTACTTTTCTAGGGAATCCCGTTCAGGTGTGATGCACGAAGTGGAATGGCGCGGTCGTCGCGTGACAGTGAGGCCTGAAAAAGTGAGACTCTTCCTTATCGCTTTGCAAGATTTTGATAAGTCGGTTGTAAATGCTGATACAGTCCAGGCTAAGATCGATATTCTGGAAAACATTCTCATGGATTCCAAGGATGCCATTTCAGCACTCAAAGACGAAATTAAAAGCGATCCAAAACTAAAAACTGCTTCGGAGACTCAAATGTCAAGTGTCAACTACTTGCTCTCTTACTTGATGTACCTGCGTCTAATGCGCACCATCGACAGGAACAATCTTCTGGTACAACAAGCTGAGGAAGCTCGTAAGAACAACATTCAAATAGATGGCAAAAAGGTACGTCCTCATGATCTGACAAGATTGTACGAAATCATCTTGCAGAACTTCACTGAACTGCAGCAGTTGCCAGGCTTTGAAAGCGACGCCGCCTATCAGCAAGAGATAGAGATACAGACAAAGGCGTACCGAGCATTCCGCTGTTATTATATCGCTCAAGTGCTCACCACTTTAAGACGTTTCAGGGAAGCACTCGCTATGCTCGAGAGGTGCAGCAATTATACTGTGGAATCGTTGGGCAGTAAGCTCGCTGACAAGCAGTTGGTCGAAAAGTTGCAAGTCCTCAAGAAGGACATAGAAAGTTGCAAGTTCGAAGTTCATGCCGATTCGGTTCTCGAAGATGATGACGACCAAGATGAAGATACGAAGTTTACAAGCGGGAAATATAAAGATAAGAAGCCTTTAGTAGACCGCTTAGATGAATACCGTGAGGATACCCAGGTCCTTACTAAAAACCCTAATATCTACAAAATGCCCCCATCGATGGACGCTATCCCTTGCAAGCCGTTGTTCTTTGACCTGGCCTGTAACTTTGTGGAGTTCCCGAACTTGGATGACAAGACAGGTGCGGCCGATAGTAAGAAGCAGGGCGCCGGCCTCACGGGACTAGTCAAAGGGTTCCTTGGGTGGGGTAAAAGTGACAAGTAAAGAAAAAATCATGTTGGTTTTAGTATCCGGTATACTGTTCTGTTTTGAAAGTTCAAATAATATACATCTATAAATATCGCTGTTATTTAATTTATATTTTAATAATAATACTCAACAAAATATTCAAATTGAGATATTAATAATGAACGAATTAACATGATTGTAGTAGTTATACCCTTTACCAATAATACAGTTGTCTGTCACGTAAAACTGACGAGTTGCTATGTCTGTAACATCACTATTTTTTGTGGATTCACCTGGGAGGATATCAATACAAAAACCGAATTACCCCTTAAAAACTATAATCTGGTTATATAACAACCGAAAACGATTTCATAAAATCAATTAATCGTTTTAAATGGAAGTTTTATAGAGGGTATTTTATATTACAGTAACAAGTAAATGATTGACACGAAAAAAAAAACACGTAGCTCGTGAGTATGTCGATTCGCATAACTATTTATTGTTAGTCGAATACGGCACTGCATAACATTGTTCCTTATTAATTAATAGTCATAACATAGTTGTCGGGTTCATACTGTGGATCTACTTCTCGAGTCTTGATAATTTGTTTAGAAATAAATGCAGATTTTTTCGGCCTGCGCTTTGGATCAGGATCGGTCGCTGTAAACATAAAATGACACATAGTCACTCTGGGCTTTGGAGAGTAATTAGTGTATTTTTAGTGCGTTTTTTGTGACGATGATCGGGATTTCATGGCCATACCTTTCTTGGATAAGCTTTAACGCGATGTATAAGCTGTTTGGCATTTGCTAGGGGAATGAAAGAATATTTTTAATAACAAATATTATACCATACCTATTAAGGTAATAAAAGGTATAAAACGTTGTCAATATAAGCTAAGTGAGTTATCAATAACATACCATGACAGCCTGAGGCGCCGGTTTATATCCGAGTCTATTATTTCCAGGTCATAAGCATAATTTATGGTCATATTTCGCTTTTAAATTAAAAATTGAATATTATCAGAATTAGACTGTAATTGACACTTTCATATTTTGTGGTATGAGTTGTCATAAATGGGAGTTTGGAGAGTTATGGCTTCCAGACATAATATAATTAAGTAGGTACTTACTTGTAACCAAGAAGAAACTGACTCACGCCAGTCACTAGATACTTCCATTCCAACTCTGATGTCGTCTTGCATTGAGAGGATAGCGATACCCCCTCCATTATAAAGATAAAAAGATACATATCCGCCGCCATAATGGTTGAAGCCGTAGAAATCACTCGTTCCATGAATGTATTTCTTCTCTTCCTCGGTAAAGTCTGGTAGACGAGATCTAGGGTAACCTTGTTCTGCACTCCTAACAGCTACAAGTTCTAAAGTTCTTTCGGAAAACCTTCCTTCGAAAATATTGGATTCGTATAAATAGCCCACTGAAAAGCAAAAAGAAGTTATTCTTTCCAAGCTCATCTTTTGTAGATAAATTGTGACATTCTAAGATTAAGACTATCCGTGTGGTGACGGATTAAGAATACGGATTGTCAAAACCCTCATTCATCACATCTTCATCATCGACATCGTGGGTGTCGTAAGAGTCAAACTACGCAGGACAACAACACTGCAAAGAGAAGGAAAACTTGACACAAACCCGTCTGGCCAGGGTGGTAAAGTAGTCCGAAACTTCCTTTCTAAGGAGAGGCCTATGTTCAGCAGTGGACTGTTAAAGGCTGTTGATGATGATGTGACATTCTTCTCTTAATGTCGTCCATAAATTGATTGTTATGGATATAATTATGATTACTTTATTCGATGTCTGACCAGTATTAGCTTGAACCTAAAGCTAATACTAGTCAGACATTGACATACCGGAGCCCCAAACCTCACCTTCGTTAAGGGCTCCGGTCGGTGAAAGGCAACACAATAAATACTTAACACCGGTTTTCTGTGAGGCCGTGGTATTACTCCAGTCGAGCCGGACCCATTTATACCGAAACTTACCTACCTTTTTTCAATAAGATTGCTAAGTAAGTATATCATTATCAGGCAGATCGTCAGCTGCAAGGAGATTCTTCTAGAAGACACGAGTCATTTGGATGTACATCCTTGTATTTTTTTATAAATTTAAATAGGAAGGTTTTGTTGTTAACTACAAAGAGTAGTAGTATATGTATTTTAGTATATTTTCTTATCGATATGATAATAAAATACCAGATTTTTTGAATGGATAAGAAAATATTATTGGTAGAATTATAATTTATATTGCTATTTAGGCAATTGATCTACTTTACTGTATGCATTCCATGCTCCCTCGATCTGATAAGCCGACGTGCCAGCTCCAAAGCTAGTCATCTGGAACTCTCCTCGCTTGTTTTGTGGTTGCAGCATAGACATACCTACGCCACGTAAATACTGTAATAGAATACATACTCTAGTGTGAAGTAGGTAATAATGATTAATGTAAAAATATTAGGCAGGTAGGTAGTGTTTTGTAAATACTTTTTTATTTCTTCCTATTTGCCTCTATACATTCTTGATATTTTGATACAAGTAATTTCTAAGGAGAGGCTTATGTCCAGCAGTAGACTGTTAAACGTTGTTGATGATGAATTGAATCATATAGGCATTTAAAATACCATACAACCGAAACACTTGTTTTGCTTGCAAAGTTACTTTGAACTTTTAAGATGTTTATTATACTCTGAAGCATACCTACTCTATGCATTCGTCGATGTTGAAGATCGCTTAAAATCGATAACAAAATGTGAATAAAAAGACAATGATAAACTTTTTTAAAACATTTTCCACATTTTATCACTGCATTAGTATTATACTTATGTCGAACTACAGTTTACCTGTACAAAGAACCTCAGATCTAAGCCGCGAATAGACAGACGGTTTTTTTAATATATATTAGGTACACGTCTCTATAATTATTTTAGCTTGAGCTAAGAATCAAGCAAAATTAAGTGTTGACTTAAAACTAAACTTACTACAGAAATATTAGATAGATGTTCATGGAATTGGTGTCTATACCATTACCATTAAACATTCTATAATAGTCGACAACAGTATATAATTTATATTATTATTGGTATCAAGTATCTAATATAAAATTATCTGATCTTCATTTAATGTTCGTTATTGACGTTATCAATAGTGGGCAAAAATTGATCCACTAGTCAACTTTTGAAACTAAGCTGATTATTTAGTTTAATTCACAGTCATTGTTCGTTCGGTGTGAATGTTCGAAGTCACAATGAACAACGTAGTAACTAATAACCCTGTGTCGTGCAATAAAAATTCTCGCATCGGTTTCGAACATCAACCATAAGGCAGCCGCCGCCGAATGATCACCTCCTCATGAGAATCCTCCCTGTGTTGAAGGGACATAAACCCCGTTCCTCCATAATATAAATCCCTATTCTGTAAAGCGGGAGGTGTTCACCAACCAAAGCTGTGTTGTTAAAGTAAAAACAATTTATGAAATTTTATATTTTTATTATAACCATCTACTTCGCAAAGGTCATAAATTTGTTTATTTATATTTCCATCAAATAGGTACTTTTTTAAAGAAATGGATGTTCTTAATCATAATATACCCTTGTCAAGATACACCTGTATATAAGTATACTTTGTATAAACCAACGTTGTAATGCTATCTTCAAATATCCTGTTCACAAAACCAAAAAGAAAACATCACATAACAGTCACAAATATTAATTTATAAGAACGAGATTATTTTATCAAAAGAAAATGTTTTAAATTTAGCACGGTTTTGTGACAAAACTGAAAATATTTGCATTTATTTTTCTACTTGGCAGCATTTGTGATTAAGAAAATATATTACAAAATTACTAAAGAAATTGTCGTTCGAAGTACAAAAATATAATAAACATTTAAACAATATATTTTACAACATACACCATTTACATTTTATAAAATCACATTTCAATGTAATAATAGTGATACTGTGGATTAATAGGATCACATACATACAGATATGCACATCTATGGCTGAAATGAGGCTAGCGTCAACGAAATAGTGTCATGTACGTAAGATTGAGCCGTGACACTCTCACATTAATAAATATTATACGATACGCGTAACAATCAACTATGAGATAACTGTATAAGAAGTAGCCAGTACTTATAATCAATCACTTCATCATGTACCGGTTCACCTTCACGATATGGCCGATATCCGCTGATCACATCATGATTTATGCCAAATATAAAAATTTAGGCCAAATGAATGAACAAACAGCGTTTGACGATATGAACAGATAGATGACTGCACGATTTCTTCTACGATCATATCGTAAAATAGTTCATCATCCACAATTAGTAGCGCCGATACCGCGCGAATATTAATGGGCAAACAGAAACAAAAGTAAAAATAAACTATTTTTTGGAAGACTATTTAAAAGAACAGTTTTTTTTTAATTTTATTTAACCTTTAATATTAATATTATGATATACTGAAACTGACTAACGTATTATTAACACGTGGACGTTCATAATACGCGATCAGTTTTCGATAAAAATAATCCTAGTAAGAGAGTCGACTGTCCCTGTATCCAAAATCATGATGAAATACGACCATCTCGAAATCATCGTATCGTCACCGATCCATGAAATGTACAACCATTTCATGGATCGGTCTAAAACATCATGAAGTGATCAATTTTAAGATTCGGTCACGACATACTTACAAATAAGGGCAGGTAGTGTCTATAGAGTACAAAATTGGGCGCAGGCACAAGTCGCGCCTCACGCGTACAATCAGTCGCGGTTAAAGAACCGTTAATCGACACTGCAATAAATTATTATCGTAGTCAACACTAGCTCTCTCCACATCAATAGGAGTCCGTGAAAAGTCTGTCGAGCCGTCTGCACCCTGAGACGTTGAAATCCGGACAAAACCACAGCACCCGGTCGATCACTTAGTCAAGTCCTGAGCTTATTTGGAAACATGAACACAATGAAAGTTGAGCTCGCGTCCCACTCGCCCGCCTAGCGCGGCGCGGCGGGGGCGGCGGGGGCGGGGGCGGCGAGCGGCGGCCAGTGCGCTTGCTCGTGCGCCGAGCGGTCCCGCGGCGCCAGCAGCTGGCCGCACGTGGGGCACACGGCCAGCTCGCCCGCGCCCCGCCCCACCACCAGCTCCTGCTGCTTGGCGATGTCGGGCAGCAGCGCCACGAGCTCGGGGAACACGGCGTCGAACTGCGCGCCCAGCGCCGAGCGGCAGTGCGCGTGAAACTCCTCCGCGCCGATGGAGCTGTCGCGGAACGCTCGCGACGCCACCTTGAAGTCCTCGACGGCGGACCCCGCGCCGAGCGTGACCGTGAACTTCTTCACTAGGGCGCGATTCCTGTGCTCGAAGTCCGGTGGCGGGATGTAGCTGTGGAGCGGCGCGGGAAACGTCTGTCCCGCGGAATTCGTGAAGGTCATTCCGTCGCAGGCCGGTCGAGGCTTAAAACCCGGTGGTACGCTTCCGTTTGGCGTTTTCTTTGATGGTAAACAGTTTTCGCTCCTAGCGTTGAGCGGCGGGTAGTCCTTGGCGGCGAAGTTAAAGTCTCCGGTCCCACCGTTCTTATTGTTATCGGAGCCGACCGGGCCGTTTGAAGTTTCTACAGTCTTAATTTTTTTGCCGCTGTCAACGGTGGGGGCGCTATTGGCGTTTACGGAAGCGTACGACTCTTTCAGTAACCTCTTATCGTTCGTCCCGTTCATGTTGAACATGTCCTCTAAGTTTTCCTTTTTACTATTTTGTTTCTTCTTGTCTTTTTTGTTCGGTTTTGTATTTTCTAAAGGAATCGACTGAGCTTGTTGCTTTTTAGGTTTTGACGATTTCACATTATTAGCGGGTAGCGTCGGAAAGTCAGCGACCGGGTTGAAGGAGGGTTCTCTCGGCTGCGGGGGCGGCTCGGGTTTAGCCGGTTTCTGTTTATCCTTAGACTTAACGGTGATCCATTGAGGGGTAGCGACTGGCGCCGAGGTCGAAGATAAAGCTGGGAACGCCTCGGCATTTATTGGTGTTTTCTTCTGCTGAGTACTGTGTCGTGGATTTTTGAGTGCCTGCATCTCCTGGCTATTGATTAGACTAACCTGTACAAGATTTACAATTATCAATCCATATGTTATCAATACACTGAGCATTTTATAAGCAGTTAAATTTAACAATTATATTTGTTACTTAAACAAGTTGTCTAGTAAACGGATTTAACAAGTCATGAATTAACAAGAATGACTTTGATAGTTAATATTGAAAAGATTATTAACAAGTACCTTTGGTGCTTGCACAGTGCCAGCTCCAATACTGGGATGATCATCTCTGGCCAATCCCAGCGAAGGAAAGTCATCGTCGGTAAGCGACGCTTTCTTATGCTGCGACGGAATGGTTATGCCGCGGTTTCCGCTCGTCTGAGTGAGACGGAAGTTGCTAGCTGAGGCCGGTTGGCTGTGCAGCTGGATCGATACACTGGGTTTAGCTGTCACAAAACAGATATTAATAAGGTATTTTTATACCTATTTATAGTCCAGAAATAAGAAGCGATTCTTTCTCTCATTGTAATGACTTTGATATACTTTGATAATTGACTTGCCTTAGGTAGGTTGCTGATCATTTCGAATGCAGAAGAAACTATATATTGTGTTAAAAAATAGTTGCTTTAAGTCACCCGACTTCAATAGGAGTTTATTAACGCGAGTATACGTACAATTTCTAACGATTGTAGCTGCAACAGGCGACGACGAGGGGGCGGCGGGGCGCGGGGCGGCGCGGGCGCCCTGCCCTCCTCCCAACGTCGGGAAGTTCTTGTCCGTACGCGCCAACCCATCCATTCCTGCAAACACAGGGCGAAACGTAGTGAACCTCTAATATTTATTAATTACTATTCTATTATTCTTTTGTTTTGTATTATCTATTATTATTTTGTTATCTGGAAATGTTTTTTTTCGTTATTCGAAAGTGACCTCGGTAAGACGGGTCAAAAGTAGGTCCCGGTATACCTTTATAGACGCGATGGTGAGCGGCGAGCACGAGGCCGGGCGCGGGCGGCGCGGCGGACAGCGCGGGGAACTGCGCGTCGCTCTGCGTGTCGATGTTGGCCGGCGCCACCGCGGCCGGGACGGGCTCCGGCTCCGGCGCGCGATCGCGTTGCTCCCTGCGACAATATACAAAACGTCTATTCGTCTTACACTAGCCGGTACCCGCCACTTCGCGTGGAATTTGAAAAGCGCTGCCTCAGTGGGTTCGATTCCCGGGCAAAATTTTAAAGGGTTTTTCTGAGGAAAAATAGCTTAAGTTACTCCTTATATAGACAGCTACCTGGAAGTAAAATATTATCAAAATTGGTGCAGCCGTTTTGAAGATTACCCGAAACATACAGATAGACAGGCAAAAAAATTTTAGGAACTGGTTTTTAGGAATAGATATCGTGCAAATAACCGTGTGAGCATTGAAAAACCTTTTATTTTGACATTACAAACAAACTTGAATTTTATTTATTTTTATAGATGTCTATCGTTTTCTTGATAATCTTATAACTACGGTATGTCGTAACTTACTTATCTATACTAATATTATAAAGCTGAAGAGTTTGTTTGTTTGTTTGTTTGTTTGTTTGTTTGAACGCGCTAATCTCAGGAACTACTGGTCCGATTTGAAAAAATTTTTCAGTGTTAGATAGCCCATTTATCGAGGAAGGCTATAGGCTATATATCATCACGCTAAGACCAATAGGAGCGGAGCACCAATGAAGAATGTTTCAAAAACGGAGAAAATTTATTACTATTGAGAGACGCAGACGAAGTTGCGCGGGTCAGCTAGTTAAATTATATAGTTTTTATACACTTATGTAAACGAATACTGTGAATTACCTCGGAGTCCTCTGAGTGACGACAGGGTGCGGCGTAATATTGAATTGAAGCTCCAGCGTCCGCGCCTGACGAGCCGCACCACGTGGCATTCCACGACCATGCACAGTTGCCTTGTGAGCTACGACATTTACACAACTTGATTTTTAATTTTTATTTAAATCTCCGCCGGCGTGTATGTCTAATATCGCGGTAAAAAGTAGCCTATGTTCCTCTTTGATAATTATAATGTAGGTAACTTTCCAGTGGTTTAATTTACTTATACTTTGTGTTTCTATTTCTCAAATAATATATTTGAATTTGTTTTTCCTAATTGCGACAAGATTATCTGAATATTAATGTATATTTTTTTTATAATAATAATATTTATTTAGATAAAGAGTACAAATATTTTATAATAAATGGTTCTTTAATTTATAAATAAAATACATTTGTTGTTTGCCTGAACTAGATTGAACCTGGGTCTCGGCCGAAGATGTGCTTGCAAACTATTTTATTAATATAAATCTACATAACTACAATTTAAAAATAACACTAATAGCCTACATAAACAACTAGCAGTACCAGTGATAGGTGTATCAAAAATAATGCACAAAGACCTTGTCTAGGCTGTGAAACTTGTTTATTCTAACTAACCTTTGAGATCAATTTCACTCCTGAATACAGCTGTCAAGTGTTGTCCAGCACATTCTCCTTCTTCGCACAAGTAGTGGTCTGTCCTGAAGTGATGCGCAAGCGCAGAGTGCGACGCATAGTAGAGATTGCGTCCGTCGGCATCACAAAGATGACAGTACAAGTGCTCCTTGCGTAAATGTCGGTATAACTCATCAGCATCCATAAAACGCTCTTCACAGAACTCACATAGCGGATGACCTCTGCAGGTATTAAAAAATAGAATTTGTGTTAAAAAATACTTAAAAGTAACACAGAGTAAGTAGTAGAAGAAATAGCGTACTTAACGATATTCATCGAATAAAATCACGATTTTTCTATCACTTACCTTATTACTCGTATGTTGGGAAGTTATTAACATTTATGGAACCGATATTATTTTTTACACAATTTGAATAATGAAGACGGTATTTATTTTAATACACCAATCACCAGTCAAAGTCTAGTCATGTATGTCTCAAAATGTAAATGAACCAAAGTTAAAACTTTGTATTTCAATAATTTTTGCTACTTTGAACAAGATCAACAAACTATCCCCATGATGGCTAACCCATTTCTCTTATTCTTTCACTATAGCAAATTCGTTCGTTAATTAAGACCAGTGACAGACATGAGTGACGTCATCAAAACTGCAAGTATGTTTTGGCGCACACAAATATTTAACAGTTTTTCAATTTCAAGTTCAATCAGTGTATTATTTCTGTATTGTAGATTTGTAGTTGTTCTTTATTCTACATGTCACTGTTTATAACGTAAGCAAATACAAAACTATTGCATGTTTAATTTTAGTGTAAGTTTTTTTAACCCGAACAAGTAAGACTCAAGAATGTAGCCATAGTTATTTTTAGCTACAAATAACATTATATGCGGTCGATAAATTAGTTGCTGCATTTGAATAATCTTTCTAATCAGCTACATTTAATGTCAGATTGTTGATATTTACTAGTATTGATAAAACTTTAATCTTGTAATAGTGAGATAAGAAAAATAAACAGTAAGTATTATCAAATGTGACTGATATATTATTACTTGCGTAACATTAGGGCAATTGTAGAAAGAATGTTTGGACATGAACTTTTGGCTACTATAAGAAATATATGCATAGGCAATATTTAATAGTTCAATGTCCATGTATTATTTAACCATTTGTTCTATTTTGTAAGTTCATTCCGACATTCATACATACAATACAAAGTGACACTTATAGACTACTCTGAGTCTGAGTGATAATAGTTTACTTTTTTATTTCATAAAGCGTTAGTATTACATTAAATTAATATTATACATGTTATATAATTGGACTGTCCACTTTAGTATTCAGGATGCTGTTTCAACTATCTCTCAGTCTTCTCATTATTTGATCTTCGCATTATTTGACGCGGACGCGGACATCCAGTGACCTTTTGGTGTGGTTAATCCGTAGATTACTCGTGTAAACACTTTGGCAGTACACTTTTAAAAGTGTAACTTTTACTAGGTAACATATTCCACCAGACCGCGAAAGCCTCTCTATCAATGACCTCATCATCTCTAAGGTAGTCCACCAAGAAAATGACCTAAGTATATATAGATGGACATATTCAGGGCCATCGTCACGACATTTGCTGCCGAACTTGAAGATCATGTATTCACACTTGTTTACTAATCCTTACTTATTTTAATACATACTCTGCAGCATTCGCTCAAAAATTTTGAATAGCTCTCTGATAGCCCCAGCCTTAGGAGCTAGCAGCACCATATCGTCTGCATAGCTGATGTTGTTAATGACAACTCCAGAAACTGCATCCGACATGCATGCAGCTGAGAACCATTATGAGGTTATCTATAAAAAGACTGAAGAGCCTTGAAGACGACAGACCTCCCTGTCTCATCCCACAGTCAAAACAATACAGCTACAATTGGTTTGCGTATTATATGATTACTGTAACGAGGCACATATTGCCGTGGCTATATCCCTACTCCCCATGTTAACACAAAGCACATCATACAAGACTAGATTGAATGCCTTGGAGAGATCAAAGAAGCAGACTGGCGTCCCACAGTTACTATAGTATTGAATGGAATGTTTGGGACTTAAAAAAACAAAAAGCTGCGATGGCAACTGAAACTATTATCACTCAGAGTACAGTGTCAGTTTGTACTGTATGTATGAATGTCTAAGAGGATGTTTACATGTGTTGTTGTGATATGACATCACCTGTGTGATGTGTCGTCGAGATCCCCTTTCCGTCGATGGTGAGCTAGCTCTTGGCGTGTATAACACTTGCGCTCACTAGTAAAGATCTGAGAAAATAAAATAAAAATTCATATTTACTTACCTCATCGTTTTCAACAGTGACTACGAGTATAACAACCACTAGATAATCAGTAAAATTATAACTGAATGCCAGATTTGTTAGAAATTTACATTATACACAGTATTTTGTTATTGTAATAATAATATATGTGTGTAAAGAGTTATCTATTAAGGGTGTCAATATAACATGTCTTGTAAAGTACAGGTTTGCGTCAGTTACTGTCCTGTTTTTATTGGGTTTTCCTTATGATTGAAGGCCTGACGTAAAATTATTAGTTTACAATTATAATATGGCTTAGTTATCCTTTTGCTATCATATTTATTTAAAAAATATTATTCCTTTACTAGGGCTAGTAAGTAGGTCTATTGCAAGAGACTCGGGTATGACCTTAGATAGATGGAAGTCACAATGAATCTTGGCAGTCCTTGGCTGCAAGTTAGACTTCAGAGAGAATGGCACTCGTTCACATCTACATCATTCTGTGTTCTCCATCATCTAGTACATTTTCTGCAGCAAAGGAGAGAAAACAGAAACGAAACAAGCCTTGCCTTTATTCTATCACTGGACACTATGAAGATTAGACATAGTGGACAAACTATGAAACTCTTATTCCAAAGTTCATTTTTATGTTAGACAAGGTAACAAATCCAAAGCCGTCATTTACTTAGTTTCAGTATCCCATATAACTTAGAAATTCAAAATAAATTTTAAGATACATACCTTCAAATGTTTGACACAGAGATCACAAAAGTATCTTTCATGCACTTTCCTCATGTGATCACTCAGCATGCTAAATGTACGAAATGGTGGTATTTTATCACAGATCTTACAACAGTTCTCAAGCAACTTTTCATAAGCCTGTTTGATTTCCTCACTGCAAAATCCAATCTTGAATTGTCTCTCAAAGAGCCTATCAGTGAAGGCCCAATTACGAAGCTCTTTATAAGGTTGGATAGAAACCATAAACACAACCTGAAATTTCAAAATCGAAATTAAACTATGCAACCATTTTTACAACTGATTACTGATGTATAAGAGACATGTTGTTTGAAGGCATTATGTAATAATTTTTTGGCCCCTTTTATTTTGTCAAATTAATTCACATTGAAGCATACTTCTTAAGGCCTTTTTTTTATGATCTGCATCTGCATGATAATTTGTTAATAGATAGTTTGTATTTCTCTAAAGAAAATTGATGAAAACTAATGTTTAAAATATTACCTTTTCTAAAATATAAAGATATTAATTTCTTTTAATAATGCAGGAAAAGTATAAAAGAGAAGATTTGTTTCCTATGTAAAATGAAGTTGAATATTTATTTATATCCATTAAAATAGAAAGTACCCCATATTGCTCACATTGTAACTTCCCATTAGTATTGTAAGTAGCAATTCAACTATTAAAATAGGATCAATAATTCCAGATATTACAACTACATGAAAAAAAAAATTGTCCATTTATAATATTAGTAGCAGCTACAATATAATAGATAAGTTCTGTATTTTATTCTCAGCAATATAAACCTTAATTTTGAAAACTGTGTTGTGTACCTAATATGACACTTAATAATATAATTAATTGGCTTTTCTAAGAAGTATTTATTATTTATTAATAGTATAAATCAATTAATTAATCAATAGCAATTTAGAAGAATTTAATCCAAACATCGTAACATATACTGTGACCTGTAGATGAACTGTTAAGAAAATTAGTGTATGATAAGAGATCACAAGTATTTACCTAATGTCTATTATTTGGCATTATATAGTTAATGAATAACTCTGCCTAATAGCAGCAGCAAAAAGTAGCAGCAGACCTCATGCTGTTTCATAAACAATATTGCACAATGATAATTATATTCCGTAATGAGATGATCCAGAGAAGGTTGGCTAAACATACACATAGCAGTACCTTACCCTTGAAAGGTCTTGTCGACAAATAGGGCACTCATTTTGCAGGCACAGCACTCGCATTCGCGTAGAACACTCGAAACATACGGGATGATCACATTCTCCAATAGAATAGTACAAAACGTTCTTGAAACAAACTACGCAAGCATTTTCACTAGTCTGCGAGTCGGCCATGGTTTCCAACAGGATTCTGTAAAATTACACTCTGTGTTAATAATATAAAGGTTATTTTCCAAACTTTGATATATTTTCAACTATAAATTCAGTACATACGTAAGAAAATGAGAAGGAAGGACGACCGAAAATTTCGTGTTGTAAAGTGACAGCAAAAACTTGTTGCCACATTTAAAATTTTTTTTTATACATCTCTCTCTTCATCCCATTTTAGAGTATCTATTTCTCTCTTAAAAATTTGAAACATTTCATGTAGTACAGGTTGCAATGCAACACCGAAATTTAGTTTTGGCAGAATATTATTATGAAGGCACAACATTTCTAAAGTTATTACGAAGTTTTAGTGTTCTACATGGAAGAAGAGCTAAAATTGAACAAAGTAAATATTTGGTGACTCGACATTTAATTGCCTCCTTCATTAGTATTTTTTTTTTACTATATACGCTAAAGTAGGCAGTTGGTACTACTAGTGGTCCGGAGGATTTAATAACAGCTGTCTCCGGACGCCTCCTATTTTAGGCACAGAATGGCACACTGTGGTTTTATTCGGTTCGATTTAGACATACCGCTCCATCGTGAACCCCGGTGGGGCGAGGGGATATTGATTTTGTATTGGTTGTGGGCTCCGGTAGTAATTAGAGTAAGTATTTAGACTCAAGAATGGTCCTTTACACGTGAAGGATAGGTTAGCTAGGTGAGCCAACTAAGCTTCTTCCAGAAGTGCAAAAGCCTCCTGGGGTGTTTACAGCCTCATAGGAGCGATTCTGTGTCAGGTAAAAGAGTAGGCCATTGGGTGGCCACTCCCGCGCATTCTAGGATTAAGTGGACGACCGTTCCTTCTGCTTTTAGATATCCTCTGCAAAGAAGACTGTTGTTGCATAAATGGTGAATTGTTGTCGGTTCAGGGTGGCCCGTTATAGTTGATACAACCAGTCGGATGTCAAGTCTGCTAAGACTCATCAATCTGTGAGTAAGTCTCAGTGATACTACAGTCAGCACCAGTTTGGACTGTCTGCAGCCGGATCAGCTTTTCTACCTCCAGTTGTGTTCTTTACGAGAGCGTTGTTTAGCTCAGCCATCTGTGGCGTCATTCCTGTGTGAATTACTATGCCGTTTAATCCATTGGAGGAGTACCCCATTTGTTGTGGCAAGCTACTCCAATGCTTGATGGCATACGAAGACAATACCAGTCATGCTGTCTGACAATATTCAAAAACCCTTTGACATGACTTGTGGCAGCGTAAGTTATTGCCTTTATCTTAGATTTGGCGCTAATGTGCAATGCTCTTCGTGTGCTAAGTGAGCTTAGCTTAGTTTCATCATTACATCACATCAACAGCCTTTACCAGTCCACTGCTGGACATAGGCCTCTCCTTAGAAAGGAGGTTTTGGCCTACTATACCTCGCTGGCCAGACGGGTTGGTATAGGGTTTGTGTCAAGTTTTCCTTCTCTCTGCAGTGATGTTGTTATGCGTAATTTTTTCCCGTAGTCGGCTCTTACGACACCCACGCGATGAATAGGGGTGGTGACACTCTGTATTCTTAATCCGTCACCACACGGAGCTTAGTTTAGATTTGCAAAATCGTTATATAAGCCTAATGAGTCCAAATCAGAAAATTGATAATGTGATTCAAATATTTAGACGAAGAACAACTGAGCCTTTTCATAGTACGTACCGTATTGTGAAAAGGCTTTGGAAGCGGTGGATAAACCGAAAGTTTTTGGAGTGGAGCTACACAACGAAAGTGAAAGAAATATATAGCAACCCATAGATCCAGAGACGTTTTAATTTCAATTGGCAGCTTCTATTCTAGATCATCGCCATCATAAACATCATCTACTGCTAGACATATGCCTCTGCTTAGAAAGGAGGTTTTGACCTACTATACTACGTTGGGTTTGTGTTGGGTTTTTTTAAAGTTTTACTTCTCTTTGCACTGTTATCCTGCAGAGTGCGCTTCCTTAGTAGGCTCTCACGACACCCACGGGGTGAAAACCGTCGTCTAAATCCGTAACCACACGGACGGAACTACCACACGGAATATCTAGATGTGTAACCATGATCCAATTCGTTTGGTTCTCTTGGCTAAAAGTAACGTAGGTCAGTTGCCAATCATCGTCATCATCATCTCAGCCAAAAGACGTCCACTGCAGGACATAGACCTCACCCAAGGTTCAGCCAAACATCCGAGCCTGTGCAGCTAGTTAGTTGCTAATCGCTTCAGTGTAATAACCAAATCTTGGATAATTGTCATACCCTGAGCAAAAACTTAGGGAGCAACCGGTATGAACGCTAGACTATAAAATTTACTTATTCTATACAGGAGTTTAATCTGCTTTATTCCAATATTTATTCGAGAGAATTGTTGACATGACATTTAACTACTATGCAAGAGGCATATGTCCAACGGTAGCCTGTTTTAGGCTGTTGATGTTGATGATAACAAAATATTTTAACGATTAACATCCATTATTCATCATCTAATGTGTAAAAGTGGATTCACAGTTTCGGGGAATCCCTGAAAATCTGTACTCTTTCGAGCATAGACAAGTAGGGCTGCCATACGTGTTCAAACCAAAATCGACCAAATGTACAAACAATCCAAAAAGTAAATAAATAATAATCCCCCATGTCATCAAAAATAAGGCAATCAAATAAACCCCCTCTCCGCCTTTTGTGCTTACGTAATACTTGAATGGCCCCTTATTTTTTAAGTATATACTATGTCGGTACTAATTTGTATCGGTGTCGTACAATTTTGATATTCGTTATGTCCATTGTAGCGGTAGCGGTAGGCGGCCAGCGTGTTAAAGTAGGCCAAAACCTTCTTTTTAAGTAGAGGTTTATGCCTAGTAGTGGACTATTAAAGGTTGTCGATAATGATTGATGATGACGTGATATGAATTTGTAAACAGTAAAATAGAGGGTTTCTGGAGAGTATGACGTAAAAATTATTCTGTTAAATCATTTGTTATAAATACCAATAAGTAACAACTAAACGAATTACATTCTACTGCTATTACGACACACACAGAGCAATGAGCTATGCAATGTGATGATGTAGAAAATGTTATTGACAATGTACTAACTGCTATGATAATCATCTCATCATCTTCATCCCAAAAAATTAATAGTCCGATAACTGTTGTAACCTTGAAAATTTTATCAGGTCATATTTTAGGTATTTGTCCCCACTTATCATTTGAATCGCTTGTTCAAATACATCAAGACGAGGCACTAAACCTTCTTAACAATTTTACCTCGTCTGGGTTCAAAACTGATAGAACCTGAAATAATTTTCTTTAAAACAATTAAATTTACAAGTGTAATAATCATTTAATAAAAGATATTATGCCTTGTTAACAATCTTTGTAATATTTATAGTTATGTCACGTCGTAATGCATTTCCATTCTTTTGTTTTGGAGTATTGATGTGGCAATGTTTAATTTGTTAAACAGTTAAAAAATTATTTTGTATTTTGTTCATAAATTCATCATCGCAGAATCTTTACATACTGTCCCCAATTTCAGAGTCGCGCTAGACACTCGAATTTCCTAATGAACATTTGGAAACTCAAGTGTCATACACACACGACCATAGATAGTACTGCTAAAAGCACCTTGCACAATCCTTCAACTTTTGTGCACAGTATGAGTGATCGATTGATGTCAGTACACAACTTAAATTTTGTCCTGGTAGAAAATATATTCAGTTAACATGATAAATGATTTTATAAAAAAACGTTGAATTAACAGAAGATAAAAGAACCTGAACTACCTATTATCTACCTTTATGCATTGTTATTTCAGAAAACACACCTATTTATCTTTAGTACTAAAAGACTCTGTATCTGTGGTCATAAATGAACTTGAAAAAAAGTAGTTAACGGTTTGAAGTTTAAAGTCGTTGATGAGACGTTGTTAGATTTCAAATTGATTTAAAGTTCGTTTGTTGTATTTGGAATCAGTGTTCAGATTAGAAAACTTATGTTATTACAATGTGTAAGAAGGAGTAATTTGTGATTAACAAAACAGTCTTCAAAGATGTATTTTCAAGTATGTTTAAAGAAATTTGAGGATGACCACTCATTTATTTTTTATTTATTTGTACTGTCTTCGTTCTTCTTAGATCAAAAGGATAGTAGGATTAAAACAAATTTGAGAAGGTTTACTCATTAGTTTATGTTTTTTGCAAACTTTCCTTTATCTTAGATCGAAAACACTCCTGAGCATATTCGACGAGCTCGTCGCACCGTTCCTGTGCCCAAAGAATCACCGAAAGAAGAATGCCCTCGTCTGGTTTTGGCACCATTTTCTCGGCCTCCCCAAGTTGTATTTGATAATGTCCTTGTTGGTTCAACTTGTGAAAGAACTTTGGAAATATTCAACCCTTCTAAGAACATCCAACAGGTACAAGTAATATAACATTACACTTTAACAATCATTGTTTAATCTTATACCACAAAAATTCAATGTGTAAAGTGTGTGGAATGACTAACTTATAGACTATTTATTTTGTATACAATCATTTTATTGCACCATACTACAACAATAATTACATGAATGCTAATATTATAACTGGTTAGTATTGAAAAATTCTTGTTGTATTGGATAGCTCATTTATCGAGAAAGGCTAAAGGCTGTAATGTGATGTTATACACACTACGACAACTAGACTATGACTATGAGAGTATCAATAAGAAATGTTTCTAATTCATGAAAAAATATTATTTTTTTGAGATGCAGAATAAGTTGGGCGGATCAGCTAGTTGTTAATAATAGTCTGTGCTTTTTATCAAGTTTTATAAATATTTTGTTTATTAAATTAATTAGTTATTATTAAAATTCAAGTTATATAGCAAAAATTATTTTATTAATAAACATTGCTGTTAATATTTTGACACTCGGTTGCGTTATCTTTCAATGTCCTGTTTCAATTCAATTCTTCAGATAACTTAGTTAGTACTCACCTAGTTGCCATAGTTTAAGAGTTAACTGAATCTGGGTTGTAATTTTTTTATTCTGATTAAAATGGGATTATATTCTATCTATCTATTATATCTATAAACTCATTCTGATGTAATGTAAATTAAAATATTTCAAATTATATTTTTAATTGTTTAGATAACTCTTGGGAAGTCGCTACCTCTTGGTTTGGATATCCAGCTACCATCAGAATGGATACTTTTAGAGCCTGAAACCTGTTACTGTGTTACTATGTCATGGACCCCTACACAGCCCACTGCCACAAGAGAAACTGTACGTTTTACGAATGAAAATAGAGGCAGATATGATGTCATTGTGGTTTTAAAATCTGTTTTGGTAAGTATCATAATTTCCTACTAGTTGCAGTTCTCAAGTTGGATGGCTTGGACATTCTAAAAATGGCAAGTCATGGTGTAATTTGTTACTTGAACTTTAATAATAATAATTAATAATAATAATTATTTTATTTTTCTTCTCACAATCACCAATCAGTACAATATTAACTTACATCAATAACTAAAATTAGAAACAGTAATTGTGAGAGGACTGGTGTCTGAATTAGACATAAGCCTGTAGCTCAGATCACCAGGCACTCACCCTTCTTAAACATTTCTTTGCTGTCAATACATTATCAATGCAAGTCAAGGAAATACATTTAAAAGACTTTCAAGAAAACTTTCAAGAGGCGACGTGCCTGGCCCCAGAGTAGTCTCTCTGGTGGTTGGGGCCATTGAGGCGCTGGGCTTACGGGTGGCCTTGGATAAGACGGAGGCCCGCTTATTTCATGTGGTCCTCACCCTGGCGCCTCAATCGTTGTCAACTCGGTCCTCGTACCAGAGAACTCGTCTACCATGGGCTACTTTTGCCTAATATGGGTGGACTCAGCGTCGCGACGAGACGGCTGTACACGGGGGTTGTCCGGTCAATGGCACTATATGATGCACCATCGTGCGGCCGCTCGTCGAGCTACGATAGTTCGTTGGTCGTCCCGACTGGAGGCTCCATGTTCTAGTTTTGCCGCCGTAGAGGCGCTCCAACTGCTTATCGTCGAGTGGCCAGGGCGGCAGCACGGGACCCTTTCCTTCCGACTAACGACGACGACCCCTGGCGACGACGACGACGCCCGGCTTGGGCGTCGCAGCGTCAGGTCACTGCAGTCATCGGAGATCTCTCGGTACCGGTCGTTTTACGCTCCATGGAAGACTTCATCTCGCAAAAGGAGCCGGCGGAGAGAGCCCGCAAGGATCATTCCCATTCGGACCCAATTCGCCCCCGCGAACCGGACAGCGGAGGCGCGCTTACCAACGCCTCATGCCGCCCTTAGTGTGGCCGCGGGTGGACGGAACGGGTTTTCCCCTCCATCCGTCATAACGGCTAGCCGCGAGGAGGCGACTTTCGCTTGTACCGGACTTCGCCTAAATAGAGAATGTACCCGAAGGTGGTGCCCGCGCCGTTGCAGGCATGCACTAGGAGGAGTCCGGATGTCTTAATAACAGCAGTTCCTGGAGCCCGCCTATTACAGGCTCAGAGTGGTATACACTTAAAAAAAAACTGGGGTTGTGTCAAGTTTTCCTTCTCTTTGCAGTGCTGTTATCCTGCATACTCCCGACGCCTTAGTCGACTTGAAAAACTTAATGTGTACTATTTTTGAAAGTTCCATCTTTCAATCTAAACAAACCAAAACCTTACTGTAGTCTATTGCAGAGGATGAGGCCTTGTGCTGCCATGACAGAATATCTTCTGACTATGAATCAACATTGGGACAAAAAAAAACATAATTGTTTAGTACACAAGTAGGAATGTAATTAAATCAAAATTAAAAGAATGGTTATAATATAGACTAATAATAAATATGTTTGTTACAGAGTATTAAAGGGAGAAGTACCCTAACCAAAGGTTTTAAAATATCTCCTGGTAAAGTAAAGAAAAAAGTTGGTAAGAAGTCTCCTGTGTCAATATACAAGAAGAAATGTGAAATTATATACAATACTACACAGATTAAGAAGACCTACACTGAAATTCAATCTAAGCAGAGATTCTCTCAAGTGTACAACAAAGAGAATATGAGTATTAATGACAATACTTTCGATTCGCGACCTGACAAATGCCCATTTGATTCACCATCTAGTATTGACTTTCATTTTGATACATCTGAAGTTTTTTCAAACTTAAGAAAGCCTGATCTATTACAACAAACTTATGACAAGTCCATTACAACTAACAACTTATTAAATGTTCCACACAACATACTCAAGCCATCAAACAAACAAACATGTGATGTTTCAGCCACAGAAATATTTGATAATCTAACTTTTACTCCTTTAAAAACTAAGACAGAAAAAACGGAAAAGTTAGATAAGGGCCCTAGAATAATACTGAGTATGAACTCGGAAAGTGAGCTTGATGACAGTTTAGATATAAAAAATACAGATGAAAAAGAAAATCAAACTCATTCCATCATTAGTATAACATCATTTCAGCCACCAAATAAGTGGTTAACAGTAAATCACCATACACAATACGAAAGTCACGTAGAAACTCCCAATGTAGTTCCTAAGAAACAACCGAATACATCATCGCCTAAGGAACTTAACAGTCCTAACTTCTCTATCAACACAGAATTCTCTCGTATAAGTGATCTATCATTTTTTCCTCAAAGATTCTCCACAGAAAGGAAATATTTTCCAAAATTAAACAATGAAACGCACGAACTGTTAGATGATCCTATTAAACTGAGTTCCGATACTTATACAAAAGACTCTCCAAACACACCAATGGAACCAAACTTTAATATTGCACATGAAACAAGACCTCCACACTTCTTTATGAAAGATCAACCGAAAATGTGTAGACAGGCCCTCTTTAGAGAATACCAGTATCAAAGGGAGGCTTTTGATCAAAAGAGCTTACTCAGTCCATATGAGCATCATGTTTGGCAAAGTGACTTTCGAGTAGATGCTAGGTCACCGCCGAGATCAATAACACCCCCTCTACAATCGATCCCTGAGGAGAGTGCACAATTTTCTGACATTCAAGTTTTGGACAAAACTGATAGGCATAGAAACACATTCACGATAAATCGTACTTTTGATAAGTCAACTGATCATTTCACCGCGACACATAGTAATAGTAGACAGTCATGGTCTAAGAAAGCCGTTAGGGCTGAACCGGACCTTTGGAAAATACCCATCACTCATGTTAAGAAATCGGTGAAGAACAAACCGACGACAAAAAATAAAGATTGTAGTGATGGTCAGACATCAAATACTACATTCGAAGCTAATAAGAGCAACATACAAAATATGACGGTAAATAAAATTGGAAATGTTTACTCTCAATCTTCAACTGTGGATCCATTTGTGTCTTCTACATACTTTTATGATGAAGAAGCTGTAGAGAAATTTGAATCCGAATTTAAAAGATGGTTGAACTGCATACTGACACCACCAGCCGACCTAGACAGCAACATAGAACAAAAAATTGATGTTGGAAAAGCTTGGATTGAAAATAGAAATAAAGAAGTTCCATTTGCGCCGACAAAAGAGCAAGTTTCAAGCTTATATCACAACAGTCATAGACTAGTGAGTCTCAGAAGATCGGCCAGGGCATTACTAATGAGTCCTGAAATCTCTCTAGTCTTCCAGAAATTGACCATGCAGATTGAAAAGAAACTAATAGCTATCAGGACTGATCGAAATCTCCATTTGGATGTAGGGTTGCAGAAGATTATCATGGAATTGTTATTGTCCTATAACCCCCTGTGGCTGCGCATCGGTCTCGAAGCCATCTACGGCCTTATTTTACCCTTGAAATCAAACAGTGATATAGAAGGCCTCACTACGTTCATTATTCAGAGGATGTTCAAAAATCCTTTTCTCAAGAACAAACATTCAAAAATAAGTGCACCAAACATGTTACTCCCCGCTTATATGGAAGCTATTAAGAAGTTTACTTTAAAGAAATTCTTTATGTTGGTGTACTTTTTAGACCAAGCCAAACAAAGGAAACTCATATCGCATGACCCTTGTCTATTTTGCAGAAATGCTATCTGCAAAGAAAGCAGAGAAATTATAATAAGATTCACTAGGGAAGTGATAGCCGGTATTGGCGATATTACAAAACATTTGAGACCACTGGGCTATGTCGTAAGTCACAAGCAATCTTATTTAGACGAATACAAATATGCGGTTCATAACATAGCTTTGGATATAAGAGATGGGGTAAGACTGGTGAAAGTTATGGAGATAATTTTAATAAAAGAAGGCCTATTGAGCCAACTGCGAACGCCTGCGATATCGCGACTACAAAAGATTCATAATGTTCAAGTCGCTCTAAATGCACTGAAGGAGTCAAATTTTGTTATTCACGGTGATATCACAGCTACTGACATAGCTGATGGACATAGAGAAAAGACATTGTCTTTACTGTGGCAAATCATTCACGTTTTTCGCGCCCCACTTTTCGAGAAAGCTGCAAATATTATTCAAACTTGGTGGCGAAAAAAATACGAAGTCATTTTCGAAAAGAAAACTGAAGCTGCAAAAGTTATTCAGAAACGTTTTAGATTTATTAGAGAAGGACGAAAAATACAGATCAGCTATCAGAACTTGAGGAAATCGGTCATTTTTGTTCAACGTAGGTATCGCGAGAATAAAATAGCTCGTGTTAATAGACGAAATGAGGCTGCACGTAAAATACAAAATTGGTACGTAGCTACACGAAAACGTAACGAATGCCGTCAAAATTTCATAAAAATAAAACAGACCGTAACAATGATACAGTCTATAGTCCGAATGCATATCGTTCGCAAGAGATTTATTATTGTAAGGAACGCCACATTGTGCATTCAGAGATTTTACCGTTCTTACAAAATTACCACTATTGAGAGACAAAAGTATCTTAAAACTAGAGATTATATCATAAAATTGCAAAGCTATATCAGAAGATTTATTGCAAGAACACGTTACTGTAAAATGCTCGCTGCTGTAAAAACGATTCAGGCCGTTTACAGAGCTAAGAGGCAATGGAAGCTTTTACAAAAACTTCGTATGGAAGCAGCAATATGTTTACAAAAATATACGCGGCGATACATTGTCCGTTCACAATATCTGCAATATTTAGAAAAAGTTAGATACGTCCAGACAACATGGAGGCAAAAAGTGCATACAAGAAGTGTCCGTGGTAAGTTTTTACAAACCAGAAAACTTGTAATTAAATGTCAATCCATCGTAAGAGGGTACTTGGCGAGGAAACACATTCATGTCAGAAATGAAGCTGCGCGAAAAATACAAGAGTGGTACAAAGCTACCAAGAAACGTAATGATTGTGTACATGAGTTTAAGACACTAAAAAAGACAGTAACGGTTATACAGAGTATAATCCGAATGACCATTGTTCGCAAAAGATTTATCAGGATTAGAAAAGCTACGTTGTATATACAGACATATTGGCGTTCCTACAGACTAATGAAGATTGAAAGGCAAAAATATATTCAAATAAGATATTCTGTAACAAAATTACAAAGCTATACTAAGACCTTTATTGAAAGAAAACGCTACTGTAAACTACTCTCTGCTGTGAGAACTATTCAAGCTACTTACAGATTCAAAAGGCACATGAGACTTTTACAGCAACGCAGAACAGAAGCAGCAATATGTTTGCAGAAATATGTAAGGCAGTATGTAACTCGTTTACGGTTTCTGGAATATAAAGAAAGGGTTTTATACGTGCAGAGAATATGGAGGGCCAAATTGCTAACAAGGCAGCTCCGCATTCTCAACCAAAATAAGGCTGCCTGCAAGATACAACAATGGTATATAGCTACGAAAAAACGTAACAGTTGTCGCCAAGAATTTTTAGCTCTGAGAAAAACAGTTACAATTATACAATCTTTAGTCCGAATGCATATTGTTCGCAAACGATTTGTTATTGTAAGAAACGCTACATTGTACATTCAAAGATATTACCGCTCTTATAAACTAATGACAATTGAGAGACAATTTTATCTTAAAAAGAAGCAGTCGATTATAAAATTACAAAGTTACGTTAGGGCCTACATTCAAAGAAAACGTTTCCGTAAATTAGTCTCCGCTGCGATAAAGGTCCAGGCCGCTTATAGAGATAAAAGGCAAAGGAAACTTATACGCCAACGTAATACGGACGCAGCAGTATGTTTACAGAAATATGCGAGACGTTATCTTGCTCGTTCAAGATATTTGCAATCTTACCAAAAGATTGTTTTGATACAGAAACAATGGAGAGCGAAGTTGCTCACAAGACAACTCCGCATTCTGAAACAGAACGTGGCTGCCTGTAAAATACAACATTGGTACAGAGCTACGAAAAAACGTGATACATGCCGCCAAGAATTTTTGACACTGAAAAAGACCGTCATATATATACAATCGAAAGCCAGGATGTGTATGGTTCGTAATAGATATGTTATTACAAGAAATGCTGCATTATGCATTCAGAGGTTTTACCGCTCTTACAAACTAACAACATTTGAGAGACAAAAATATCTTAAAACAAAATTTTATGTTATAAAGTTACAAAGCTACATAAGAAGATTTATTGCCAGAAAATGTTTCTGCAAATTACGCTCATGCGTGATTATAATTCAAGCCGCTTACAGAGCTAAACTACAAAGACAACGTGAACAGAAACGTAGAACGGAGGCAGCGATATGTTTACAGAAATATACGAAACGATTTATAGTGAGGGCGCGATACCTGCAATACCTGCAGAAAGTTCTTTACGTACAGAGAACATGGAGAGGCAAATTACTCACAAGACACATCCAGAATTTGAAACAGAATGAAGCTGCAAGTCAAATACAACAATGGTACAGAGCTATAAAAAAACGGGACATTTGTCGCCAAGACTTTTTATTATTAAAAAAGACCGTGACGTTCATACAGTCTTTAGTGCGAATGCGTATTGTTCGCAAGAAATTTGTTATAACTAGAAGTGCCATATTATGTATACAGAGATATTACCATGCTTACAAAATTGCAATGGTTCAGAGAGAAAACTATCTTCATATAAGATACTGCATAATAAAAGTACAAAGCTTTATCAGAAGCTTTATTGCACGAAAACGCTATAACAAGTTGCGCTCTGTTGTAGTTAGATTACAAAGAGCTTTCAAAGCAAAAAAAGAAATGAAAGCTATGCAGCAACGTAAAATAACAGCAGTAATATGTTTACAAAAATATACTAGACGATATATAGTTCGTTCGCAACACGTAAGATATCTAGAAAAAGTAACATACATACAAAGAATATGGCGTGGAAAATTACTAACACGCCTAATTAGATGCGACTTTTTACAGAAGAAAAGGATTATTATCAAATTTCAGTCTATTTTAAGAGGTTATTTAGTAAGAAAATACATTCAGGCTAAGAAGGAAGTTATTCTAAAAGAAAAAGAGGAGCAGAAACGTAACGTGGCTGCTTCCAAAATACAGGTACCAACTTATCCTTTTTGTTAAACATTTCCATATTTGCCAATTCTATAAATGCGAAAGTATTAATCTTGTACGTCTTGGCAACTTAACCGATCATCATGAAGTTTTCATGTCATTCGTACAGAAAAAACCTCATGGGATACTCCCTTGTCTTTGTTACGAATGTTATGAAGAGATACCCTAAGTTGAATGATTTTAACGTGAGACGTGAGCAAAGTTGCCGAAAAAAGCTAGTTAATTATTAACTGTCTGTCCTTTTAGTGGTTGCGCCGTATCCTGCTTTACTTTTTGGTCTTATTTTCTAATAACGAATTCTTTTAGGCACTTTGTCGCGGCCATTTGGCAAGAAAGAGTATGGCTCATGATAAGCGAGTATCCGAACTGCGCCATAGATGGCGTGATGGCGGGTTGAAATCAAATCAGGAGTCCATGAAAGAGCGCAACGAGGAAGCAATGGAGGTGCTGCGTAATATTAGTGGTATTGAAACTGTGATCAAAGCTTTTAGATCTCTTGGTGAGTATCACCGATTACATAATCATGAAATAAAAAAAAACAATAATGTTCGTTAATTGTGTGTAATTGCAATCGAAACTGCAATAATTTAATTAAATTCCTTTTCTTTTCTAGAATTGCTTACTGAAGTATTTCCTATGTTGTACAACGACAATGCTTCGGCCATTGTACACAGAGTCTACACGTACATGTCGGTGACAAACAGATCAATTTCTAGCATAGAAGTGTTGAAGTCTGCGGCGGCGGTTCTTGTTAACTTAACTCGGTATAAAGTTACGGGACCAAAAATTTATTTGGTAAGTAAATGTGTTTTGTTTTTTTGCAATTTCATCATGATTCAGCTTGATAAAATTTAAGTTTTCTATATAGTTCTTCATTTATCATACTTCATTCATCTTTGCTTGAAAAGTTTGCTTTTTTCAAAGTTACTAAAGGACTAAGTTTTGACATAATTATCATTGAATAATATAATTATCATGTTATTATGATTTGACTATAATTTTAACTATTATTATTTATACGCATGTTCTATAGATATCCAATTTAGACGAGAAGTTGTGATGCATGTTAGGCGATGCCTGGTAGAACTTGATGAACTGATTAATGTAGGTATTTAATGTTGTCCTGTCACGCCAATGAATAATTATACGGTTGGCTGTGTCGGTCCGTTAATCGGCTCACATGCATTTTTAGCTTGGTCCTGTTCATATACCTCAAGAAAAAGTAATAATTACGTATTTTAGAAAATAAGGCAATATTAAATGGCGCACATTCTGGCATCATTTAAAAAAATCACTAGGTTCATCAAATACGGTAAACGGCGCCATTGATAGGATTAAGCAAAAATACATTTTTGTGTTTTTGCAGATCCATCACAATAATGTTGTATTAAATGTTAAAACCACAAATGCACGCTACTACGGCTGAGCTGCACTTACAGTAGTCGCATATGAAATGAAACATCACTTGCTGTCTGATGTCAAGCAGATATTGTTCAAATCAAGTAGCGCGCGCGCTTCCCCGTCTCTTTGTTACACTCTTCTGCCCCGTTTTTTTCTTTCACGAAATAACTCAAATAATATTTTTATTGCAGAGAGATCGTATACCACCCATATTAAAGTTTATGTGGAGGTTCAGCAATAGCGAAACACAGTTGTTCTCTATAATGGCGACATATTTATGGCTGTTCTCCAAATATGAAAACATCAAGAAGGTAGGACCTCCAAAACCTCTGTTTTAAGATGTAATTTTTTAATATTGCTATAGTTTAAATTTTGCTTCTCTTATCCATACAATTTGTGTCTCCAGGACTTGACCGAACTTCTCAAGATACCAGATAATCACCGAATGCTGTTAACAATCAAAGGTAATGTTGACAGAAGTAAAAGAATGTCGACAAATGTTATGAAGAACAAGTTTCATACACCGCAAACCTCAAAATTCGTTTCAAAGAACCAGTCTATGAACAGGAGTGTTTGCAGTGTAGGAAACGTCGATATTGTATTGCCGGCTTTAGAACCAGATTACGGCATTGTACGAATTGACAAACCGAGGTATTTTGAAGACGCCCAGGAAGCCATTAATTGTTTATTCCTCACTTACAAGTTGTGATAATGTTTATTTGTTTAGATTAATTTAATTATGTAGTGTTATATGTTAAAGTAGTTAGTACATTTTTAATACGTTAAAACATTATTTTCGACCAACTGCAGTCCACTGCTCTACCAACTGAGCTATCGAAGGCTTCGCCTTTGATGATCTGAAGTCAAAACATATTTAATATATATTTTTTAAAGTAGTACTGATAATTATGCTGTTGAAAGTTGTTAAAGAATTTGACGATTTGTATCATGGTTTGTATCATTTAAAGAAATGATGGAATATGCCGAAAATTTATGTGACCTACGTCATTGTACTATTTAACAAAATGATATGTTTTATAATACTAGATTTATTAAAAAACGTTTACAGTTATGATCTCGGTCATGAGAAATCTGCTATTGAACAAAAACCTCTTTGACCTTTTGCCACTTTGATCCACGTCATTCAAAGTGTAACAATTTGTGTAAAGGTCTTCACTTAGGTATAAATTAGGTCCAATATCCGACTTAGATCACTATTTTTTCTTTTTAAGTCAAAACGTGATCGATATTTGTTTTTTTTCATTTATATCACTTGTATTATGCTATTATGGACTGTTAATTATTTAATTTTAATTTATATAAAGAAACTACGTATCTTAAACACTAAACACTTTGATTTCGAAACAGGTTGATAACTTTCTTGCCCTATAAACGTATTGCAAATACTAACGTGTTACTGACCGCCGAAGGAGAACATATTAGGAATGTAGGATCGTCAGGTGAACCAGTAAACCGGTAAATTAGTTAAACCTTCATGACCGTGCAGCCAGTGCCATAACTAGAAGGGTGCCTAGGCAAAGGTTCTGGGGGGTGCAAATATAACCGAACCATCGTAAAATAGATGTAAAATTGATTTTTCGTTGGGGCGTGATTACAAAATTAGATACGACACTGCGTGCAGCTTTATGGCTGATCCACATCTGGCAGCACGGAATCGCATTTATTCCTCCTGTGCTACAACGTGCTGAAGTATGCTGCTGCCAGCGGTCGCATTTGTATGCTTTATTTGTTATGATTACAGTATAGTTGAGTTGTTGTAAGTTTGAAATGGATAGGAGCGCAGTGATATAGCGTACATTTTGCAAAATCAGAATAACAGGACTAAAAAGAAACGAATTCGTAAAAATTAAGACTAGATACTGGGTTGTTCCCTTTTGAAAGCAGAGGTTTAAGAACTCTACGCAGTTTCTGGACTAAGTAACAAATCCAGATAGATTTCTAGATTATTAAATGACAATGATTTCAACAAATCAATTGGCCTGCCGCCTACTCTTTAAAAGCAAAACAAAGTTTTGGAAGTGTATGTCTATGAAACAATAAAGATTAAAAGTAATAAGGTTTTTTAAGATGCTGTCATCTGACTTTACTCGACAGAAGTAGCTACAAGTAATGTGGTGCAGGAGTAGGCAGAACCTTATAATTAACTTACCTACTGTGGACCTTATCCTCCGTTCTAGTTGGGTCTGGTAAGCAATGCAACTCTTGAAAAGAAAAAAAAACATAAAAACAAACTGACTTACGTTGAGAGTCAGAAGATTATATGAAAGCCACTGCATCACCTTACCTAGAGCGCACTCAGCCGCAGAGAATGTCTCGGACCAATTGGAACCGTGAATGAGTAGAGCTGTGTTATCTGCGTAGGTGTAAATTGAACATTTTGGTATGGAAAGGTTACAAAGTGCATTAATGTACATCAAAAACAATGTTGGGCCGAGAATGGAACCTTGAGGAACGCCATAACTAAGGGGGATAAAATTACTCAATGATGACCCTATTTTAACACACTGCATTCTATTATTGAGATAACTTTGAAAAATTAGTAAAGAATGTCCTCTAATGCCAAGTTTCTCCATTTTAGTAATTAGATGGGGAATTGAGACAGTGTCAAAAGCCTTGGCGAGATCAAGAAAGATGCCTGCATGGATGGCGTAGTGGTTTAAGCGGTCGCCACGCCGCTTTCTATTACGCTGAAGTGTTGTGGGTTCAAACCCCACATGGGACAACACTTTGTGTGATCCACAAATTGTTGTTCTGAGTCTGGGTGTACTTTGTGTCCGTTTCATGTATGTTTGTAAAGTCTCCTGCGACACAGGATTTATTCCTAGTGCGGGAGTTGTCTTTTAAAAAAAACTAAAAAGATACCGATACATTTCTGTTTATTATCCATCTTATCGATGACATTGTCTACAAAAGATGCAACGGCATCCTCTGTGGATATGGCATTTCTAAAGCCATACTGATTACTTGCTAAAATATTCTCCTTACTTAAAAAGTTAATTAGTCTAATATTTAATATTTTTTCTAAGCGAAGGCAGAACAGATATCGGTCTATAGTTGTTGACACTGTCTATTTTACCCCTCTTGAGAATAGAATGTACGATTGCTTTCTTAAGGACTTCTTTAAAGATACCTGTTTCAATTACAATATTGCAGATATGGGTTATAGGGGGGACTAATGAAGAAGAGCACATTTGAAGCAATTTAGAAGGAATGCCGTCCCAGCCAACTGCTGAATCCTTACGGAGACTGTGAATTATAGTATTCACTTCAGATTCTTCAGTTGAAAATAGGCGTTGCTTGATGATTAGTACTAAGTTTTTGAGCTAGATCACGGCCTAAATTTGCAAAGAACTTATTCACCCTGTTGACAGACGCTTCCGGGTCTAGTTCAAGTTTAAGCAGAAATTACGATATCTAAGTTACTTTTAAAGTGTGGTTTTCAGTGTCTCTCTTTAGCTTGCGATATACCACATGCCAAAAAGTATCGACACCTTTTCGGTATCCCGTGGGCGTGTGTCATAGAGAAAATACAGATAGAGGAGAGAAGCAAGCCATGACCCGGGACGTTTTTAAATCGCAGTGTTCTTTTTCTTTCAAAAGAAGACAGCTATTTACATATGTCTCCCTCGCATCTCTTTGCTACTTTGATTGCCGGAGGTGGACGCGGAGAGAGAGCAAGAGACTGCAAATCAGCGAAGAGGTGCGAGAGAGATGCATGCAAATCGCTGTCTTCTTTATCTTTCTACTGACGTCGCTATTCCGATACTAACAGGCAATCCGATACCTTCTCTCCTCTACCTGTACTATCTCTATGGTATAGGTCTCTCAGTCATTTAAGTATAGTGTAATGTCAAATGTGTCAATCAATGGTATCAATCGTTAGAGGTTATGTCTTGCGTTTATAAACCTAGAGGCAGTAGCATTACATTGTGAATACGGATTCTGTCGTCGTCCGTTTGGTTAGCACGTGCGTCTAGAATTCTTGTGTGATTTTGTGACTATTGGGTCTTTTTTTTTTTTTGTTATTTTGTGCTGTCCTATTGGTTACGGTGTGTTGTTTGCAACTAAACATTACCGGTAAGTGAACATGAACGGAAATAAACCGCCCGACCCTCCCGATATTCCATATCCAGTAACCCCTCCTTTCACCCCTACTCCTTCCCTACCCGATCAACCCTCAACCCCTTCCAACCCCTTAGAACAGTTTGCCACTGTGATCTGCAATGCAGCGGTCCAAGATAATTGCCCTCTCGCTACAAACTCACGTAAACGACATGTGAACGATGAGGTAAGTACCCCCCCTATTAAACGTAGCCCTAATCAAGTAAGAAGCCCGCTAGGTCGTGACAAGTACACGACAAATGATACTGGTCCCTACATTGTGCATGTTTCCCGCATGGAGACCCAATTGGGTTCTGGCACAACTCTCCACCCTGTCTCTTTTGGTGTTTTCCTTTTTAAAAATAAAATTAACAATGTGGTCAGAGATGGAGTCAAAAAAGTAGGTCGTAATAGGGTGTCAGTACAGTTTGCATCCCCTCAGGATGCCAACTCATTTTTAATAAACCCCTTACTAAATTCACATAAATACACTGCCATCATCCCCACCTTTAACATCACTAGAATGGGTGTAGTATCAGGCATCCCCACCGACATGGATGATGAGGATGTCATTAAATTTGTTACAGTGCCGCAGGGTTGTGGCCCAATAATTAAAGTCAGGCGCCTTAATAGGAAATGTTTTACTGAAGGTCTATTGGAGTGGAAACCTACGGAAACCTGTGTCCTCACTTTTGATGGCCAGGTTCTGCCTAAAAGAGTATACTGTTGTTACAACTCGCTTCCTGTTCAACAATATATTTACCCAACCGTACAGTGTAGGAAATGCTGCAGGTTTGGCCATGTGGAGTCCATCTGCAGGTCCAAACCAAGATGCAGCAAGTGTGGCCATGAACATCCTGGTAATGGTTGTGAGGTATCAGAAAGAGAGGCCTTTTGTGTGCTGTGCTCCGGTGACCACTTTGCTTATAGCAAGGCTTGCCCGGAGTATGGTAGACAGAGAGCTATTAAGACCATGATGGCGGAAAGGAACATATCCTACATGGAAGCAAGCAAGGTTGTTCCCTCTCCAACACGCCGATACGCTGACATCCTAAAAGCTCCACAACTCAACCAACTCCCTCAACCTTCTCAATCCACTCAGCCTACCCAATCCCTCCAGCACACACAGTCCTACAAAAAAACTGTGGTTCGCCAACCTAAACCTCGATCCCCACTCTCACACTCCTACGATAAAGTCGCACACCAAGCCATTACTCAACCTCCCCAACCTTCACAACCTAATGGTTGTGCTATGAATAACTCATCCCTTGAATCCTCAACTATTGATCTTCTGTTACAACTCTTAACCTCCCTACTATCCCCCAATTCATCTCTATCCCAGTCTATTATACCGTCCAACGTTGCTGTCTCACTTATCAATATTTTAACAAATTTCAAAAATGGCGTCCCACAAAGTATTCCTACAATGGAATGTGAGGAGTGTATTCCATAAAAAACACGACCTCATATTCCTGTTGAACAAATTCAAGCCTCTGGCTATTTCTCTCGCTGAGACCTGGCTTTTACCAAGTCTCAACTTCCATGTCCCCCATTTCAATATTCTTAGATGTGATAGGCCTGATGGCTATGGAGGTGCTGCCCTCCTTATTAATAATAAAATCCCCTTAGTTCCCCTATCCTTGCCCCCATTCCTTGAGGATATCAGCGTGGTTGCAGCTAAGATCTGTAACATATCTGTGCTCTCTATTTATATAGCCCACCCCCATCAAAGTTTCCTGCCTACATTGAGAACGATTTTACAGGATCTACAGGGCCCAATATTGGTTATGGGAGACTTTAACTGCCATCACTATAGATGGGGATCTGAACACTGCGACTCTTTCGGTTCAGGTTTAGTGGAGATCCTCGATGATCTGAGCCTCTGCGTACTTAACAGTGGCTGCTCCACTCGTAGAGTTCTTCCTGGTCAAAATAGTAGCTGTGTGGATTTGACTATTTGCTCACTCGACATCGCCGCAGCTGCTAGCTGGCAGTGCACCGATCTGTCCCATGGTAGCGATCACTATCCAATTTTAGTAACCCTCCCAACTTCAACCCACTTGGTAAAATCTCCCCCCCCCCTTTTAAAATATATCCTTTCAGAAGCTAACTGGCAAAATTTCTCCCAAACCCTTGAAAACTCTGTGAATGCTCTCCCCAGACTAGACCTTAGACCCTTAACCCAGGATGATCGTTACCTGGTGATGGACTGTTGTGACGCGTTCGTAGAGGCAATCAGATCAAGTGCAGACAGTTCCTTCAAAATTAAAAACTCGAGCAAAGGCAAAATTCCGTCACCTCCTTGGTGGGACAGTGAATGTACTAGGGCAGTCAAGTATAGGAAGGAGTCCGAAAGGAGATACAATGCCGATATGACCACCCATAATCTACTCACCTACCAAAACGTTTTCGCCTCTACCAAAAGACTCCTTCGACGCAAGAAGCGCGCCGGTTGGGTTAAATTTTGTTCCTCCTTGTCCCCATCCACCCCATCCTCAATGGTGTGGAAGAACATAAATCGGTTCCGATCTGGTTGTTCGCCCTCTGTCTCTTCCTCTATCTCCCCCAATACAGCTGAGCTTTTCCTGGACAGAATAGCCCCCCCGTATGTCCCACAACTCGATGAAGCGACCTTACCAGTCTTACCGTTTCAGTCAGTGGATACCCATGACGACCCATTCTCTCTGGAAGAACTGAACATGGTCCTCAACAGTGTGCGAGACTCGGCTCCTGGCATAGACGGCATTCCATATTCTTTCATAGTTCAGGCCAAGCCTAGTACAAAAACTTATTTTTTAAACATTTTGAATTTCTGTTATTCTAACGGTTGGATCCCAGATACATGGAAAGTTCAAATTATTATCCCCATTCTAAAACCAGGAAAACATGCTGGTGATCCAAACAGCTTTAGACCAATCGCCCTCTCATCAGTCCTTATTAAATTATTAGAACATCTTATCAAAAACCGTCTCGAATGGATTGTAGAGTCAAGGAATCTACTGCCAAACTATCAGTTCGGCTTTCGCAAAGGGCTCAGTACAATGGACAGTGTTGCAGTTTTAATAACTGATATCCGTCTTTCTTTGTCACAAAATGCATCTGTTCTAACATCTTTTCTCGACATATCTGCTGCATATGACAATGTCTTAATACCCATTCTCAGGCAGAAACTGCATCAGCTGAGAATTCCGGTTAAGATGATCCACTGCATATGCGCAATGCTTGTGTCCAGAACTCTAGTCCTAAGGACCTTAGGTGAAGAGTTTGGCCAAAGAAAGACCTGGAGGGGCTTACCACAAGGCTCTGTACTGAGTCCGTTGTTGTACAATCTATACACTGCCGACATGGGTTCATGCCTAAACAATGATTGTAGCATCCTTCAATATGCCGACGATCTGGCATTATATGTTTCGAACCATTCCATCCAAGAGGCAGCCACATCACTCACTATTTCCCTTAATTCTCTGTGGCAGTGGCTATCAGATCATGGCCTTAGTCTTTCTGCTCAGAAAAGTGCGGTTGTTATTTTTACAAGAAAGAAGACTCTGCCACAGATTGATGTCCAAGTACAGCTGCAGGAAATTCCTTTATTAAACAAATTTAAGTTCCTAGGAGTATATCTTGACTCTAAATTGACTGGCGTTCACCACATGAACCATTTAACCGCAAAATGTGAACGTGTAATCCCAATTTTAAAGGCCCTAGCTGGGGTCTGGTGGGGAGCACACCCATACACCATGAAACTGGTATATAATGCCTTAGTACGCAGTATATTGGACTATGGGCTATTTTTACTGATTCCATGCAATAAAAGCGCTTTGGCAAAGCTGGACAGAGTCCAATCTAGGTGCCTTCGCATTGTTACTGGTTGCATGAAGTCCTCCCCTATAAATGCCTTACAAGTGGAATGTTCAGATCCACCTTTATCAATAAGAAGACAATTTCTTGCTTCACGTTTTATAATAAAATCTGTTTGTAAATCTTCCCATCCTCTTCTTCCAAAAATCTTAGAATTAGACTCCATTTGTACTACCTCAAATTACTGGACTCATAAGGGAATTCCATTGATTCTACAATCCTTTCGCTACTACTCTCCTTTTTTTAACTCTGCTGTGTCATTTGACAAACTCCCTCTGTTTTCCTTTAATTATAGCGTCCTTTGTTTTAAGCCGAATGTTCTTCTGGATGTTGGAATCCCTAAAAAATCTGCCTCTTCTGTTTCCACCTTTAATACACTCTTAGCTGAACACTGGGATGGGTTTGAGAGGTTCTTTACTGATGCATCCAAACTTAATAATGATAGCTACACTGGAGCCGCTGTGTACTTCCAAAACTCCAGAATTCTCTTACAGTATAAGTGTCCAAAAGAGGCTTCAGTTTTTACAGGCGAGTGTGTTGCTATCTTAGAGGCATGCTTGTACATTGACTCGCACAACATCCACAAGGCAGTCATATTCACTGACTCTCTAAGTTGCCTTAAAGCCCTGCTACAAAATCCCTTTCGTAGTAAACTTCACAGTCCGCTGATCCTTGAAATAAAAAAAACCCTTTTGAATTGTTCCACCAACTCAAAAATAGTTCAACTGGTGTGGGTTCCCAGCCATAGTGGCATTGTAGGCAATGAGTGTGCAGACTCACTGGCCAAAAGTGCTGCTACTTCTGCAATGTCGGACCAGAAACATCTTACACACCAGCATTACGATCTCTTAAGACTGCCTCAGAGAGAATTGTTAACATCCTGGCAGGAAGAGTGGAATAATTCCTCAAAGCATAAAGGGCGTCACTACTACGCAATCCAACCAAGCATTACCCCAAAACCCTGGTTCTATAAATTTAAGAAGGTATGTAAACGTGTCATCTCCACCATATGTAGGCTCCGCATAGGTCACTGCAGCTCACCTGTGTTCCTGAACAAGATTCGGGTACGGGATTCGTCCTTATGTGAATGTGGCTTAGATGAAGGCAATCTAGATCACATATTCTTCAGTTGTCCTAAAAATATCCCATCCCTAGATCTCTATTCTCACCTTACCGAACTAAAAATCCCCATCCCTATTAACTTCTCATCTCTCCTAACATTTTCATCCCCCCGCCTTCTCCAGGTCTTGATGTTGTTCATCCGATCCAATGACATCAGACTTTGACCTTCATTTCTATGAATTTTGAATTTTATTTTTTTTGTGATTGTTTGCTTATTAGTTACCTATTTATTTATTTAATACATATCTTATCTATTTGTACTTGTCTGCTTGTTTCAGTGTAAATACTAACCACAACAAAAAGCCCCACATTCAGTCTACAATTAATATCATCAATTCAATTTTTTGTGTAATAAAACCCACGTATTTCCATCGCACTTGACACTGGCAGAATTGTCGACATCGGCACAGTTTGCCATTTATGAAGAAGAAGAAGAAGAAGTACATTGTGAATAATTAATCAATCTCTAAACAAGACGCTAGTAATAAGTACTATGGATGAATTCGTGAACTATCTTTTGTTGATATTAGTTATACTACCAGTACTATTGTTCTTCAACTTATGGGCTGGTATCGGATGGGAGTTGTTTGAAAATAATTAGAAAATTAGCAACGATATGCTGCTAAAATTGCAAGTAGATTTGGTACGAATTCCTGCAAGACTGTTATATTATAAGATCATTGTAATAAAAACGAAGACTTGGAGTTGAATTAAAAACAGTTATTATGTTTTAGCATTTTAATTGAGAACAATAATAAAATATTACTTAGGGTACTAAAATTATCACAATAGTGTCTAAAATTCATAATATTTTCATAACAATTCTATAATTATGATGTTATAACAAATAATATATCACCTCATGAGAAAAAATTTACAGAATTGAAGTACAATTCTTACTCATATAGGAAGTATGGAGTTCGCTACTACATGGGCAACAAGGAGCTAACAATTTTCAAATAGTTTTGTAGATAGTAATGTTAGTGTTCTTGCCCCGTATTTCATATCGTATTTCGTAATTTATTATAACTTTCATGCGTATTAGAGTCAGTATCAAAGGTCATAATTGTCACTAATAGAAATGTAGTGTAGTGTAATAAAAATGATTTGTTTCAGTATCTTTTAAAAAAACTACAATTATCATCCTAATTTCAATTTACGACTATAAAATTTATAGAAATCATTTATTTTGTGTACACACTTTATAATAATGATTTAAATTCATATAATACTAAGGTATAAATAAAAATGTCAAGTTTCATAAATAAATTTCTTACACAACAATAATATAACATCTATCATTTAATTATTTTATCATGTTACTTTTGGTATTTCTATTACAATAAAAAAATTAACAAAAAAATGTGCTCCAGGCTAAATTATTCTATGCGCTTTCTACTTTGTCATTTGATTGAACCTTAGACTATACTTAATTAAGAGAATATGATAAATCAGGCTGAAAACAGATAAAAGAATATTTAAATAATGTTATAACACAGTTATTACAATTACTTAGTGTAGATTATTCACATATACATATATATACTTATAATTTAATTAAAATTAGTGTATGTAGTGTCAGCTTTGGTTCTTATATTTCACTAGAGAGTATTAATTCTTCCATTCCCATATGACCTCGATGTCGCCATACACGGTATCTTGCAATATCCTTTCTAGTGACCATACCAACCACCTGTGATTAGATAAACTGCTATGTAGGTTCACTGTAGAGATCATATGACTAAGCCATACAACACTGTTACATATATGACATATACAACTAATACATCATATTTCTACATCATGTGAAGGTTGACTGGGAGAGAATGCCTAATGGCATTAAGTCTGCCTTTGTACAACATGTGCATTAAGTTTAAAATAAATTAATAAATATTATGGTGCAATTTAGGATGTTTATTAAAAATAATATTCTTAACAAACATATCTAAAAACACGGCATGCCTGCCATGAATATTATTACCGTATTATTGAGTGTTATATATTGTATAAATGTTATTTATAATAATATCATTTATTTATTATTATTCCTAATGCGGGAGTTGTCTTTTTAAAAAAAAAAAAGAAAAGAAAGAATGATATTTTTTAATACATATTGCACATCAACAGCCTTTAATAGTCCACCGTTGGACAAAGGCTCCTCCTTAGAAAGGTGGTTTTGGCCTGGTGTACCATGTTGGCCAGATAGGTGGGTATAGGGTTTGTGTCAAGATTTCTCTTTGCGGTGCTGTGGTCCTGTGTAGTTAGCTCCCTTAGTGCCACTTACGACACCCACGGAATGAATAGGGGTGTGAAACTCGATATTTTTAATTCATCACTACACAGAATGGATAATACACATAAAGTTAGAAATTTAATCACCAATTTAATTAACAATCAGATCGAAAACATATTTAATAAAAGATTATTGTTACTGCAACCATATTAACTTCAATAAATAATAGTTTAAAGTGACTATAAAAGTCTTACCTCATTAACATCATTGACTATGGGTAAGTGTCGCAGGCCGAGCGCTCGGAACAAGCGGAATAAGCGCGGCAGCGACGCTCTATGTGGAAGCGTGTATGGGGATGGATTCATAAACGGCCGCAAATCCATTGTACACGTTTTCTCCCAGTCTGCGATTTCCAGCTGTATAATATTAAATACAATGTGTATAATGAATTATGCTTACTATCTAGTTCCTCACTGTATAGACACATACATAAATGCAGTCGAAAAGCATATTTATTTGTCTGAAATTATTAACATTACAATGCGATTTTTATCTGATAATAATAAACCAAGCAGTAATAATTCTAATTAGCTTTTCTTTTAACATTTAAAAATTAATACTTTTCTCATAGAGCAATTCCTCGACATAATATGTATTTCGTTATCCAAGAAAAATCGAGCATAGTTATCAAGAAAAATCAGTTAGATAACAGGAACATAGGTAGAAGCTGTAATTGATAATGATTATTTTCTCAGCCATATTATATTGTAAATTGTAAATAATATAACTATAGAGTGTATAGTATATAGTTATATTATTTACAATAAATAGAAAATAAATATTGGTAATAAATATCACCAAACTGGATATTAGCAACATGAAAAATAATAATAATATATAATAACTAATATGTAGTGTGTGTGACTCGAATATTTATTTCATCACAGCATGAAAGTCACTTACACTATATAGTGTGGTCTTTCTTACCTGGTCTATAGATGGGTACCGTGGATATTCAGACCTGAACATATTCATATCAACATTCAAGTTAGACCATGTGGTGTTTGCATTCTCATTGTATATTTTGTTTTGTAATAACACTATTAATTGAGATCGTAGTATGACGCCTCGGAGGCGTTTGTATGTTGTTATTTCCACCTAAAATTTATAAATAATATTAATAAGTAAAACTTGTTACATACTAGTAATATTTATTTATATTTATGTTTTATTCATATTCACGACGTGAAGAATATACATTTTCATATAGACTGGACTATAGCAATATCACAGGGTGGCAAAGACATGGTCGTGCGGTCTCTTTAATAATATTTACTACGATTACTCACGCCTGTAATATTAAATACCCATAGCTATAATGTAGTCCCAACACGGAACAGGAGGCAAGGCAGGCACAACCACGCTTTGGGAATTGTAGTCGGGTATATTGCGAGTAGACATTATGTAACAAAAGGTAGGTAGTTAACGTCACGGACCCGTGATACCACCCAATGACACCACCGGTATTGTCAAAGTTATTATTCTTCATATCACGACAGCACCGAGTACCTAATAGAAATAAAGATAATTATTTAATGATATAAAAGCCGGCCGAGCCTCATTCGGAGGAAAAAAAAATTACAATTTGTCAAAATTAATCAGATGTAGGTATAGAAAATTATTGGTTGAAATTGCATTACCTAAATGTGTTCAGCGTTTTCTGCGAACGTCTAATAGTCGACTTAATAATATCCCTGACACTAACGGTTTTATCATTGGGTGGTATCACGGATCCGTGACTTTAGTTAAGATGGTAAATCCATGGAAGAAAACGGAATTCCATAAGCGTATGGATTTTGGACTGCAGCAACAACATGGGCGATCCTGAATTAATGACGTACAAGAATGTGATGGTCGCCTACTTATATCTCGATCTGGCTATTGCCGGCATGTTCTAGGCCTCTAAACGAAATAATTTAATATTTTTTTGACTACTATTTAGATCTTATTTTCTGCAGCGTGTTTTTTGATAGTTTTTTCAGTTTTGTTATATATTAAGTATTGGTTACTTGTACTATACAGGGTTACAAGAAAAGTCGTGCTAGATCCGTTAAAGGCGTGGAGTACCCATCATTTCTGACATATTTCACTATGAAACACCCTACCCTAAACTTAACCCTTTTCGAGATAATCGTCTTTTAATTTTTTTATTGAAATTTGCTGATTTTTAGGCTACTACATTTATTTTTGTTTATTTTGTGTATCTTATTATTATTATTTTTGCATTTTTACATGTGTAATAAAATGCTTTAGGACGTCAGTCATTAAAATAGTTCATAAGTTCATTGAATAGATCGTAGTAGACAAGTGAAAGTGAAGAAATAAAAAAAAATATTAGAAAATTATTTTTCTCTAACGGATATCTAAAAACAATATTATGGTAATTGTTCGGCAGATGTTTTTTAAAATATCTACGTTTCATCAGCTATCTAACGAGGTATAACAATCGAGGGTTTGTATTACATTTCGCGGAAAAAAAGTAGTTGGGACGCTCCATTTAACAGTTCTAACGGTCCCGCGCCTATTGTCCTTCATGTTAAGACGCACCTAGCGAGCGAGACAAGTGACGATTTATGTAGGTGCGAATGAAAGAAAAAATGTGTAGAGACCGGTTAGGGCTGGGAATACAACAGGGGGCATTGTTTGGTTGTCACTAGTTGTCAGTCTGCTTTTGTGCTTCGTACATAGTAGATGTGATATCGTTTTGCTCTTTTTCTCGACTTGGCTGTGATTCTGGACTATTTCTTCTGATTTGTGACTACTGTGCTTGTTAACCGGACTCTGATTTGTACCTGTGATACGGAAGTGTTGAAGATGACGTCCTACACACCTGAGGAATATGCTGATATGCTTATTTGTTACGGATACTGCGATTGTGTGTCTGCGCAAGCTCGCAACGAATACATAACTCGCTACCCTGGTCGTCGAGTGCCGGATGTGGCCGTTTTTGACAGAGTTTATCGAAGACTTCGAGAAACTGGCTCTCTTTTGAGACGAAATACAGACATGGGAAGACCACGAATTGACGACGAAGAACAGGACAATGAGATAGTGCAACGCTTTCGAGCGGATCCGACTACTTCCACTAATATTGTTGCCCGTGATCTGGGACTTTCGCAATGGAGAGTGTGGTTTACAGTGCATACTGCTGGCCTATACCCGTACCATTACACGCCGGTACACGTTATTGAAGAAGGAGACCCCGCGAGAAGATTGGACTTTTGCAGATTTATGCTAAATGCTGACGTAGAAGACCCAGATTTTCTAAGAAATATCTTGTGGACGGATGAGTCCAAATTTGATAAAGATGGCATAACTAACTATCACAACGCCCATTACTGGGCCCCAAAAGAACTAAGGAATCCCAATAAGAAAAGAGTGAAGGGGTCCCAACGAAGATTCAGCGTGAATGTGTGGATGGGCATTATCTCCAATCATTTGATTGGACCTTACTTTCTCCCGGATAATCTAAATGGGGAAAGCTACGAAAATTTCCTGAGAGCAGACTTGAGTGATTTGCTGGATGATCTGCCACTCAACCTGATCAGGGACATGTGGTTCCAACACGATGGCTGCCCTGCCCATTTCAGGAGAAGTGTCAGGGACTGGCTGGACACAAATTATCCAAACAAATGGATAGGACGAGGTGGGCCGTTGCCATGGCCAGCAAGAAGTCCGGACCTAACCCCCATGGATTTTCATGTGTGGGGGTGCATGAAAAGTCTTGTGTACAGCGAGCCGAATCCAGTTTCGTCTGTGGAAGACTTACGAGAAAGGATTGTGGATGCAGCAAATAAAATGAGGACCACGTTGACCACTGGAGTAGTGAAGACTGGTCTCCGTAGAAGGATGCGACAATGTATCAGAAATAGAGGCGGCCATGTTGAACATGAACTGTAGAATAAGAAAAAGTTGTGTGAAAACCTTTAATAAATGACATTTCATGCTTAACTATTGTTTTATTTTACTTTTTTGGGCTAAGTATAAATTTTCTTCTCCACTGTCGCCTATGAAACTAAAGTTTTTTCAATGCATTTGAATAAAACCTTAGATTATTATACCTCGTTAGATAGCTGATGAAACGTAGATATTTTAAAAAACATGTGCCGAACAATTACCATAATATTGTTTTTAGATATCCGTTAGAGAAAAATAATTTTCTAATATTTTTTTTTATTTCTTTACTTTCACTTGTCTACTACGATCTATTCAATTAACTTATGAACTATTTTAATGACTGACGTCCTAAAGCATCTTATTACACATGTAAAAATGCAAAAATAATAATAATAAGATACACAAAATAAACAAAAATACATGTAGTAGCCTAAAAATCAGCAAATTTCAATAAAAAAATTAAAAGACGATTATCTCGAAAAGGGTTAAGTTTAGGGTAGGGTGTTTCATAGTGAAATATGTCAGAAATGATGGGTACTCTACGCCCTTAACGGATCTAGCACGACTTTTCTTGTAACCCTGTATATATAGTTTATATATACCTATAGGGTATTTTATTTGATACTTACGTCATCAGCCAAGGGCGGGTCTACAACGGGGAATCCGTTATATGACACTAATTTGAGCAACTCGACGATATGCCCAACGTTCTCAACGGTACGAAGAGTAAACACTGGGTGCGACATTACTTCTGATGCGTATATATTGTGTGCCAACGGCGGAGGCTCCCAAGGCAGTAGAGGCACAGCAGCCAGTTGTATGTGAATGTCGTAAATACCCTACGAAAAGGAAAACTTTTACTGTAATATATATAAAGAAAACTGCATCAGAAAGAATAAATTCAAGAACTATTTGAAATGTTTAAGAAGTTTATTATTATTATTCTCCATTAATTATCAGTAAAAGTAAATATAGTATGGAACAAGTTATCGGCTGCGGTATTTCCGGACCGATACGAGTTTCAAAACCTTTAAGAAAAGAGCGTCCTTCCTCAAAGGTTGGCAACGCGCTTGTGACTACTGAGTTGTCGTCGTTCATGGGCGGCGGTAGTCGCATGCTATCAGGTGACCGCCCGTTTGCCCCCTATTCCATAAAAAATATGACAGTAATAATACTGTGATTGAACGAAGGTCAAGTTCAATTCTAGAAGAATCTGATACCTAAGAATAACGGATTCTTACACTTATCAAGCAGATGTTTTCAACCGTATTTAAATATTGATAACTAAACTTATCCTCGATAAACTACTTTTAAATTAAACCTACCTCATTGAAGAAATCGCCGGTCCATTTAGCGACGACTAATGTGATGATGATAGGAAGCGCGTTGGAGATCTGTCCCGTGGTCTCGATGATAATGACGGTGAGCGATATCGTCATACGAACCACGCCCCCGAGTTGTGCCGCAGCGCCAACTAACGCGTACTTCGCCGGGTTTATCGTCTGTTGATGATGAACATATATTTGATTTACGTTTGAGCATCCATCAATAACAAATGCTTTTCAGAATATTTATTCTATTGTTTTATCTTTATTCTTTTGACCTTTGTCCTTATCGGGACATTGAAAACCCCCTTTTATCACAACAATGTCTTTGAAAAATCACTATCATAGTGTAGGAATATTATTATAGGATAATCAGGTAACGCTTTGATGTTACTACTACATATGAGATCAGTAATGTTGTTCAGGCTTCACAGTCTGCAATGTTTTTGCCAACTTAGGAGTTCTCAAAAAATATACACCTCAATATTTTTTAACAAGACAAAAGTAATTACATTTCATGAATACCTAATTGAGTTTGTACATATAACTATTATTTTGCGCTATATAATGACGTACTATTAAGAACCTGGTACATAAATAGCAGAAAATTACATAATCTGCCTCTAAGCGGAAAATTGGAACCGTAATTACTCGTATATAATTGATTTAAAACCATTGTATTTGTATAATGTTAAACCAATTTTCTAAATGTAAGAAATCAAAGTTGCCATACTCACATTGGAAGGCAGCATATATTGAATCAAAATAGCTAACAGCCTACCCCAGGCTGCTCCCGTTAACAGATTTGGAATGAAGAGTCCACTAGACACTGAGAGGCCAAAAGTCCAAGTAGACAGTAGAAAGTAGCAGACCACGAAGACAAGTATGGACCACGGCTTGTACGAACCCATCGGATCGTGAAGGAACGAACGGACGGAAGCTTCGGGTGTTTGAAACCAAATGGCGGCTAGGGCGTTGTATTCACCGTCTGCACAGAATAACTGCAACAAAAATATTTTTATTATATTATTGTTGCTGTTGTTGCAAAACATTGGAAGTTTTATCAGATTGAGTCAGACTGGTGCAACATTTATATACATTACAAGTGTGCAAATTTATAAAGTTGCACACTTGTAATTTATAAAAAAATTTATACACTGTTATATTTAAAACAAATTATAAGCTTGGGCAGCAATAGGCACGGATCTAGAATTAGCTTAAAATAAATAAGGCAATTTAGTTGAGGTCACCTGTAAGGGCACTTTCGTTGGATCTTCTCCAAGTGGTCGACAATCGTTCAGCAGGAACATCATGAGGAATCCGCAGGTCGCGCTCGCGGCAGCGACTAGGCAAGCTTCGACTACCCGAAGCCAAGGGGTTCCTATGTACCTATTTACAAATTATATATTTTTTTAGCAGTCTTCCCAACAAAGAGCAGTTATCCTCAGTGGGTCGCTATAAAATGAAGAAGACAATATGACTAGGTGCGCGGGCAGGGTTATAACCCGAGTGTAGTGTGGGTCGACGGGAAGTGTTTTCCTCTCTAACAGCCATAAACAGCGGCTAACAGTGGATATCCGCGTGTGTCTGGATTTCGCCAAATTGAGGGGATCTTCCCGGAAGTGAGGCTGTGCTATCACCTTCACTGGCTCCACCTTTGTTAGGAGGTGTTTGGATGTCTCAATAATGTTCCTGGACCCCCCCCCCCCCCATTTTTAAACGGAGTATTGCACACCGTGTAATTTTATTACTTTGGATGCCGGATTATCACTACACCGTAAACAGCGTGAACCCGTTGGGGTGACGGACTACTGGGGTTCCCACACTCTCAAACAAATATTTTCTTTAGCCGTGCGCTTCATTACTTACGTCGACTCTTTTAGCACACTCGTTGATTTTTCCTTGTCATCATCTCAATATAAGGATTTAAATTTAAGGGTTATAATATATATCGATTCTTACTACAGAATATTTGTCTCTAGACCGACTTTGTTTTTGTTGACTTGAATAGTAAATAACTAAAACATATTATTACGATGTAAGCATACCTTATTCTAAAAACGGCCAGTTTATAATTAATGAAGTTCCACAAAGCGCCGAGCATACCGCCGACCATGCCAAAGAACATGAAAACTGGCAACTCGTAGAATTGAAACGGAAACGGATCCATCTTGCCCAAGTTGAGTAAGCCTAGAAATTATGTCTAATATTAATTTCATAAAAAAACTCTCAAGATGAATGAAGAATTAGAAAAAGATTTTTGGTCATGAATAGATACAAAATACAACTGCAATTTTAGCGGTCTAATTCCCGCTCATTACAAACATTTGTATTGTACTTATATGTCTATTTGTATCGTTCTATGTATTTTATCTTGCTATACATGTGTGTGTACAATATTATAAAAAAAAAGCGAATAATATTTACTAGACTTGCAACGAATAGTATATTCGGCAGTATACCGAATACCGAATATTCGGCGAGGCCCCTGACCGAATAGCCGAATATTAGGCAAAAGTATTCGGCTGGATTTTAGCGCTAAAAACTTGTACAGACGTGAATTAAATTATGTACCTGTTTTATGTACCAATGACTACTTAATAAATGATTATAAAAGAAATGAGAACCTTACCCTTCTAAATTTTGATTACCACAATAATTCAAATACATAGAATCCTCCATTTTTCCTATTCAGAAGATGATTATGTACCTGTGTTATGCACCAATGACTACTTAAATGATTATAACAGAAATGAAAATATGAATATATACGTAATCAATCGATTTTAATTTTTCATTTTACCAATTATTTCTCAATGACAAAATATATTATTTAAGTATTCGGTATTCGGCCGAATAATATGTAGATATTCGGTATTCGGCCGAATATAATAAAAGCAGCCGAATAGGCCGAATACCGAATAGTAACCGAATATTCGTTGCAAGTCTAATATTTACCCCTATTCTAATAATTAAAAGATTTGCTTAGCTTAAATCTAGATACCGTTGTGTAATATGGATAAGCATTTACCTGGATAGCTCAGCTCTCCAGCCCGTCCGTGATATGCAGAGAGGGCGCAGTTTAACGTGAACGTCGACACTACAGTTCCAAAGAACGTCCGCCATGTCAGCGCCTGATTCCAGAAACTTGTACCCTCTTCGAGTGAGAACAGCACACCGCCTAGTAACATTATTATCAGTTAGAGAGTAAGTAGGCCTTGACATTGTATCTAGAGTTAGTTTTTAAGGTAGTTAGCATTCTACTAGGGATTTCCTTTCTAGGTTCCACGGCGACTGGTACCCAAGTCGGCGTGCGGTTTTTAGTCGGTTCGAGCCCCATTTAACCACCTCACCGCTCGTTCGGTGGGGGGATAGGGGGAATATGTGCAATCTTTAAAAAAAAATTGGCATTTATAAAAATATCTCCGCCGTCTCCTTCTGCGAGCAAGTTATGCTCGCGAAGGAGACGAACTGCCTAACAAAGAATGCAGCCTTCCTTTACAAACATTCAAAAACAATTGCGGTGTTAAGCAATTCTTTCGTTGCCTTTCACTGAGTGAGTAAGGTTACCGGAGCCCAAATCCCCCTGCCGCTGACTGAAAACTAATAGAAGTAGTTTATAGTTTCTAACCTATAGGGGCGCCAAAAGCTGCAGATACACCGGCCGCCGCACCGGCCGATACAAAGTCGCGCTTCTCATGGTCTTCCCGAAAGTATTGGAATATCTTGAAGTCTTTGTTAAACGTTGTGCTTTTACCCTGCGATATGCCTGCTGCGACTACAGCGCCGCTGTGGATCATAGGGCCTTCCTAGAACAATGCGGACTTTTTAGTTAACGGTTATGCTTATGCACTAAAATCGACTATTTTTTAAATTCAGTATGTACCTAAGTATATTTTATAACTAGGTATCGAGAATTATTTCAAGTTTTTAGATTGGGAAATGACGATCTTCCATACAATCGCTCATCCCTTATTTTACCCCCATAGTGTTGAAATTTCCAGAAATATTTTCTTAGTGGTTAAAAAGCATCAACTGCCCAAAATTAACGTTTGTAATCTAAGCGATTTAGGCTTTACATTGATGAATCAGTCAGGGCAAGTAATTTGATATGTAAAGATTTTCCTGGTACCTGCTCTTACTGGTAATCTGGTGGTATCTTACTGGTAAAATTGTAAATAAAAGGTAAAAAACTTGCTCACCTTGCCACCAGCAAGCCCACCGACAACTGCAGTGATAACACCAACAGCCTTCACCAGTAAAGTCTTGATGCGCACTACTCGGGGTACTTTGACACCATTTAAGTAACATTTTACTTGAGGAATGCCACTTCCGGCTGCTACAGGCTAAAATATGAAGTGATAATCAAAGAATCATATCTTTACATAGTATAAAATAAAGTATCTTTTTTGTGTTGTACGCTTAAATCTTCCAAACTAAGTAACGGATTTTAATGCGGTTTTCTATATTAATATTATAAAGAGGAAAGATTTTTTTGTTTGTTTGTTTCTATCGAATAGGCTCCAAAACTACTAGACCGATTTAAAAAAAAAACAGTCATAGAAAGCTACATTATCAGGAAGTAACATAGGCTATAATTTATTTCTAAAAAACTTAGACATGGGCAAAAAAACAGGTTATGTATGTATGTATGTATAAAAAAATAAGGTGTAAAAAATGGTTTCAAAGTTTCAAAAATAGGAAATGGTTCTCCGTTTTGCCACCATCTAAACTTTTTTGATAGATTGTAAAATCGCCCTACTAATAGCCTGGTTTTTTATTTTTCATTTTCAGTCTATGTATTTATATAATTACAAGTTGTAATTCTATTTTAATTAAAAAAAAACCTTTTTTTTTAAGTTGGTGCATGTAGGTTCCGTTCTAGGAACACCTAAGAAATGGGGATAAACAAGTAATAAAGTATGTAGACCAGAAAAAGATTTGATTATTATAAAAAAAAATAAAAAAAATAGATAAATAATTTTAAATTAAAATTAAGAGAAAGTTAAATTAGTTAACCACACCATGTATTGTCAACGACAACACTGGACCACACCCCTTGCACTGGGATCTCGTTTACCTGATGTATAGCTTGTAATAAAATAATTCGTAATGCTTTAATTTTTAATGATAATTCTAAAATTGGCATAGTTCACAAGGAATTTGTAAAACATAATCATTTAAAAAAGCCTTTTTCAAATAATTATGTAGTTCGTGTTTTAAGTTTTCACTTGGGCCTGCGTGTACTACACTCTCCTCTACAATAATTCGTAACCATTAGTTATCAATTTTGATATCCTGAAGTGAAAATGATAGACTTTGACAGGCTAAGATATAAGTAACAGAAGATTTTGCACAACACATATCTTGAAATAAATCATTGTCGTAATCGTAACCGATTAAAACAATCCATTCAAGCCTGCTTATGTAATTAATACCTGTATTTATATCTGTTATACCTGTACATATCTATCTATTTCGTTTTACTGTCCAACAGGGCCCCAAATTCTTGTGTGCCTGGGGGCTCCGGAATGGCCTTGGACGGCCTTGGATATTAGAGGTTTAAAATGGGGGGGCCCAACGACCGTCGAACAGTATGTCCGTCCCGGGTAGCAGGGCCTATAAATATTGCATTTAAAGATGTCCTGTAGTATAGTCCTATCATTGGACATTGCACCTGGGCGGAACGCTAGTACATAATAAAATAGGCAAACATTCAATTTTAAACCAAACTAGCGAACCGCTCCAGTTTTGTAAGGTTGTAATTACATATTATAAGATCGCATGAGGTTTCAGCTGTGTAAGCCATGTTAATTTATTTTTTGGTGACTTGGTTTTAGTGATGTGCCGGATATCCGTATCCGTATCCGCGGATATCCAAGGGAGAAGAGAGATCCGTAACCGTATCCGTATCCGTGACTTTTTTGGCGGATCTTTCAATACATATTACAAAGATGAAATTCTATATAGGTGATTTTGTATTCACCGTAAAACTCTTAGGTATGGGTTTGTAACACTATAAACAGCAACTTTTTTTCTGGCCAACGTCAAAATGAAAAAAAATTGGTTCTCCATTCAAATAACCAATCAAATGTTGTTAGTTAGTATGGAGAAACAATTTTTTTTCTTTCGTTTTCGGTGTTAGTCCTGAAGAAAAGTTGTTGTTTATAATTTTACTAAAATGCACTTCAGAGGTTTCAGTAAATTTAAAATAACTTTGAATAATGGTTATAAGGTAGCTATGAAAAACTATTGAATTCTGTTCAGATTACTTTTTATTTCTTAAAACATATATTTGGCACCTTTGTATTGCAATCATTTATCGTACTATACTAAATCAACTAGGCAGGTCGTAGGTACTGAAAGAGCTATCTTTAAAATGAGATCAATCAAACATATTTGTATTAGCTTATTAAAATAATGAAATATTTAAATATCAACGGCAAAGCGTCAAGTGGCGACAACTATCAAGGTCACGGGCTCCGATTGAGTAAGAAACTTAAGATCCGTATTCGGATCCGTATCGGCGGATATACTTTGTTAACGATCCGGCACATCACTACTTGGTTTCAATTTTTTCTATTTCAATGAAACTTAAATATGGTATAAATGTTGCTCCGCTTCAAAATACGTTGTGTGGTTTAGAAGTTAGCGGTATACAGGCAGAGGCATAAAGCGACTTTGTATACTAAGTACATACTATGTAAATACGACTTTGGTCTACGACGACTTTATCAAACAATTTTGACGGCATATGAAATGAAAAAAAATTGGGTCACACTCAAACAATATTGCAAATAACATGTTTGGCATTAAAACAACAAAAAAGGCAGATATAATGCAAAATTTCATGTTTACTTAGGGTTTTGCCACCTTCTTATCGTGTACAATGTTTTATCTCTCCTGGAGGAGAAGCCAATTCAAATATATTTCCTACACCTATGTTTGGGATTTTCCAAGAATTTTAAGATAAACTAATTACTTAATTTTACATATATTAAACCCCTTATCATCTTACCTCCACATATGCAACTAACATAGATCCAATAAACACAATGCATATGTTTGATAACACCCACAGAAGATATGGAATGTACAGTCTGTCAAGCAGTACATATTTATCCACAGCTGTTATAAGTAGTTATGGAAATAACATATATTTAGCATATTATTGGTTAAAGTATATTCAAAGACAATGGACAATTTTGAATAATTGGTAAACATTTTTATGAAATATAGATATTGATCTGAATTTGTAAGTATAGTTGTTTAGTTAGGTGGCATTACTTAATTCAGAACTTTCCAATACTTGGTACTGGTCAGTCAGAAATATCATTTTTATAAAAAAAAAAAAAAATGTAATATAGTTTTAGACCCTTATCAAAATGTTTCTATAGCTTAAAAGTTTGGTGGATTGTATAATGATACTAAATATAATACAGCTGTATAATTATAAACTACAGTTTGTTTTTAAACTGAAAAATATTTTTGAAAAGGATACATTTTTTCAGCTCTCTATATTTAATCTTTGAGAATTCTTCAATGCATATATCAATAATAAATGCTATGAGAGCTGTAACTATACCAATCAGTAGTATAATGAACCACCGGGCTATATCCTTCCATACGAAAAAAGGATATCCACGCTTCCGCTCCTCATCAAGAAGTAGGTGATTCTCACATGTATCATAGTCTAAACTCTGAAAATGAAAAATGACAATGGATTTACATTTCCCTAACTAAACAAAGTCAATTTCCGTTATTTATGTACAATCCTTGACAAACCTTTTTTAAATAAATAGAGCAACAAACAATAAAACAAAGCAAGTGATGTAACTATTTTAACGGTACTTTGTCCCAATGTTCTATTACTGTCACTGGTAATATAAGTCTGCTTATTACTTATCATACTTACTTCATATTTAGCTGAAAGAATATTTAAAGAGCCAGGCTCAATTTTTTGGGGAGGCTGCCTTCTCCTAATGCCATGACTACCATGTATCTCATCATCATCATCAGAATCCTGTAAATAACAAAGGCACATATTAATTAATTAGTTTCAAAATGCAACAGCTTAAACAAATAGAAACAAAGGCATTGGTTAGTCATGTATTAACCACATTTTATTGTAAAATTTCAGGCATATTTTTTTTTATCTTTTATTATCTGTCTATTTAAATGTTACATAAATAGATACTTCCAATAATTTAGTTATTGATTAAAAATAATACCTCGAAGTTTATAGGTTTGTTAAATTGATGATTTGATGTGCTGGCTACTTCTTCATGACTTAACAACTGAGCTGTGTCTGATGTGGTTTCCACATTACTTATAGAACTGGCAGTACCATCAGCTATAGAATTCGATGATTGACTCATTATAAATTAATTCATGTAAGAAAGCAAAGTATTTTGATAGATTGGTTTTTGAAACGTTTAGAAAATAATCATTTCTAAATGTATAATGGCCCAGCTTTACTTAAATCTTCCAGGACTTCTTACCACTGAAATGAATATGGTAAAACAAAAGATTATGTATTTGATTACAGATAAACTTAGTCACATTATACCACTACACTTCTTTTTTTAACACTGTGCTTTGTTTATTTTCAAATATTATTGTCTATCAATCAATCAATTGATCACCACCATGCCTATGACAATTTGACAGTATGACACTTGACTTAATGACACATGCACTTCAATTTCTAAACAGAGACCTTTTTGAAACCGCTGATACTCTCGACATGTTTAACGAGAGTTACTCAGCAAAATATTTTGTGGAATCGTAGACGATATGTACAGAAATTTTAATAACTATTATTTTCCCTTATATTATTTCTTGCCTTATTAGGCACTTACTGTGCTATCCATTTTTTTATTCAGTAATTTGAAATAAGTTTTCAAAAACATTTTCAGTCTTTTATAGTGCTCTAATTCAATTTGTGCAATAATATTATAAAATTTTAGCACAATAAGACCTTAAAACCTTATAGTCCTTACAGCAGATATTAAACTATTATCCTAAATTTTTTTTAACGTACCTCGTAATAAATTAGCGAGAGTAAACTAATCAATAATTTGATTACAAATCGATACACGAAATTTTGTATTCTCATTATCAGTATGACTTAAAGTCGAATAAAATATTTAAGAAAATGTTTATTTCAAGCATCAGTAACATTTTTTGATAGAATTAGGATAATAAATCTCATTATTATGAATATGGATTACAATGATAATGTTATCATTTTATCAGTTCGTAAACTAGAACAAACTTTTGAAACGCACACATGCGACGCGGTCATCATATCGTAAACAATGGAGATTTTCAATGTGTGTGTAGCTTGTTCGTTCGTTTGGTTGACAATCGCGATGTGATGTATTCTACCATACATCATCGCATGCTGAGTTATATTTTCAACAAAACCTTTTCATTTTTAACTAAGTTACTTGATTAATTTCTAAATGTTTTCTTTCATTGTGAATACCTCTCTCTGTTTTAATTTCTAAATATGTGTAATTTGCCGCCGAAGTTCCATTCAGTGTGTCGCCTTTGTTTATCATTCTGTGGCGATAATTGCAGTGATGTTAAACTTCCAATATTCGACCGTGATAAGGATAAATCACGACTTTCCGAGATGATAATGGAAAATTTGTCAATAATGGTAAAAACTTTTAAATAATTGTAGCAATTGTCATTGTAAAGAAGGAGTTTTCTCGTGTGAAAGTTTAGCGTAAGCGTATGAGATTGTGGATGCTGATAAGCGCCATTAACTTTCTCGCGGGTGTTGGGTATTTTCGCATTGTGATATCATATTACGGCCCACGCGTCGATTGCTCGGCCGTATGACTAATGTCATTCGGGGAAGTGATATACGAGCGTGTGGCAGGCGCGCTGTATCAGCGGCGGCCGCGTCGCTGATAACAAAGGAGCGCGGAGATCACCTCGCGCTCTGCGGCGACCGTCCCACCTCCTGCGCCGGTCCACGGCTTCTTGGCCCCCTCGCTCTCCACAAATACATTACTAAAATAAATGTTCCCTTTACTAAGCCTATCCACATTATGCTATGCTCTGCTATTTTGAGATTTCAATATTATCTAAATTTAGATTTGTATTTTAAGGGAATCAATTTGCAGGGGGGACTGTGTTCTTCAATATGAATTATAGAGTTTAACCTTATGGCTAATAGAAAAACCTTGTAGTTTTCTTAATGTGTTTGTTATCAGATTGCCACCAATGATTCATCATCTATGATTACACTTGCAAAAGGTCACTGGCCACATCAACTCTCTTAATGACATGGTACTGCAAACCTGTGCTACGTATGTTACTAATGATATGAATAATATTTTTAGGTGTCCTCGGAAGACTTACTACCACAAGTAGTATGTGGAAGCTGTGCACACAAACTTGATGAATTTCATACATTCAGAGAGTTGTCACATAAATCTGAGCGACTTTTGGAACAGTTTGTACAGTATGCTGATTCATTATGTGGTACAAAAGAGGTGAGTTCGGGTTATAAAAAAAAACATATCACAAAAATTTATAGATACAATTTTTATTTACATGTTATCATCTAAAATAATGAAAATTTGTTAAATGGTTACATAAATAAACTACTATCAATAATTGACAATACATAAGCAAAAGTATTTAAGCATAACTTGAGTCTGAATTTATATTGATGTACTGGATTGGCTGACTTCTAAACCTGTTATTGTAAACTGATTTCATTGACTTGATCAGCAGTCCTAGTAGCATACCAAAGCAAGCTACTGCTGCTACTCCTAGAATGCTCCACAGTACATGTTTTGGTTTCAAGTTTGAAAGACTGTACTTCTGTTTAGGAGTTATTTTGGAATCAAAAGTTGGGCAGTAAGTTAAAGTGACATTTGTTACATATGTACCACTAAACCGCATAGGGGCTGCACAGCTGAAATTAGAGTTGTTATTTTTAAAAAAGAAATGGTAAGCTAAGAACAATATACATATAAATTATGTAGCATATGTGTATCACTAGCATTATCAGATATGCATATTGTGTTTTAAAATCAACATGCCTTTTATGAGTATGTTTGTTTTGTTTTTGCCTAAAACCTGTTTATGATAACAGAAAAAAAACCTGTTTATTCCTTACATAGTTGATTCTCTGCTAGTTATAATATAACTTTTTTATATTTAGAGTATTTATTTAAATTCAAGGCATTTTTAGATGTGTTGTAGTATATTATGTATACTTACAAAGGTATCTCATTAGTTTTAAACTTTAGACCGGCTCCCTTCTTAGAAACAATATCAACTAGATCACAGTTGCACAACCAGTTGTTGCCTGTCATTCCTAATATTTCTAGTTTGTTCCATGGCATTAAATCTGTAGATAGTTCACTTAAATTGTTGTCATCCAAGTATACCTGTTAAGCAACATGATTTTTGAATGAAGAATCAATTGATAAGGTACTGTCACAATCATAATTCCAGTAGCACTTTTACAAAGTTATAGCATTATAACTAGTTGAGCTTAGGACCCTTGACTGTACATTACAACAGACACAACATTAAACCTAATATATCATCAAAGTATAATTCTGTTTTAGGGTTTTTCCAGTGTATGTAAATTAATTTATTATGTGTATAACAGGTTGGTGTAATCTCTATTTATATAGTATCTGAATCACTAAAGTGGCATTGAATGAATTAAGCATTAATGATAAGTAGTGATAAGGCAGCAAAAGACACCATTTATTCAACCCCCAAATAGTCAGAATTATTCAACAAGACTCATAAAATGTCTTGAGAATTGTCCAAACTACATTTGCTGTGACTTTGAGTAAAGAGGCCATGAGACTTCATCTTTAATTTACTGCTAATCTTATGATAAATTTTGCAATGCACTGATTGATTGTATATCAAAACATTAAAGAAAAATGATTACTAAGCTGACCTCGTTTTTTGACTGTCATGTAAGCATTTCAAAAGTAGGGTAAAGTGATGTGTAATGAGATGTTTCTGATAAACTTAGTTAATGATGTGTATAAAATAATAACAATATATTTGATAAATTGTGTTACTATGTGCTAATTCCATTACCATCATTGTTAACTTAATTATTGTTATCCGTGATTTCATTGATTTTATCTTATTATAAAATTATAGGAACCAATAACAAATATTATTTTTGGGTATTAATTTTTAAAGATAACTTGATAACTTAAACCTAACTACCACTAGTTACGTTTTAGTTATGTAGATATGCATAGACATTTATTTTTGAGAGCCATTATGATCTTGTACTTATTTAACCTTTCCAGCCAATCCATAATTACTGTAAGTATTATACTTACAGTAATTATGGATTGGCTGGAAAGGTTTTATGCCTTTATTGAACTATATAAGCAACAGGGGCAGTCAGAAAATTTGTTACAGTAAAGTTACTGTTGTTGTAGACTATACCTGGACAAGGATATTAGTTATGTGTGTTGGTTTGTGTTTTTAAGATTCGGAAAATTGCCACCATTAGAATAATGTGATTATTTTCTAATAAAAAAAAAGGTGTATGAAGTTACCCACTTCCCTCAAAGTCCATTGCTCTTTCAGTCCTCGGAAAGCATTATGGCTAATGTACTTCAAGTTTTGGTTGTGGCAAAGGTGAAGTACTTTTAGGTTCTTGAGTGGAGAAAACGTGCTTCTTTTAACTTCATCCAAATAGTCGTTCTCGCCGACTTCCAATTGGATCAAGTTCGTTAAGCCTGCAAAAAACATATTCTATTATAATTATGTTCTTCCGGATTTACCACTAGGCGAGTAGGTACATACATATCGTTATCATGCAGATCTACAACTTACGCCAAGTATTTTTTTGCTTTATTACGTTTGCTCAGTCCATAAACCATTAAAACGAGTTTGAGAACTTTGTCCCATAAATTGAGTAAATCGTTTTTACAATACATTATTTGATAGCAGGAAGTTTAGAGATTCTACATTCTGCTCCATTTTAACGTTAATTTCCTATTAACTATTAACGTGACTCCTTCGTGAGTACATAATAGAATAATACTCCATTTCACAAATTTTATAATGTCAATATATTTAACTCTTAAAATAATAATGGAAAAAAAATATCAAAATGCCTAATTTCATCGAAATTTGTCCAGCCGTTGCCAAGTTTAAATGCATACTAGAAATAGTACCTATTGTTAATTTCATGATAAGTTGTTGTCACCGTCCAGTGGTCTCTCCACAAGACATACGTGTACACGACCCCAACCCATTCGATACTGCAATCTCAGTCCTGTATCTGAGTCTTGCGTTCTTCTCTACCCATTTTCCTTACCTCAATATAACTTTTTTCATGATTCTCTGTGAACATGACTATATTCTCAATGTGAGTTGGCGTAAGAAACTAGTTAAAATTTCATTTGTGCATTGCACCGACCCCAAATTAAATTAGGATGAGGTCAAGAAGATTATTGATTCGATGTTTTGGAATGAACGTCCGCTATAAGTATTGTTTGGCTGATATAGCCTCTCAAAGGTTAGAATGTTCGTTTGGAGATGTGACCATATTCGCAATACATATATGTTGTTTAATATAGAAAGAAATACTATAGGTTACAATATTGCCGTATTGCAATAAAACTCACTAATGCCCGGTTTTTGATGTTCTTTTTGATTTCATTCCTGCTATCTCATTAGTAAAGATAATGTATTATATAACCGTTGTATAACAGTCATTGCGTTTCTGACTTGTCAATGGATCATTCAAAAACTACCTATATTGTCTATATTTTTTTTTTATAAACTATAGATTGATCTAGCCCAGTTTGAGTTTTCAATTTACATATTTTAAAATTCTTATCTTTCATAAATAATAGGATCGATAATATTAATAATTAATTGTTGTTTAATAAAATTAGATGGCTCTGTTTTAATAACATATTGTGCTTATTTGTCAACAAATTATCTTTGTTTATTAGCTAGCGTCAGTGATGGTCAGTTTGATTGAAATATAACACCAAATAGTCGAAACCGAAACTGCAAGCGTTGGTCAGTTAAGTTAACCAGCGTTTTAATATAGTTAGCTTATTATTGAGGTTTTGGACACAAAGCCCTTTCACGAGTTATTGGTCCAATACCGCTTAGTCGTGGCTCACAAACCGAGCTTAAACTCAAATGATTTTAAACTAACCTTTATTAAAATGAAGTTTGATGCTAATTGATTGGGGAATATAAAAGGCAAGGTTCTTTATTTTACGTTGACCTGGTCGTTTTGTAATAGAAGCAGAAGTTCCGCACCATTTAATACATATCCCTCATTCCTGTTATTCATTCCTAGGTAACTCATTTCTATTAATGATACCTGTGTCGCGGGAGAATTGATAAACATTTAAACAACAAACACGGAAAACATTCAGACTTGGGACAACTATTTGTGGAACACGCATCGAACACATGGGGAGAACTATTTTAACGATATAATAGAATTAAACCCTTTAGCTGTAATATAAAGGTCAATATAAAATACCAGAGCGACATAAAATCGCGTACTTACAAACTTCAAAATCAAAACCATATTTAAGTATGACTTTTTTTACAAACGTTAAAGTCGTTTCCGAGATATATTAATAGATGCAAGAATTTATCGTTTAAAGTTATTAGATGAATTCAAGCAACTTAAATAGTTAAAAAAATACAATATACCTATGAAACTGTCGTCGTTCAGTTCGACAATGTTATTATCGTTAAAAGTTAGGTACTGTAGAGTAGAACCGACCAGGCTCAAGCTCTCCGGCACAGTTACAAAGCGGTTGTGCGATAAATCAATCATTTGTATTTTGGTCAAGCCTCTGAACGTATCCAATGGGATGTGGTCAATATCGGTATTACTGAGGTCCAATACCTGAAAATACATAACAAACCAAAAAAAAATAATATGTAGTAAGTTTAGTTCCATTTTCTCTTGACAGTGTACACCTATGTTTAGCCTTAGCGTAAGTTTGCGATCGCCCTTAAATAGATAGACTCGAAGTCGTACCCAATTTGTACCAAAAGGGAAACCCTACTTTCAATGTAATACACCTGTACTTTCTTTGAATATGTACAGCAGGTGTAAGAATTAGAATAAAAATAATAACTTTCGGATGTGCTATTGAGCCGTAGGTTGTTTGGGTCCGTATAATTAAACAAAGTAACTAGCAACCCCGAAAAACACAAGTGTGTTTGTTTAAACTGTCGAGTCGACGCTGTCGCCTACAGTACACCTACATATAAAATACACCTTAAAACGTTCTTTTTAAAGTTAATTAAAAAATATCCTTTCCCATTTACAGCGTTAAAGCTATTTGAACCTCGTTTTAAAATACGTAATGGACTTTTATGTCTTACATCGTTATAAGCTGGAGCTAAAAAGTATTATTATTGCGTATGCGTTATGGATCGTCGTCGCATCGCGTATTATGAATCTGAATTTATTGCACATTGAAGTGATAAACTACTCATTTTTACACGCTTTATATTAGCTTTACTTGTATGTTTATTTGTAACCGACTCCTTTGGACGTGATTTTGACTGACTTTAAACGGTCAGAATTCGGTCAAACTTTGTAGATCGAGATCGAGAACCGATGTCAATACACTAATTTAAAATAAATAATAAAAAATAAAATAGTTTAAAAAAACTAAAAAACACGCTTTTTATGGATGATGAAGAAGTTCGCAAAAAGTGTGGAGTGCTTTTTACTATTGACAACATGCACCCAACGCTTATTTTTCAAATTTATCAAAATTTATTTTCTATTTTTTAGTTTTGTTTTCTATAAAAAGTGATTGAAAATGTTTTTAGTTTTTTTAAACTATTTTTTCATTTTTATTTTTTTATTATTTATTTTATAGGGCTGTTCTAAATCTGGTACTTTTGAATGCCAATGAACTGGTTTTCAATACGATGCATGCCTTTTAAGTTTTGTCGTTTGAAGAAAAAAACACAACTAGAACCTTATAGTAATATTTAATGTTTTTCAAAGTATTCACCACGTAGCTTAATACACTTTTCCATTCGTTCAAACCAGTTATTATAACATTTATTCCACTGTAAAGTGGGGGTGTTCAAATTGGCTGACTTGAAAGCGTCGACTGCTTCTTCACTGGACTGGAACCTTTGACCACGAAGACTTTTCTTAATTTTAGGAAATGTAAAGAAATCGTTAGGGCTTGGGTCAGGACTGTATGGAGGATCCGAGATGGCGTCTTGAGACGCAGGGTCATGTCGTGCGGTGTTCCGCAGGGGTCTGTCCTAGGACTTCTCCTGTGGAACATCGGGTACGACTGGGCCCTACGAGGGCGTCTCCCCCCCGGGCTGGGTGTAATCTGCTACGCGGATGACACTTTAGTCACGGCCCAGGGGGGTAACTTCCAGGAGGCGGCGCGCCTGGCCGCCACGGGAGTTTCCCAGGTGGATAAGACGGAGGCCCTATTATTCCATGGGCCCCGTCGCGGTCCACCCGGCGCCTCAATCGAGGTCGGCTCGGTCCTCGTACCGGTCCGGGCCCAGATGAGTTACCTGGGTCTGGTCCTAGACGGTAGGTGGCTCTTCGACGAGCACTTCCGACAGCTTGGTCCGAAGCTGGTGGACACTGCCTCCGCCCTAGGGCGACTTTTGCCCAATTTGGGCGGTGCCAGTGTTCCAACGAAGCGGCTGTACGCGGGGGTTGTCCGGTCCATTGCGCTTTATGGTGCACCGGTGTGGGTGGCGGCTCTGACCGCCCCGAATACCGAGGCGCCTTGCGCCTTGGCCGGAACACCCCCGTGGGATTTGGAGGCGGAAGTGCGCGCCGAAGTTTATCGGCGAGTGGCTGACTTCCGGGCGGAGAGCGGATTTCGCCCTCCGCCCGAAGACATGCGCAAGTGGCGCGAAGCCGCTCGCCGAGCCACCATGGTCAGATGGTCGTTCCGGCTGGAGACTCTACGCGCTGGCTTCGCCGCCGTGGAGGCTCTCCAGCCTGTCATCGCCGAGTGGGCAGGGCGGCAGCACGGGACCCTTTCCTTCCGGCTGACGCAGGTGCTTTCCGGGCACGGTTGCTGCGGAAAGTACCTGTTCTCGGTAGCTAGGAGGGAATCGAGTCCCGCCTGCCACCACTGCGACTGCAGTGAGAATTCGGCCCAGCACACGCTGGCGGTCTGCCCCGCATGGGCGACGCAGCGCCGGGCCCTCACTGCAGTCATCGGAGCGGATCTCTCGCTACCGGCCGTAGTTCGCTCCATGGCCGGTAGCGACAGTGGTTTTACCGCGGTCGCAACCTTCTGCGAGGAAGTAATCTCGCAGAAGGAGGCGGCGGAGAAGGCCCGGGAGGACGACCACCACTCGGACCCGATCCGCCGCCGGCGAACCGGGCGGCGGAGGCGCGCTCATCTGCGCCTGAGTGTGGCCGCGGGTGGACGCGATGGGTTCTCCCCTCCACCCGCATTAGTTTGGCCAGCCGCGAGGGGGCGGCGTCCGCGTGTGCCGGACGTCGCCTAAAGAGAGGTCCATGAGTCGGAGCCCGCGCCAGGAGCGGGCCGGCGCTGGGAGGGGTCCAGAAGGCGATAACTACCTGGACCCCTCCACTGGAAGCGCAAAGAGGGCACACCGTGTGGTTTTAGTCGGTTCGAGTCTGACACACCGCCCCGCCGAACGAGAGCCCCGGCGGGGTGACGGTCCGAGGGGATTTCCACACGTTAAAAAAAAAAAAAAGAAAAAAAGGACTGTATGGAGGATGGTCAAGAATTTCTACTTTTTCCTGCTTAAAATACTCAATCGTTTGACGAGCGCTGTGTGAGCTGGCGTTGTCGTGGTGCAGGATGATGCGTCGCTTTGAGTTAGATTTTCGAAGTTCGGCGATGACTTGTGGTAAACAAACTGTGGTATATCACTCTGCGTTAACCGTTCTGCGATCTTCAAGTGCAATAGTTGCAACATGGCCGGTTTTTTCAACGAACGTAGCCACCATCTTCTTTGAAGTGCTTCGAGAACGAACAACTTTAGTCGGTTTGGGTCGTCTTGAAAGACCCAGATTGAAGATTGTTGTTTGGAATCAGGATCGTAGTCATAGATCCAAGATTCGTCACCACCGATGATGTCGTAGACGTGATTTGATTCTCCTCGGTTGAACCTTTGCAGAGTTTTCTTACACCATCTGACGCGGGCCGCCTTGTGATCGTCGGAAAGCAGATGCGGTATCCAACGGCAAACTAGCTTTCTCACACCAAGCGCTTCATGCAAGATCTTCTGTGATGTCCTGAATAGTTGTCCCTGAGATGCCTAACAGAGCCTCTATCTCTCGATACGTCACATGACGATCTTCGAGAATTACTTGTCTCATAGCAATGATGTTATCTTCAGTGAAGGCGGATTTTGGGTGTCCTTCGCGAGATTTGTCACTAACACTAGTATTTCCAGGCTGGAATTCTAAATACCAGCGTTCGACAGTCCGCAGACATGGGGCTTCATCACTGAACTCAGATGTGAGCTCTTCAAAACACTGAAGCCGTGTCAGGCCTCTTCTAAAGTTGTAGAAAATTATTGCACGAACATTTTCCTTAGAAAGATTCATTTTCGTACGTAACCTGACAGATTTCAATCGACGCTGTGACTAAACAATAGCATTAATCCTAATACTTTCAACTGTTTTGAGATTTTAAATTTAAGCACATTCGAATGTAGAACAGTTCCAAATTCAAAATTGCCGGGAAATATGGAAACGACAGAACTTAAAAGGCATGCCTAGTATTTAATTACATTGTGTTTAATTTTTATAACTATAATAAAAAAGTTTTTTTTTAAACTAGATGAAAAATAAAAAGATCTAGAGGACTCAATGACAAGTTATAAAGTAAGTGTTCTGAATAAAGGCTGACATATGGGCTTTATTTATCATATTTTTTTAATGCAAATATTTTAAGTGACCATGTAGACAAAAATATTTTTGCGATACTTTACTTACCTCCAAATTTGTAGCACTAGACAAAGCCAAGGATGTGACATGATCAATGATCTCGATAGGGTTGTTGTTCAAATATAATCTTATCAGATTTGGCGTATATTGGAACAGGTATCGATCCAGCGAATGGATGTCGTTATGAGCAAGAATAAGTGTTTCCAATGCAATAGTGGCGTATAACCCATCGATGTAGCGACCCCGGAAAATCTCACTCCTCAACACATCACCTGAAAATAGATTTGTTTTGTAAGACATTTAATAATAAGGATATGAAAATATTGTTAATGAAGAGCGATATAAGGCATAAGATTGTGTACTAGGTGAGGTTTAAACCATTGATGGCAAGTGGCCGTTACTTTAAAAATCGATGGCACACTAGAAACCTATTATAAAACACTAATATGAGTTGCATCTTTTATTTCTTTTTCAAGAATGTACTTAATATGATCTTTTGTAGACTCTGCGCACCAGTTTTATTATATTAATCTGTAAGTAATTTTATTCGATAAATGTTACTTAATTTCCTTATAAGAGTAATACGTAAACATATTATACCATGAAAATGTGTACTGTAATTTCACATTAGAACCTTTCCTGTAGTGAAAGTTGTCTCACAATTATTTCAGTAGTCGTTACGTCTTAATAGAAACAAGAGCTATAAAAATAGGCTTCCATTCTTCATAAGCACCTCGGTGACCCAGAATCTCTCAAATGACTCATTGTAACAGAATAAACAAACTCGGCGCAGCCACCTTATATTTAGAGGATATCATAAGAAATAAATTTAAAATTTCCTGACGTTGAAAATTATACTAAATGGAGGCATTTAATAAAGAAGTTGAGTTGCTTTATATTTTAAACTTTTTAAATAGGATACGTAGCCACAACGGTTTTTTTTTACCATTTAAGTACTGCACCAAAATACTTTGATACATAATCATATATGTTGTTTACTATACATGCATTTCATGCGCGTTATATGCAAATACATATTTTGTTTTCCTTTTATATTCGCACTTACTCTCGCAAAGATAACAGTTGTGGTTTATCTCTGTTACTTATTACTTTCTTTGCAAAGATTATTTTACTGCTGTCAGAAACTTGTTTATCGCTTCAAGGGCGTGTCAAAATTAAAATTCCATTTGTCGGTTTACCATAAGGCAATTTTAAATTAGAAGATTATCGTCCAAAACTATAATTACAGATCGTTGAACCGAAGTCTTTGAGATCGTTGTCGTTTGTTTAGCTATTCAATTTTCACAAGGTTTTTTTTGGGTTATTAATCAAAATATTATCGCCTTAACATTTTGTTGCATAGTTTATATGCCTTCAAAAAGCGTTTAACGTGGTATGTTCGTGTTAGTCATCATACTTTAGGGAAACCAGCGTGAGCTTAAATCTTTTTTTTTTTAAATTACTGATTTGATTCACATATTAAAACCCTTATAGTTTTAACACGCAATATCTTTGCGTATTATATACTAAAAAACGAGCGAACCTTATGGTAGTCCAATATGTGTAACTTCTGACATTTCACGGCCAACTCTGGCACCGCGCGGGCTCATTAATCAAATAACACGCGCTTCTCGGGCTTCCTGTTACACACTTCCGTCCCGTTTTACTAAATCACTGCCACACATTGCAGGAAAGACTGATCAAATATGTTACACACAAATCTTATTTTTATTGTAGTAGTAACGTTTTGCAGCTTATTTACTTGTACCCTGTTTTTTGTAACCCGTCAGTTTAAGATCAGCGTGGTACAGATAATCTAACGTAATATTGAAATAAAGTGATAAAACAAAGACCATGCATTAAACTAGGTTTATCGTATATGTGATTACGACATTTTTGTGAATCCAAATGCTTAACGTATATGTAACTGTTCTTCGAAACTGTATAAATAAATGTACCACACCCGATGACTAATGTTATGATGTATAAAAGATATTCACTATACGTTGCTATCGGTTTAGAGATCGACGTAATAAACTGTTTATTGCATTAGCTTTCCAAATAATTGGAAGTTACTAATAGTACAATACTTTTACACGGAAAAGCTTAAAAAGCATATATTTTTTATTTTACACTTTATGAAAATTATGTTAGAGACATATTTGAATTATGGTTATGTTATTAAATTAATTATGCGGAGCATAAGATAAAATCATGCGTTGATTGTTTCACAGTTGTAATTAAGTAAAGGAATATGAAATTTTATCGGAAATTACTCTGTGTAGTCGTCGTTATTTTTATCGCTGTATCGAGACCGGTTCTGAGAGATTTAATGAACAAATTTTCTTGATTTGTATACAATATTACTAGAGTACTATTGTCGGCACATGTGTAATTATTTGAATTTTGTAATTCGACTGGGATTGCGTTACTCTTCATATTAAATATTAAGTAGTACTTACTGGTTTGAATTTCAAGCATTTTCAGTCATCACACATGCCCATGTGTAAGTGATGTTTTTTTTTAATGATTAAGGATAGCGTTAGACGAAATACTATATGTTGTCGGTTGCACATCATGGGATAAAGAGATCGAAAGCGTTGATAGTGACTATTTTAGATAAATTCCACCATGGTATGCTATGGTCACAGGCTGTGGTATTTCCGTAGTAAAGTATTAAACATCCAATGTAACCGAAATTTGAATCGGTAATCTGCTAGTCCTAGAAATATTTTACAGTTTTACTTCGAAAATGCCTTTTTTATAATTGCGAGATCGAGAGTTGATCGGAACTGAATTTTGACCGAACTTTTATTACGAGAATTGCCCTACTGGTGCAAACCAATTCGGCAAACAATGCAAAGGTGTGTAATATGGATTCCGTGGATGTGTATTTATATATAGTTTATATAATAGAAAGCAAGAGTTTAAAAATGTAGTACATTGATATTGTTTTTTTTTCCTTTGGGGACATTACATTTATTATTATGAAAGACACCATATGCCTTTTCTGTACCCTGACAATGTGTATGCTGATAATCGATAGAGTAATAGTTAGCGCAAAAGAGTGACTAAGAAACAATACCTCAGGCGAATTTTAGCAGTGTATTTTCTGAACAATTAAATAAAACTTTTTTTTTAAAATGTGCCTTATCAATGTATTTCTGGTTTTTATTCTGATGTAATGTCTAGTAAATAATAGGCGAGGCGATTAAACAAAATCATAATTCTGAAAATATTACAATAAAAATTTATTCCGCACATGCTTTTAAAAAATAATCAAGAACTATCTCATATCGCTATCAACATTTGAATCACTACATAAATGTCCAACGGTGTCAAGTTTGTCATTTTGAATACGGTATTAATAGTCGTGCTTTTCTTGTAGATGCCGACATAAATATCTGACCTACATGAGTTTTCTGATCAATAATCTCATCTTGTATCATGTTTATTGTAGTGCTGAAGTACGGAAGTAGGAGACCTAAAGATGATAAACGCCCCCGGTAATCAAAGTCACAATAATAACATATGTTTTTCCTGTTTCGGGTTATAAATTACATGATTTATCACAAATTGATGCGTCTACTGTAGTTACCGTTCAAAATGGCGTGATGACTAAATCAATTGATGTGATTTCTCTTTTTGTGTACATAATATTATTATACACATGACAAGCATATTGAGTAGTGACTACGTTAGCTTAAGTCAATATAATACTATATTTATTAGCTACTAGATTTCTCCATGTTACGATTTAAAAAAAAGAGGGATGGTATGAGTATTACATGTGTATTTGTGTGTCTATCAGATGGATTTTGATTAAGCTTTTATTTGTAACGAGCCTTGAGTGTTCTAAACTATAATTCAAGAAAGTCTGTTTAGTCGTTTTAAGCACTTTAGCCTTAATCTTTGAATACTCTTAATCTTGTCTCTAAACAGAAATATATTGTGTATTGATTTGCAAAACATTTAACTTTGTACTTATTATAAACAAACAAACAAATTGAATGTAAATTATACTTATTTTAGAATAATATCATTGAAACTTAAGAGGCTGTATAATATGGTGGAAAAGTACTTACCAGTAATGTTATTATTGCTCAAGTCCAAGTAAACCAGTCCCTCGATGTTGCTAAAAGCATCATCCTCTATGTCCACGATCTCATTACATTTAAAAATGAGGGCTACTCTCGTCCCCATCACCGGAGGCAATTGCGACAGGTTCGTTATCGAATTGTTGAAAAACCTTATTAACACATGCCCATCTGGAAAGTAGGTATTGTTGAGTTTTAACATGACTCTTTCTCCATTTGAAGTATAAAAAATATTGAATATCTTGAATATAAATTTAAATTCTAATGTAAACGTCCGTTATTAATTAATGAATGTTTTTAATATTGATATATCTAATCTACTTTCCATGTAACTGTACCATTCATGATAAGTGTTGTTAGTATCAAGTATATTTTTTTTATAAAATGCACAGGTAATGTAACACATAACTAATATGTTGTCTTCGACCATAGGTTTCTGCGTAATGGTTATTTCAAAGAAATTTTAGAACAAAGGCAAAACAATGTGATATGCAGCCGATATTTGTTTTGTTTACGTCATACTTTTGCACGATAGTGCAGTACGATAAATGAGAACGCTCTGCTTTCGGCAGCGTTACCTTTGTCTAAGCTGTTTATGCGCTCCGGCCAATTATCTGGAATCTCACTAATATTGCGCCGTGAACAGTTCAATATAACACTGTTATCATCTTGTATTGAAATATCACACGGAGCACTCTCTACGTTAGTTTCTTGGGCGAGGTTCCATGAAACTAGGACGCATATTAACATTAACACCTACAACAAAGATACACCATTTTTTATATTATCTTAGTACACAAGCAATCGTCTAAATAACTAGGTCATCACGTTTACTCACAGTATATTTCGCTTGGAAGTTCATTTTTATTGGAGTTTTTTAAGGATACTGACTACCTCAGATTAGAAATATAATTTTATCTTATCAGTTGAGAGCTCTGATATCACAAGTGTCAAGAAATAAGTGAGCGCCTCATTGGTCGATGTTGATTTGTGTTATCACCTGACTAATATGAATAACGAATGATGCTCATACATTGTTTTTTACTTTTAAGGATATTCTGAACATAGCGGCGGCAAAATTGGAAGAAATTATCAAACCACTGAACGATAGCGAGTTTGATCATGATGGAAAGAATAAATATGCGGAAATTGGATCTCCGGACTCTACAGAGGAGATGAAGAACTTAGAAAGTCGGCAGGCGGCGGTCACATTACTACAGATAAAAAATTACGATCCCAGTAAATATACGATAAAAAGTGAAGCCGAATCTCATATAATGTTCAACAGTGTACCGAGTCTACCTCCTGCGGATAGAGCGCGAGAGGTGATGCACTGCAATACTGTCATTGATATTATAAGTAAAGCGGTAGCGGTGGCGCAGCGGGAAAATGAAGAATCTCAAAAAATTCCACCGAATTACACGAGTGTGATAGACAGAACACAAGCGGGCGGCACCGCTGATGTCTACCCGCACGACTACACGGAAGATCAGTACAACGCTTACAGTGCAACGCAGAATGCGCCAAGTCCGTGTAGTAACGAAGATCATGACAACAAAGAAATGGATCTCTCATTATACAGCTCAGTTAAAAATGAGCCACCTGAACAAAACGAACAACAAGAACACACAAACACATATTTCCACAGTGCACTGACACGCAACAAGTCTACAAACTTCGTGGATGAGTACAAACAACATGTTTTTGGTGGAGAAGACTACAAGCAACACGCTTTCGGGAGGTCGGCCAATAAGATGAAAGCATCGATGAAAGAAAATTCTTCCGTTTATGAGGAGTGCAGTCAAAGCAGTAGTGGGTCGGATCCAGATAGACTACAGATGGATATATCTCAAATGTCGCAGGTAAACATTTTTGTATGATACCTATAGATAAAGATTAACAACATATTAGTCAACACATTACGTCACCAACATGATGGCCTACCGTCGCTCAGTAGAATCGAGCAAGGTTATTTGTAACTTATACATCGTGCATCTTTGATGTGCTTAAAAACATTTATCTGCCTTATCCATAGCACTTATTTTATAGGACGACCCTGAAGAGACACAGTCAGCCCGATCAGCGTTATCGTCTCCACAACCTCCTCAAGAGCATGAACAGGATAAGGAGTCGCTCTGGCAAGCACTTCATAGACAAAATGGTAATTGTTTTATTTTTTACTAGCCAATGCTTGCGACTTCATCGCGTGGAAAATTAATTATAACTTCTTAGCCGACTGCGGCGAAGCTAAAAAAGAAGGTTATGTGTTTGACCTGTACACATAAACTGATATGTATATCTGTCGCTGGGTTCTTCGTAACTACTAAACGGTTGCACCGATATTGATAACTTATATGTATTTGTCTTTATTATGTTAGTGTTTTGAAATATTAACCATCGGCGCCACATTCATTTTTTTTCTTTGATGAAGGAGTAGCAGAATGATGTGGTTCATTAATTATAGTATTTATAACGCAGATAAGTTTTTCGTGATATACAATGATTTCTTGTTTAAAACTACGGAAGTAATTTAAGTATGAAGGGTTTTTAAAGTCAGGTACCATAACTTTTATTACAACGTTTCTTTGAAAACGATTGAGCGTAAGATTTCGAATAGCATTAATCTCGTAAATAATAATATCGTATACTATTATGCTAGAATCACTTAACTGTGGATATTCTTAACATAGCTGCTCGTGAGTAAATCAGCCTTTACTGAGATCTGTGCCAGCTTTCCTTGTTGTTTGTTCTAGGAATTTATTAATGGTCATTGCCAAAACTAATAACTGCAATTCGTGGGAGATAAGCTGATTCTTTTGGATGAATGATGTTTTATTTTTGAAATATAAAATAACATTATGTTATGTTATTTTACACTACATGTACTCACTTATTTATAATGTTAGTTCATACTGAATTTTTCATTCATACCACAAAAAGATTGAGTGTTAGGAAATTATACTAGTAGTAGGGCCGCACTTTAACTTACTTTTGATTATGTAAATTTGTTCACCTAGTTGAACAATCTTCCTTCTTAATCAGAAGACGAAGATACAAGAAAATATCAATTATTTATCTAAATAAGCCAACCCACACAAGGAGCATTGCAGACCAGGGCCTCAATTCTGTTATTTTAATATTGTATCAATAGACTGTCGATGAAATGTCGTCGGAATAGTTTTGCACTTTTCCTATTCTACTAGCCATGTAAGACCAGTGCCCTTCCGTTGACTTGTCACTGATACACATGTCGTCGATGTTTTTGCAACAGTATGGTAAACGGTACATTTTACATTAGTAAGAAAATGATATATATTTAATGTTGTTGATATCACCGTTGATAACCTATATTACTATATCGACAGTTTATTGACACTGAATTTATAGAATAGAATACTGATATTTTGACCGATGTCAATTGCATCTCAATGGCGTGTCAATGGAATGACAGTTTTTTGGCGTTAACATAAAATAGCAGAATTAAGGTCCAGCTCTAGTAGTGGTGGGAAAGGTTAACAAAGGCCCTAGTGTGCGTGTCTTTCATTTTAACTCTGGACGGCGAGCGTGTTGGTGGAGATTTCAGTGCGGGCCAATCGCAATTCCGAACGCGGTCACCGAGTAGAAGTAAAATAAACTTACACTAGGCCTAGTGCCTGTTTCCGTCACCCACTACCGTGTCAGATTGAGGCGGAGTTCTCGTTTTCTTCTACTCACAGAGCATGAAATTCTCACTATAAAAAAAAAAATTATGTGCGTTTTCTTTTTACGACAGTGTTTATAAACTTAATTTATTTACTTACAGGTCGCAGCGGAGAAGCAACACAACTACTACGACGGTTAATCAATAGCAAGCAACTAGGGATGACAGTATCGCCCTTGCGGGCGCCTGCCTCACCGCTATCCTCTACATTACAGCAGCCGATCAATGGCTCTGTATCCCCGGTACGTTTCTATTAGTCTATAATCCATACTTCCTAAACTTAACCACTAAACTGATTATATAAATGCTTTCAACAAGTGAAAGCTACATTATTAGCTTTTACATAGTAGGCCGAGCTAGTCTTTACATAGTATAAAGCGAATTCGCTTTTTTTATTGTACGCTTAGATCTTACGCAACGGATTTTAATGCGGTTTTCACCAATAGAGATAGTGATTCAAGAGGACCTTGCACCTACCGACTATTACTTTTTCCAAAATTTAGACAACTTTTTAGTAGGTAACAAATTCAATTCCCGAGAGGCAGTACAAAATGCCTTTGAAGAGTTTGTTGCCTCCCGTCCAGCTGATTTTTACAAGAAGGGCATCAATAAACTGCCAATGCGTTGGCAAAGATGCGTCGATTGCATGGGTGATTACTTCGAATAACAGAAATAAAAAAGTTTGAAAAAAAAAGTACTTTCACTTATTGCATACAAAACGACAATTTCATAGGTAAAGACCTAATATATAAAAAAAAATAAAAAATTACAAATTTATTTCTTTTTGCTATTTTATCCATTTTCATTCGGGCCATTTTTCTAGAGTTAACTACAATTTTAGTAATTGAAATTATAAAACAATTTACCAACCACACAAAAACAGTAAAAAAATTGTATTAGGCATAATTTCGGCGATTTTTATAAAAAAAAAAAACTTAGTTTAATATCCTGAAAATGGTTAAGTTTGGGATTTCATAGTCAAATCTATCAGAAATGACGGCATCTACAACCCCTTAAAGTATTTAGGTCGACTTACCCAGTAACCCTGTATATTATGTGAATCAAGTAAGTGTTTTCATATGAATAATTATTGATTAGTGTTCAAAATTATGTGGTATGTCGTAAAAGTTGTTTTTGCTATTATCATGTTTAACACGAATGTGTGTTTTCATAAATTAACATGTTTAGACAACAACGAAAATACATGAGTAGGTGCCAATTACTCTTTTTTTTTTAACACATTTAAGCAATGAGTGTGAATAATAGCTTTGTGATTCATCAAGCGGTCAGATTAAAAAAAAACTTGAAGTCTTTAAAACCCCTGTTCCGTTATGGTATATTGATTGATTTGTACGATTCAGGCGGTTCATTGCACATTTTATGTTGTAGAATGATATAACACAGTCCTATAAGAAATTAACACTTACACTGCCCACTATGCATCTATTAAATTGTTAGTTATTTACTATCAATTTAATTATATATCAGTAATTTGGGTCCCATTTGATAACATACATAGATATAAATTATTTTCAAAAGATGCCGTTCTTAATTTATGATCGCATTTTCTTCTGTATTTCATATCTGTCTCGGTCGTTAGGAGCGTCAGTCAGTCTGCATAAACCAAGAGTGAACTAAAAATAACTTACGGAGCGACGAAAAAATGTGTAAAATATACGTTACTAACGTTAATCATATCACTTACTGCACAGTTCATAACACTTAATATAAATAATGAATTTTATAGGTAGCACAAAAAACCTTTAGGATGAGAACGTGAACGAGACAATACTGACTAGGTCTTGAGACTCGAATAATGATTATTATTTAAATATAGGACATGACAGAATGATTTTATCTTCTTATTCAAATGTTATGGTAATTTTCTTTTACGGCAAGATTTTCCTCAACTTTACTAATACGAATTGCAATATTTGTCTTGATCTAATTTCTTTTTAACCTCCGTCGCCACGGGGACTCATATTTTCTTTACTAGTGAATAATAATTCTCAATGTTAGTGTATTTAGTCTAATTGTTTAAAATACTATCCTAGATTTTACGTAGACACATTTTAGAACTAGAACTACGAGCTTACCAAGACACCTATAACTTTACTAGAGATTGCAAATGCGAGACTTGAGACAAGATTGGATAGTAGATTTTATGCTAAAAAACGGAACGCTCTGATGTGTATGAAAATATTATCATTAATTATACTTTAGTTGATGTTCTATTTTGTTAACAGAATAGCGAATGGCAGGGCTCAGGACGCGCTGCAAACATGGCGGGTACTGGGCGAAGAAAACAAAGTTTTCCGGCGCGAGCCCAAACTATCGCGTTAGATCCACCTTTAAACAACCCTCTATGGCCGGCTGTCTCCGAAAATGTAAGTCTAATTCTTACGGTATATATTTAAAAAATACACAAATTGACTAAACCTTGACTGCCGTTTTTGTAATGCATTAACACTTTACGAGGTCAATAATTGTTTTAAATCTTAATTATATTCATTGAGATCCGCTCCAATATTTTTTTGTACAGATTTCCATTGACAAAGTCCTCCTTTATTTAAAAGGAACTAAATTTTCTTTTGCTTGCCTACATCTTGACTACTGGAATACCAATATATAGGAATTAAACAAACAAAAATGGTTTCTGCCATTCTTGGAAAGACACATTTACTCAAATTGTCTACTCACAATATATAGCTTATGTCCAGCCGTGGACTATAAAGGCTGCTGATGATGATGATGATGTGTTGTTATTCGCGTAGTTTATCTGTGCCTGCAGTACCTTATATATTATTAAAGTTCTTAATTAGTTTAGCAGATTTTGTAATATATGTGTTTTATTTTTCGCTCTTCAGACAATATTTTTATCCAGTCGGTATTTTTTTCTATTAGTCATTTATTTTCACTTGATTTTCATATTTTGTTTCTACTACATTCCGTGATATCAGTTTCAAATTAATTGTTACGATCCTTGACTTACAAGTTATGTGACTCAAGGATCGTTTCGATCGAAGGATCGATCGGTCGATAATTTAATGTAAAAATCTTAAAAATAGATATTAATACTAACGATAATTATTTCATTAATGTCATGTCATTCTCTTGACTGCTTTGGTTATTTTTATTTTCAACCTTTTATTCCTTAGAGTAGTAAGTAAACAGTCATAACAATATAATTTATCACTTTTGTGAACAGCCTGTATATGCGCTCGAACTTCATCACAACTGCCAGCGACGAGAGTGACGCGGTGGTCTGCTAGAACAGTGTCTATAGCTGCGGAGTACGTTCGCCATTTGCATAACCTTGCAAAAATATGGTCAATGCATGCAATTGTTATTTTATTGGCACACATCAATTCGAGTGTAGTCGGATATTCCACGGCGGAACCCGGTTTCGGCGGTATATGCGTGTGTAGGTCTCGGTGTGCGGAGTATGTTTTGAGATTAATGTTTATATCCCCGAGTATCATCATGTCAGTGTGTATCATCAGCCTGGATAGTTCAATGACAAAAATTGTTTTGTTAGTAGAGGGTGGTCTATAGATTGCACACACAATTACCTGCTTATTATTTGCCGTTATTAAAGAGCCTGTTCCTGTTTCAAAGGAGTATGTTTTTAATGCGCTGGTGGTAAATTTAAGATAGTTTATAGATAAAAAAAATATTATTCCACCGTCTTGTCTTTGTTGGCTTAATTGTGTGTGCATCCTGTAGTCCGGTATTTGAAAAAGGTTACATACATTATTAGATATACCTACTTCGGTGACAACAATGATATCAAGTGATATTGTTGTTTGACGGGCCTGTTGGTCTAGTGCTTAGTGACCCTGACTGCTAAACCGGAGGTCGTGGGTTCGATTCCCACCCAGGACAAATATTGTGTGATGAGCACGGTCATTCTGTGTCTGGGTGTAATTTATCTATAATATGTATGTATTTAGAAATATATAAGTATGTTTATCAGCGGTCTGGTTACCATAGTACAGGCTCTGCCTAGTTTGGGATCAAACGGCCGTGTGTGAGTGTGTGGGGATATATTATTATTATTTATTTATTATTATTATTGTTGAGGAGTCTATTGCACAACAGTTTAAGAGATTTTTTTAAGTGATCGTATGTACATGCATATAGAACATATTAACATTAGCAGTTGGAATATTTTACACGATCGATCAATTATATATTTTATTTATTTGATTTGACATAATTTTTAAAATATTTGACATATAATTTTAGAATACGATATAAAGTAAAGAATGCGTAAAAATATTAAATAATAGAATAAGAGTTTGATAATTTAACAGGTGTAGTATTTATAATATAATATTCTACCACATTCACACAACGCCATCTAGTCCCAATCTAAGCAGAGCGTGTACTATGTACTCAACGGATACAAACATATAATTTTTTTCTAAATACATACATATTATATATAGAAACACCCAGACCAAATCAAACATTAAATGTTCATGCACACAAATGTTTGACTTGAGCGGGAATCGAACCCGCGACCTTTGGAATAGCAGTCCGTTACACAAACCACTATGTTTAGTATGTACCTTACGATTTTAGGAGTGAGTCAATACCGAATTCGGCACGTATTACGAAAGCTCGTTCGTAGTCTTCGCCTTTCTTGGCGTAGATTTTTCTTCATTACACCTTATATATTTGAATGCCCCGTTTCGACGTTGTTTGGTGTTAAATGGGTGTGTCTGAGAACTATGAGTGAGAGCTGCCCGGACATATACGCGGCGTGTGGTTTTTTCCGTTGGCAGATTTGAAAGGATGTTCCCTGACAGGTTTTCGGTTTTCTTTTGCAGATGAGAGCCACTGATCACGATCGCCTTTCGACTGAAGCTGAACTATGAGCTTGACCTATGACTTGACACCCCTTCCCAAAAAAGGCTTTAAACTTGAAAGTTTCTATCTAGTCTATCTAGCTCTAGAGTAATTTCAGGGGAAAGAGAAAGAAAGTGAACTAATACATACGAAAATATGTTTTAATACAAGACATTATCATTTTGTTCACAGCAGGAGCCCCCAGAAACGTCGTCAACAGGTGGAGCAACAACGCGGCCTGGCAGTTCCCGCGTCGAACTGTCGTGCAGTAATTGTGGCACTCACACGACCACGATATGGAGACGTGACGCTCGCGGCGAAATGGTGTGCAACGCCTGCGGGCTGTACTTTAAATTGCACGGCGTACCGCGCCCCACTGCCATGAGACGGGACACGATACATACGCGGCGTCGGCGACCACGACACGATGCCAAACATAACAAAAGCAGTGAGTGTAATGTAATCCTATTTAGAAATTAATTGTAGGAGAGCCGTGCTTAGATACTTTTCACCGAGTGAGTGAGGTCGTCTAATTTACTAAGGGTGGTAATGTTTCTTGGGTCTCTTGAATGAGTTGCAGTCCATGGAGCATTTCTTACCATCAGAGGGACTAGTACAAATTTATTTCACATCAACTCGCTCTCGACAGCGAGCGCTTTCGGCGTTTCAGTGCGGTGCGGTGAAGATTTCAGTGCGGGCCAATCGTAGCGCCGAACGCGGTCACCGTGACGATGGAAGTAGATGTGAAATAAATTTACACTTGGGCCTCAGGAGACCTATATGCTCGTTTGCCCCTATTATCATATCATATATATTAATATTCTTAAAAACACAAACATGTTTGTCGAAGTGTAATTGTTTTTTCTTATCGTCTCTAACATCTGCCTTTAAAAGGAATGCTACGACCGGAGACACTTACTCTTGATTAAACTGTTTGTCAAAATCGTACACTCAACACCGAGTCCACCATTGCTCCTTGTGAAAAGAAGTTAAATTTAAGGGTAGTCCATAATGACCAATGGCAGTGGACTATTGTTTTATATTGTGTTGTTTACATATGTGTGGGTGGGTATGTCGTATGTTAAGTGTTTGTGCGTGTAAAGCATGTGTGAGTAAGTGAAAAAATTGTTTCTGTAAATTTTATACTGTAGTCAAATAGTAAAAAATAGGTATTACGTTATTATAATAATAATAAAGACATAATTTTAGTATGTAAATTGTTTCTTTAGCACATAGTATTAATTATTATTCTTATAAATGCAGCTCGGAAAACACACGCATAATAGGTAAATAAAATGCAATATTTTTTTAAACTTAAATAAAATTATAATAGATATGTAACTAGGCTAACCACTGTCCGAAGATGTCAGATGAAACTAAAATTAAATACTGCCTATAGATCCAGAAAAAAGTTATTCGATAGGAATCAATTAAATTTATAACCATATATGGCGAACGACGTACAAACGATCCCTTTGAAATGCAACTTAAAACGGAAGACTCATAGTGAGCACAAGAGTCTAAGTAAATAAGTTGCGAGGGTTGATCAAGCGATTGACTATTTCATATAAAGTAAAATAATAGTTACTGTTAAAATTAAATTTATTTCTTATTATACTTTCTTAGCCAAACAATATAAATTTAGTTCATGTCATGTTCGTGTAAAATGTTTTCTAGCCGAGGAAATTATCTAGAGAATGGATGATAGGTTTGTCCAGTTTAAAACCTCCCTTCAAATAATAACCATTGGAATCTGACAAATCCGGACTTAGAACCTTGTCTCTTTTTCGTTTCTATCTTTTTACTAGTTTCTTATGTGGCTTGCGTAGTCAGAGCTCATTTTGGAGGCGTCATTGCCTAAAAAAAATATATTATTTTCTTAGTGTTCATAAAAGGACGTTTATCGACAGAACTAAAAGTTTTAATTTTTTTTCAATTCCCTGACCAGTTTTGTCAGGTGATTCGATAAAATAGTTGTAGTTATGTCGGAATATATCTATCAAGATTTTCTTTTTGAATTGTCAATTCTTATTCTTCAAATATTAATTCTTCTTCTTTATCTTGTCGATTGACATTATGGATTTATTTTTTACTCAGCTCAAACTCCCGTCGTGCAATTATGGAATATGCAAAATATCATTCTGAGTTTTCACCAATTATTTAAAACTCTTCTCCACTTCTAGAATCATTTCATAAAATGTCTGAATTTGGATCGGAGCTTGGAGATATATGGGCTATCCTGCTATAAGCCAAGCCGGCCCAAGTCATTTGCGACCGGCCCATTCAAGAAACATTCAATGCCTGGGGATGTCGTCGTATGGCATGAAAATAATACTCACCGTTAGCTGTATTTTTGTTGTCTTATGGAATGTAAAAATATTAATCTATTGCAGAGTCTAGGCGAAGCGGCGGTAGCGGCGGGGGCTGCGGCGGCGGGGGCGGGGGTGGAGCGCCGAGCGAGGCGGGCGAGGGCGCGGGCTCGGGCGGCGAGGGCGCGGAGGAGGCCGTGCTGGCGGCGCTGCGGCGACAGCTGCAGCCGCACCTGCTGGCCGCGCTGCACGCGCACAACACGCGCGCCCTGAGGCCCATCCGCGACCAGGTGCGGCACCGTCTTCCTAATGCTTTTAACTATTCTAATTCGTATCGTATCGTAAAATCCTCGAAGTCCGGGCACACTGATAGTCTTCACACCGCTGTATGAAAATACACTCCATGTAGAGTTAACGTGTTTAAAGATTATATCATATTTTATTATCTCGAAAATGATGCTCATCGACCGTATTTTTACCATGAAAGTACCTGACCGTAGTAGCACTTGATCGTCTATATATATATATATATATTATTATTATATGTATATTATTCTTCTGTGCATAACTGCACTCTTCCTAAACGGATGGACCGATTTTGATGAATTTTTTGTGTGTTCAAGTGAATTCGAGAATGGTTTAGATTCACAATTCGTTCCACTACACAATGTTTTTTAGTTAATAAGTGTGTACAGGACGACGTCTGTCGGTTCCGCCAGTAATATATATAATGTTGTATCGGGCAGGTGGGCCACGCCCCGGAGTACGACGAGGCTCCGCTGAACCTGGTCGCGTCGCACGTGGCCGCCACCGAGGAGACGCACTGAGCGCCGCCGCCGCTCGCCACCGCCCGTTGCGTGTGCTAACATCTCAGTCGGCTTCATTCCTCTACACCGAACACGTTAGCTGCTCAAATTGCGTTACTAGTGATTAATTATTGGTTTTGCTACTGAAACGACTAGTACTCTTATGTGTTACGCACCCATAGATCGGTCGGTTACGTATTTTACGTTACCGTTTTCGAGTACTATAGCCCGAAGGACGAAGTCGTTCAAAAAAGCTATCGTGTAAAGTTCGGTAAACGAAGTGTTGCCGTGAATGTTTAACAAACGTAATGAGATCTTAAAATGTACACGATTGTAAAACAGTCGCTGAAACACTTCGCAGCCATACCGAAAATAGCGATCGTGACACGTTATATATAAGATAACACTAAATATACAAACATATACTTATAGTGATAGTTGAGGCCAGTGTTTGCAGACAATAGTGAAAAAAGTATTTTAATATTTAACTCCTTCTGTCTGGTCGTTCAGTGTATTATCAAATGTTTATTTTTATAGACCATACAATATTCAAAAAGTTTACTCTCACTTTGTAACGTTCGCTTGAAACATCACTTTATCTTCAAACAACCAATAAAATTAAAATGATGGCTTTGTGAACCTTTGTCAAAATACAATATTGTAAAACGACTATCTTAGACCTCTAATACTTCAAAATAATGCACCAAAGGGTGGTCGGTATCAAATTAATAAACAAACTGAACATTACGCATGTACTGGGTTACTTGGTCGCGGGAAACAATACATTCTTTGATTAGTGCCTATTTAATGTATAGAAATGTGGTACCGCAGTGATGATATGCGGAAGAGTGTACATATTTTCTTGACTTGTGATATGTATGATTGCAGTCATACATGTGTAAGAATTGTGCAATTAATAAAGGCCAAAATACACTAGCTCTTATTTGGACTGGTTACTTGCAGAGTGTACAGACTGCAGAACATGACTGGTGTATTTTAGCTCTTATGCGGCGGCTCGGAACACTTCCTATGTGAAGTTCCTAGTTGCTTTTTAACAGATTGGGGTGTGTTGATTACAAATTGTATACAGACACCATTTTCTATCTGACATTGTAATCTCAGAAAGCTAATGACACTAAGATATCGGGATTAATTATTATTAGGCGGTTGCCTCGAATGCTCTCTTGATATTATTGAAATTATATTTACGGTTACCTATTGCAGGACGCAAGTATTCTTTTAGATGTAGGTCATATTGTAAATGTTATTATTTACGTTCTAGTTGTAATGCTTAAATTCATTAAATTATAAGTGTCTAATTTATTTCCCACTTCGGTCAGTATTTACAATGTAAGTATTTTTTTATTTCACTCTAGTATTTCTCTTAGTTAAGATAACGAGATGAGGAGAAGCAATAATAACAAGCATTAGAATAAAAATGAATCTTCATACAATATAGATGTAGAGACATCAAGAGGCATTGTATCGCCCAAGTTTCATACATATTTTGAAACTTAGTCCTGAAGCAATGTGAATTTTATGTTTTTCTAATCAAAGTTACTACATATTTCCATATTGTTGCCTTTATTCATGACTTATACTATATCCTGTAGTTTCTGGCATTATTAAAATAGATATAAATATGTAAATGATAGATGAAAGATTTATTTTAGGAATTAATTTTTCAATCCATATTTAATGGGCATTTTTGATCGTTAAGACTTAGAACAAACGTGTGACAGTAACGTTGTAATTACATATATTCAATAAAAATGTACCGAATTCACCTCATAATGGTCAGTGTTTGTGTATATTATAGCAGAAAGCATTTACTTTGTACTGTACTTTGAACTGGGCTGTTTTGTTTGTTATTGCTTCCATTCGACTTATTTAGCTGTGAACTCTATCACCGTCCTTTACTTGACGTCTCTACTTAATTTAGTGTTAGTTCGTTTTATTATCGAAACCCCTCGGGCCAGTAAAATACAGCAGTCTATAAGACATTGTGATAATACTTAGCTAGAGAAAGCTCGGCCGTAGCGAGGCTGAGACTCTGATCATGTGATTCTGTTGCAGCTAATCCTTCAACGTTTACGTCAAGCTTATCGTATTTAAAAAGCTTTAAAATTTGAGATTATTTATTCCTTCTTATTGGGATCACTGTGTAGGTGTCGGTGTAGCGTGTATTGCTTACTATATTATTTCGGAGTAGCCGTCTACCTTGACAATAATGTTTCGTGAATGTTTATAGTGGAACTATAACGATAATGTACGTACATTTTAAAATTATTTCGCTCTCTATGCAACTGTAGCTCTCTGTGTGATGATATTAAATAGAAACTTTTAACGATCTATCCATGATTATTTATTAACATGATAATGTAACTAGGACGTGTTTATTTTTCTAAAAGTATATATTTGATCGAATTGTAACCTTGAAATTGATTTAAACTTTAGCCACGAGTGGTAGGTTGTGTCGATAAAGATCTGAATTAGATCTTGTTTTAAGGATTATTGCTATGTAACGGTATAACAGAAACGTTGATACTCATAGTTACGAGATTATACACAGGGTTGTTCTGACGCAAATATGTAATATGATAAGTGAGCGTCATGTAATGCTTACCAGTAACGTGGCACGTGTGTAGTTTGTGTACTTACGGGGGAGTGTCGGCTCTTAGGACACCGGAGCAGTCCTCGTCGGATCGCTGAAACAGTGTTCTACATCTCCACGAACTTTGCTGCTCGCGGTAATAATACAGTATTATTTTATTGAACTCTAATCTGTACATTTCTAATAGGTTTATTATTTTTGTATTTTTATAGTTTTTATATAATTTGACTTCCGAATTTAAATTCTTAATTGTAGTTACGGTAGGTAGGTGCATATTTGCAAATAATTTTTGCGTGAACGTATCTGTGTTCAAACAATTTTTCATGTTTCGTTGCCGTTACAACAGAATGCACCTATGATATAGATCTTCCAATTTTTTATTTATTATTATGTTAGGATAATTTATGGATACATATATTGGTATCAAGAGTTAATGAACAATGTATATCGTCATTTAGATACTAACAAACCGGTTGTGTTGTGTGTGCTTACGCTCTAACAAGCATGTGTTTGTGATTTTGTTCCATTATTGCGTCTGACACTGATGCAAACAGTACCAATACTATAATGTATTATTATAATTTATGCTGGAATATGGACTCGGCATCATATCTAAGGAATTACATTCGACATTGTATGTACAATTATTTCTGGAAGACTAAAGACTGACGAGAGCTCTCATAACGTCTTCTGTTTCGTAATACCTGAACGCGCTATACGTATTTCACTCGAGTTATTGTCGAAAAAAGATAAATGTGAAAGTATTTTTATTCATTGTGATATATTTTTTTGGAGAATGTAGATGTATGTTTTCGAAAAGCAATAACATTGTGATAAGTGATGATGAGCAATGATTGTATGTAACGGAACAGAAAATTCTGAATAATATAGAAATCAATCTTGTCAATTATATGATTATATGCGCACTGGACGGTGAAGCTCATAGTCAATAGAGATTCGCTTTGTGTCGAAAAATTACGATTAATAATTTATAGCAATAAAGACGAAAGCAATAGACCATTTTGGTCGAATAGCCTTATATTTCTGCTAAATAATAATAGACGTATTTAACATTAAGTAATTAAATATTGTATATACCTAGATACTATGAGCTGGACCGTCCAGAAGCAACACATGAATATCGATAAGCTTGTCTCTTGTAATCAAACTTTCAACTTGATGTAATTATGTATAAGCGAAATGAAACTGACATAGTGGACATAGTTTCTCTTGGTAAAGACGTATTCTTATTGTGGTGTAGCAATACTTTCCAATATAGAAAGCTTGAAGGACCATTTGTTGTTGTCAAATTACATAACTATGTATTAGTAAGTTTCAGCATAAATTATTCGTTTGAGGTTGTTTGGTATGAACACATGGCCGGAATACTCATTGTGAAAACATTAGTTATTGTTGTATAGATGATAAATAATGTGACTTACGCAGGGATGGATACTTAAATTATTAAAGTTTTAACTGATATATTGGCTATGTAGTGAGTAGAATATTTTTTTACAAATAAATTATAGCAGCTATTGTTTTGTTTTATTATTAAATTGTCAAGGAATATTCTTTAGTAATATAGAAGAACATTCCAACACAATCCCACTCTCGATGTGCAACAAGTAGTTTTACTTACTTTCGACTTTTAACTTTTTCGGTTTTTTGGACGGGAGCCTTTCGACAATCGAGAAGTGTTTGAGTAGAAACAGATAAAAATTATATCTAATAGAATCATGGGAGTAAGGACCGGGAGGAAAAACTTGTGGTATATGGATGAGTGTTCGTTAAAGCCACTGATCGGCTATAGTCTAACGTTACTTGGATAGAGATCTATGTCTATCGCCATAGCAGTCGCTTTTTATCTATAATCTCATCGATTTTGACCTCACCACACCGTTATATGATAAAAAGTAAACATATATTTCCTACTTAGATTTTTATGTCAAATTTTATAAAGACAAATGAAACACGATCTTATTAAATATTTACAAATATATTAATACATCTAGGTAACAGTAACTATAGGTCGTTTAATCGCTTGTCTAGTTCGCCTGCGTTTATCCTTTGCGCGTCTCTCAGTTGTTGCTTCTCTGAACAATTGTTCGGCATCGGCCGCCTCTACGTCACGTCTCAGCCAATGAAGTGCGTGTAAGTTGTATCCAACCATGTCCTGAAAATAGTTGAGTAAATAAAGTAAAATAATGGTAAGACATTCTGAAGAGCGACTTATTGACCAGCTGTACTATAGGTTTATAGTACAGCTGGTCAGGGAGTACAGGGCGGATGTAACCAGAACGAAGAAAGAGATGTGCTTCTTACTTAGGGACGTATTTCGTGTACATAATAGTAAGGAGAGATAGTTATTTAAAAAAAAACACGCTTTCTATAGAAATTGAAAAAAAGCGTTGGGTGCCTGTTGTCTATTTTCTATTTTTTAGTGTGGTTTTCTATAGAAAGCGTGTTTTTTAGTTTTTTAAAACAATTTTTTTTTAAATTAGTGTATTGTCATCGGTCCTCGATATATCTACAAAGTTTGAACGAATTCTAACCGTTTAAAGTCAGTCAAAATCACGCCCAAAGGAGTCGGTTACATACATACAAACAAACATACAAGTGAAGCTAATATAAAGCGTGTAATAAGGGAGTGCAGGTTTCACAGTAAATATATAGCTATACAACAAAAAATATCATTTCTACTTACCCTTAATTCGTTGAGCCTCATGGTGGCTTTAGCCTGTATCTGAATTATGTGCTTCAGCAAGGCCTGGTTGGCCACTAGCGGCGCGTGGTGTACCTTGAGCAGGAATATCGCAAGTCGACAGAACAGCTCTGCGTTGTCACCCCGGTCTAGCAGCTTCGGCAGCATCTTCACTAAATCGCACGCAGCACTAAAAGGTATCAGTAGGAGGGCTTCTTCTAAATCACTGTAAAAACATAACAAAATACCACTTATATGTGAAGCTGTAGGTGAGTTCTTGTTCCACTTTTTCAACAAAAGACGGATATAGAATGTGATGTGATAGGTATATGTACTCATTACGTTTTAACAATGCATATACATGTTATCTTAGCCTCGTAAGTTCTGATGTTTCAAAAATAATGTTTAGTATCAATATTGAGTCTTTTAAAAGAACAAACCGTTTTTTCGCTTATCGTTTAATACATACCGAAGTTAAATTACAATCTTTATTTTTTATTATGCATGTAGATTCTGCTATCGTGTTTCGTACTAAAATTAACATCATGTTTAATTTATTTGTATTTTTTATAGCACAAAACTGCTTTCGAGGTTGAAAGACCGCCAAAATAAACAAAGCAGTAAGAAAAAGTTGACATAGGAGCAAAACATTGGGAAAAAATAAGTTACCTGGACTAGGCCTAGGTTAGGAGTCCATAGCGGCATACGTACCTGGAGCGTATCCTTTTAACAGTTTCTACGAGGAAGTCCTCGGGCGTGGCGCAGTTGTAGGCGGCCATGAGCAGCGGCGCCTGCACGGGCGCGCCGCGCGCTGAGCCCAGCTCGCGCTTGTACTCCGCGCCCACCGACAGACACTCCATCATCGAGTCCGCCTACGCTCGCAACAAACATGTGTATTTATTTTATAATTACCCCTTATTTATTTTATTAAATAAACGACGATAACACGATTTATGAGATAGAAAAAAACATATAGAAAAAAATTGCCTGTAAAATATATGTAAAAGTGTATGATGATATAACATATGGTGAATAATATATGGTGATAATAGTAGAATTATTATTATTATGCATAACGGGTGCAGTACTCTTAACATTTATCAAATATTTTTGGTGAAATTAACTACAAAATAAATAAGCACAATATTAATGAAAATAAAATTTATCTGAATTGGTTTTTAAAACTTGCGAAAATAAATTGCGCGCAAATGACATTAAAAGGGACAAATCTGGCATCGATACAAGCAAAATAATAATAAGAACCAAATAAATTTAGGAAAAAAACAGGATAGTAAGTATTTTGCTATAAAGAAATACTTACAGCTTTTTCTGCTCCAATAGTTTTTTTCGTTGGTATATTTATACCAGGTAGACCAGGAACTGGTGCCTGCAAAATAAGTTTTGATTACCAAATGCACTCATTTTAAATCACACTTAATAGCTATTTTACTCAATAAAAATACATTTTAGATAAATATTATAATGGAAGGCAGTTTTTGTAAAAGCAGAAAGTTTAAATCGCACATAATAAGTTCTTTGTGCAAGGACTTTTTGCCATAAATCCTGATTTTTTCTAATAGATGGATGTGTGGATGGATGGATTATAAAAACATCGATATCGGATGTATTGTTCTACTTCCATTAACAAACAAAAGTATAGTAACGAATTTCTCATTTGCAAAATTGTGATAATCGATCGTATCGATATAACACCGTGATAGCGAGGCGTCTAGCTTCTTATAGATGTACAGGCGAAAATTAAAAACGTAAAAAAATATTTATTTGATTATGAACTGCTAACAGCTGCAAGCTGATAATTATGTTTACATCTAGTGATAAAGAGATGTTCTATTTATTTTTATGTTTTAAATGTTCGTCACTTTTTTTGAACATTAAATTGTCCAATCATAGCCAGTTATCGAGAAGTTTAAAGAAGAGACAGAAACATGGTCCTCCGGCAGTGAGTTTCAATATGGACCAACTCTTTGTTGAAGAACTAGTGTGCTAGTAGTGTCAATATAAATAAAAAATAAATGGAATTCATCATCATCATTAACACAAATTCTATACCAATTCGTCTGGTCAGCGTGGTATAGTAGGCCAAAACCTCCTTCTCCAGGAGAGACTACAGACAGTGGACTATTAAAGGATGATTTTCGGTGGTTCGGGGCCAAATGAGAACCTAAGTGTGTCTTTTTTGGAAAACTGCATTACAGTGGTCCCCCGGGCGGTCATCAACTATATATTTCTAATATATAGTGTGTGATAGAGCGTAAAGAGACGTCACTTCTGTACAGAACTATTTTAATATGAATATAGGTAGAATCAGGCAGCGTGTCCATACGTGGTGCTCCCCGGTGGCGAGCCCGTCGTCCCGCTCGTCGGTGTCGCCGAGCACGAGCGGCTCCCCGCTGCGCGCCAGCAGGCGCAGCGCGCCGTCCGCGCCGCACGACGCGCCGTGCAGCGCGCCCGCGCCCAGCGACAGCGACAAGCACCCGCCGAAGTGCGACTGCGCAGGGGGGGGGACACTTTAGTTCCACGTGTTTTTTACGATATACAGACATTTACGGTTTTTAAACTAAGAAACGAAAGGTACATAATGACTTAGAGTTCCATAACTATAAATACGGTATGTAACAATAAGAAGCAAACTCAAAGAAAATGTAATCTTGCACCGAATGAAAATAAGTGAATATAGATTCGGGTGGTCTTTTAAGAGTTCTTTTAGTAATTTTATGATAGTAAAACTATTGTTAAATTTATCGAGGTGTCTAAATTCATGATTATATATTTCAACGCTTCGAAACTCTGGTTTTATAAAAAGCACTGAAAATAAATTCATTATGTTTTAACATCGACTCTCGACTCTAAAGGAACACTTGCGCCTAAAATTGGTCATGCGTTAAATGCATCTTTTGAGCCTTAAAGATGGGCGAAATTTAATACAAAAACATTTAACTATAAGTTAGTTTTTTTGGTTAAAGTTAACAAAGAGTGTCCAAAATACTCACATATACAGTAGTGATATTATCATAAGTGTCTGCATCCCACTGCTTCACTTTCCCATCCTTAGATGCCGTAAAGAAATAGTGCGTGCTCGGCACAAACTGCAACGCCGTCACAGAGTCATTGTGAGCGAATATAGATTTGTGGCAATCACCAAAATCCATGCCCCAGATCTTGACGTTCCGATCTGCAGAGCCGGTGACTATAATGTTTGAGTCGTAACTGATATCTAAACATAGAACTGGTAGCTTGTGTCCGTATAGGGATAGATAAAACTGTAAATAAAATATTTTGTTACAAAGTATATTACAATACAAAATGACTAAGCAAAAACCATTCGATTTAAAGACATGTGTTAAATAAACACTTCTAGGGTGACTTCGCACAAGCCTCACAGCTTGTATTTGTGTAAAATTACCATACCCATTTATCAGTAAAATACAGCAACACATAAACCTCATATATAATTTCGAGCAAATTAGGTCACGGAAGCAAAGCATTTTAAAGAAAAAGATGGTTCTATGGCTACACACCAACGACATTTAGACAAATGTTACCTTAAACGTGTCAAGGAAGAAAATCTTCACAGTGGAGTCCAACAAAGCAACTGCGATGAACTTATTATTCGGACTTATTTTAACTGCTAATACAGACTCCTCTAATTCTAGTGTTCTTGTATGTAGAAGGGATAACACCTGCAAAATACATGTACTTAATAATAATAATTATACAAACTGCATAAGCATACTGCGACTTTTTTAACTCAATGAATAATAGTAATATAAATAGAGATTGAAAAGCAGAATATGTAGCAATATATTGATATTATATATTGAGATTATTGAGATATTTGAGATTGAGATATTATATATTGTGTTATATACAGACATACCCCGTGGTATGTCTGTGATAACACAATATAGAAACAAATATATGTACATAGAACACTTCTCTCAAACATCGACTTACGTTAAGTTAAAAATATGATCATGTTATAATATTATAATATGTACCTTAGCTTTAGATTCTCCAGTCTGATCCGGTATGAGCTCGAAAGACCATAACTTTACAGTCTTATCACTACCGCCGGAGTAACAACCTCGCTACAAACAAATATATGATAGTAAAAAAAAAAGAAAAAAAAGTTTTTTTTTGTTAAGAAAGGCACAAGTTATTGAATAAGAAAGACAGTCCTATATTCCTACCTAATAACTTTAATGCGAAAGTGATTTTATCTATTAGTATGATGGTTTTTCACACGTAAACTATTCAACCAAGCGTCTTGAAATTTTTCACGCATGTTAAAAGTATAGATTACCATAGGTCTCCCCTTTCATACCTAACTTCATTGACAATGTTAAATTTACACGCCCGAAGCTTGTGGTAAAAGTTAGTAAACTATATTTTAGGAAAAAAGTTAAGTAATATGATATGAATGGTTGAATCTATTTCTGGGAATCTCATGGAATTAATTTCACGATTGCAAGTCTTGGAAGTAACATGATATGGTTGCAAGTATTTTATTTTTACGAAAATAAATAATGAAACGTTACTAACCATATCCGGCGAAAGTCCGACGGACGAACATTCACCGGTGTGCGCGGGCACCGGCTCCAGAACTCGTCCGGCGGCCACGTCGATCAGCAGCAGTGTACCGTCCGCACATCCCACCAGAGCGTGCCGATCTCCCGGGGCGAAACAAATACTACAGGGACGATCACGGGGCATTGGGATTGTGCGGAGACAAGATTGATTTGCCCTGAAAATAAAAATCTACTGTAGATTTAAGAAACAATTTTCATGCCGTCTTGTAGGACGGGTACTTTAACAAACTTTGAAAGCTTGGAGTAAAACGGAACCTATATTTCGGTCGAATTAAACCGACCTTGGTCATGTATATGTGTACAAAAAGATAACCGTCCTTTATTATAATAGTATCCTTATAATAGTATACGTCACTCTTCTATAGTTATAGAAAGAAATAATTACCTAAGGAGGAATGCGTGGTACAAACTCAACGTCTTCTGTTCATCTGGTAATTTTAAACTTATTTATGTGTACGTACTTGCTTGTGTGCTTGTATGTATGTGAGCACCTATGCGTACACAACTATATACACGACAATAACATACCAAAAGATTATTGCCCGCAAATCGCTTGTAAAAACTTATAAAATACGAGCTTAGGATACCATCAATTATAGTTTAATTGATGGTATCCTACACAAATATTCCTGTTAAGCGAATGTATGACTTACCTGCTCCACAATTTGATGGAGTCAGCCGATGCAGAAAGTATGGCAAGGTTATCCGAACTGATGGCCACGCATCGCGGCTCTTTTTTGTGGCCTGGCTGAGTTATTTGTTTTAAACATTGCACTGAAAAAAAGTATATATGTTGACAAAAACCTTTCGGCCATATTGGAAACTAATGGTTGGAAACCAGTTTTCAAAACAGAATTATTTATCTTTAATCGAAACTTGGTTTCCAATAAAGAAAAATAATTCTGTTTTCGAAACTGGTTACCAACTCCAGAAGGTTGGATCTTCTTTTGAAACTCTTCCAACTCAGAAAACCTTTCTTCTGTACAATGACAAGAAGTCATCTCACTATCAGATACTATACACAGATACTAATGATAGACATTATGTGTTGATTATTTAATCCTAAATGAATTGATTTATTTTTTTAAAATATTAGTTCGAGCAGTGGTTAGTTTCTAAAATTGTGTTAAAATGAGTGGAGTAATAGAATTAATTTCTACAATACGAGGTGGTATGGCTGGAATTTCCTAGCTACTTACAGCCAGGAAATTCTTTCTAATCAAGGAGTTTGTAGTTAGATTTGAAGTATCAAGAGAAGATTTAACATTCTGTGTTCGTAACCAGTCTCGAAAACATAATTATTATTCTTTATTGGTAACCAGGTTTCGATAAAAGAGAAATAATTCTATTTTGAAAACTGGTTTCCAATCATTAGTTTCCAATTTAATTATTCCAGATTATAAATTATAATTTGCAAACACTTTTTTTTATTAAAGTAACCACACCTTACAATGGAAAAGCTTCAAGTTGCTCAACAATTTTTTTTATATTTTAAATGTGTTATGTTTTTAAAAGTCTTGAGGTTTGCTGGTTAATCAAATTAAAAAAAAACAAGGTTTCTTCATATGAGAAACTTACCTTCATTTCCTTCGCTGACCTTTAAGCTATGCAACTCAACAGTGTTATTGGCTAGAGTGACTCCCAGACGTAGTTCCCCGGTAGTGCCGAGTAATAGACTAACGGACTTCAATTTCTCATTCAGCTTGACTAAAGTCAGTCGCTTCACTTCGTCCGATAGTTTCAACAGTTCAGGTACTTCTGTTGTTTCGACATTCGCTTCACCAGTCTCCTTTAATTTTCTGGAAGAATAAATGATGTAAGTTTTTAAATCATTTTAGCTTTGTTCCGTGAGAATAACAAGTGCATTTCACTAAAACGTAACAACTGTACCGCAAAACTTGTGTTGTAAGTACTTGTCACCTGTTGGTAAGTGACTACCGACGCAAAATCACACTCGCGACTCAAGGGACACAAGCGAATTGCAACCTTTTAAATGGCAATGTCCGGGAAGACCTGAGTGATCTCCTTCCCCGAATTACGGGAAAGATCACTCCGGTCAATGCGATCACATGCGGTTCGGATCACAGGAAGTTTTTTGTTTTTAATAGACGACATCCGCATTAGGAATCTGAACCAGAAAAACTCAGCGCAGAAGTAAGCGGCGTGGTGACCGCTCAAACCACTACGCCATCCGTGCAGTTATTATAGCTCTCCTGCGGTGGTTACTGGTACACTTTTCATGACACAACATATTTAATACCTACCATATTTTTTTATACTTACGTCAATTTTTTTCTTTGTTTCTTGACACGTTTGTTCATTCTTACTTTGGCTTCTTCGTCAGAACAAAATGAGAACAGTTCCAATAAAGAGTCAGTGCCATGACAAGCCAATATGCTTTGGCCAGGATCCGTAACGAGATTTACTACTCGACCTTTTCCGCTTCGCACTAGTGTGCCTACTTGGTGGCATTGTAGTACCTGGAGGCAAAAACAGTCTTTCAACAATTTTGTAGCGAATTAGTTTTTCTGGTGTTGATTCACATTTCCAAAAAAAAAGAGAGATATATGCTGTTTAGTGCTACGGTTGTTTTAATGATTCAAGACAGAGATACATATTTAGGATATGTATTTAAGAAGATTTCACACCTATTCTTTTCTTCTTCAATCTAAACATAATATTTCATCATAGAAAATTTTCATGTCAAAACCTATACTCACCGATGACTCTTCAATGTTGTCGGTCTCTTCAAGCTTTACGATTTCTAGTTGTCGCACAAGTTTCTCTTCATCTTTCGAATCACTTGTCCAGTTTAATTTCCATACACGTAGAGACTGGTCCATACTGCCCGTAACTAAATATCTTTCCTCTTTCAGTAATACTGCAGACCACACCTTTAATAAATTAATTAATTACTTTCAAGATAAAAGATAAATTTACAAAAAATGTAATGTGTAACAATGTAAACAGTAGTAATGGGCATTAATGCTAATTAGATTTAATTTAATTAATTGCGAATTCTTATGTCTACGCTTGTTAATTCCTAATGTTAATATTGCAATGAATTGAGAAATAATGCAATATAGGGTTTGTTCGCGATATGCTAGCCTTCGTCAATTCGTCTCTTAACACTATCTATTTACAGAAAATATCCCTATCTATTCACCCCAAATAAAATTGTGAAAAGGGTAGGCAGATGATGATCCCTATCTATTTACAAAATACCTATTTACAACGAACACGTCACACTCTTCAAAACGTAAATTAGGTAATTTTTTAAATTTTATTTTAAATTTTTAAATTTGGTCATAGAATTGATACCTATAAAGTTTTTGTTAATAAGAAGTTGAATTTTAAAGGAGGTATACCAACTTTCAACAATTCAATAAAACACTTTGAGAAAACAAAGTAATTCGGAAAATTCGGAAATTAAAAATTCAATGAATGATATTAAAAATATATTTTTGAAATAAACAATCCTAAATACGTTTATTTCTTTTAAAATCCTTAAATAAAATCCTGTAAAATCCTTTGCACTTTCAGAAATAGCATTCCGTATTCCGAGCGAAATAAGTACCTAAACGTGATAGCAGACGGTTCATTTAGCAATTTAGCGTTAGCAGTTGTATTAATATTTTAGCACGACGATTTATCTAATTAAATTTAGTCTTCGCGCTGATGCGAAAAAAAGCACGCCCCGTATGAATGTGAAGTGTTAACGTATTAATTCATACGTTCACGAAATTTCACGACTACAATTATTTGCCAAATTGCTACCTAAGAATTCACAATTAAATATGAGTGTGAAGACTAATTATGCCATCACTAGGAAACAGTTATTTATCTACACACTTATTTACCTCCATTTGATGTCCTCCTAGAGTCTTGAAGCAGTGCTTCGTCTCAATATCCCAAAATTTGACAAATGTGTCTTTTGACGAGCTTACAATGCAATTCTTGCCATTAATGAAGAGAGCACTAGTTATGACTCCCTTGTGACCACTAAAGCGAGCAACACCTGTCTCCGAAACTACATCCCAGAGGATTACTTCTGTATCCTGTAAATTAAAATTCGATTTTTTCATACACATATCTATTATTAATTCAGTACCAGTTAAGCTGTGAATGTGGTAGTATCGGCATAGGGGCAAATTCAGGTTTATTTAATGGAGAAAGACCAAATATATTTCACTAGCTTTTGCCAGCAGTCCCACCCTCGTGGTTATAGCCGTAAAAAGTATATAAGCCTATGTTACTCACTGATAATCTAGCTTTCCATTAGTGAAAGAATTTTTAAAATTGGTTTTAGTAATTATAATATAAGTATGTAAGAATGTATGTAAACAATTACTTGCCAAAATATTAAAACTTTTTTATCACAATAGAAGCTTTATTATCATAGACCATATAGACAACATACTGCATTAAAAATCTTCCTAGAGTGTAAGTGTAGAGTAATCATTCAGTCTCCATTGTTTATGATTCAATTGAATTTGAGGGAGCTTTGATTGAGCTAGGTTGTTATACAACACAAATACTATTTCAATTTGAACACAAAGTAGATGTCTAAGACAGGTCAAAAGTTATTTCACTACATGTGTCACAACTGTACTGAATTCATTTTTTTCCAAGTATTATATACTCTATAGTTTTTAACGGCTTTGCCACAACCAAGGTGACTGATATACCTCTTGTGATTAGCAGAAAAGATGAACAACTATTGATGTTGTGTCGATATTAGAATTCTTTGTTTATAATTTATTAAGGGTGTTGATTACACGCAACATCATAATCTGAGTTTTACTGCGACATTTACAACTTGTATTAAAATAAAACAGATTACTAACCTTAGCACCGGAAACCAGACGATGACCCTGCTCATCATATTGCAAACAGGTAACTGCAGATTTGTGTCCAGCAAATACACATACAACATCACTATTGGTCAATTCAAAAACATTGATGTTCCCATCTACATATCCAACAGCTATATGATTACCACTAGGACTAGCTGCTATCTGTGAAACTACTATATCCTCACCAGGAAGAACTTGGGCCTGAAATTATAAAATCACCATTTATATGCATAATGCAACTTAATTCATGTTCACAAGACAATAAGTGATTATGACTTTGTATCAGAAATTACATGGATAGTATGTAAAGGCCAATTTTTTTACTAGAACTGAATAAATTTGGTTCAATAGGAGAGGCCTATGTCCAGCAGTGGACTGCAATAGGCTGATGATGATAAATAAATAATTTTTCTCATGTGTTTTTTTTTCAAAGTCTTAAGTCATAAGTGCATTGCCACCCCTTAAATCCTCCCCCCAGAATTAGGGGAGAAAGGGTTTGGGCTCAAGTAAACGAACTCACTAGGAGAAGAGCAATGAAATCTGCAAACATTGGTATCATTCTGATAGACCTGGACCATTTGTGCACACATGACACAAACAAAACTAATGACCAAAAGAATTTCGGCGGGTTTGGGTGTGCTCCAATAGGCCAAAATCGTACGCTCAAAAACGTACCAAACCTGGTACGCTCTCCTGTCCGGAGGGCGTGCATGGCGAATGGTCATGGGGGAGAGCGCAAGGATGAAGGTGAGGGGAGAGGTGGGCAACCACCTGCATGTTTGTGCCGTGTGTCCTGGTAGTTGAGGCGAAAGGCAACTGTGACACTGCTTTAGCCTGGATTTCACATGACACGGGAGGCTGAAGGCTAGCCACCTTTGATCAATCGGCTGAATCAATGAGACTCCAAGTGAGGACTTACACACAAGTGGCTGCTTCTCGGGTGAACAACCTGATCGTAGCGCCATCAACCACCCCGGCGACAGCTCCGGCCAGAGTAGGGCTATTTGAAACGCAACTAGCTTACCAAAGAGGTCAAATACCTAGTAATACTGGACAGTAAACTCTTGTGGAATAAATACCTCGGTGAAAAACTAAACAAAGCCTGCATTGTCTTCTGCCAATGCAAAACGGCTACTCAGCAAAAGCTGGGGACTATCGCCAAAGACAACTAAAGACACTATGGCTCTATGGAATAGTCATATGACCAATAATCACTTACGGTGCTATTGTCTGGTAGGAGAGAACAGAGCTAAGCACCATCATAAACAGCTCCAGAGTGGGGAATATGGCAATTTCAGCTACTCCCATGCTCTGCGGTCACTGGCTTTATGTAAACAACACCTACTGCCACACTAGAGGTGGATTTGTTCATACAGGAGGAGGCCTCTATGGATAAATGGGATTGCACTCCAAATTATGGGATAGTGGAATACAAAAAACTAATAGCAGCCTCATGTGATAGAATCCCAAAATACCCCAAACATCCAAAAGATACAAGATTGATATACCTACAAGAAAGCGACTAAGATCAATTATTAACCAATTATAGACGGACAGTTCCATGACAAAGTCAGGAACAGGAGCCGGAGTTTTCTTGCAAGACCTAAATATGAACATATCACTACGGTTAGGCCAACGCATTTTCATTTTCTAGTGAGATTGTGTTGAAATAACTTACGCCGCCACAACAGTCATGTCAAGGACAATACTATCTGACAGCATGGCCGTCCTAAAGGCACCAGAGGGCAACACTTTGCAGAGGATGTCTGAAAGCAGAAGAAACGGTCGCCCACGTAATCCTGGAGTGGCCATGCAACGGGCAAGTATCATTCCTGATACAAAATCGCTCCTAGAATGTGAATGCCCCAGGAGGCTTCTGCGCTTCTGGAAGGAGACTACCTGGCTCAACTAGCCAACCTGTCCTTGACGCAGAAAGGACCATTCTTGAGTCTAAATGAGGAAACCGGAGCACACAACCATTACCACTACCAAAAATGACCAAAAGATAGTGTAGACTGTTGCATGTCAATTAAACATAACTTGAAATTTAACTTTGATAAACGTATGTAATAGTTATCATTCTATTCTAAACCAATGTATCACATGAAAACGGAGTAATACTAAATTAAAACCACGTTACCTTCTCGCCAAGTCTCATATCCCAAATAATAACATGTTCACACGCTCCGACCGCAACATATCTACCGCTTATTCCGTTCAACGAAACATGAATACAGTTACAATCGCCACTAGCAATAACGTTAAAAGTGCCACTGGGCACATAACGTAAATATTGCTTGGTAAGACCCATGCTTATTTTATAATTTTTAACTACTTTAACCTCAAACTCAAACTAAATACTGAGTATGAGTACACTGACACATTTTGTTTGTTATGAACATTTGACATTTGTAGGGCAGAGAATCTTTATGACACGCAGATTTATAGAGGTGGTCCTCTACACGAGATATCCATAAACAACCATAATAAAGGCGGTTTGTGAATATTAATTACAAATCAACATAGTTTAGAAGTATTACTACCAATTAGGAAATAGACATTTTTTTAAGCAGGACTTTAATCATCGCATTAGTAATATGTATTTTGAAGGCACATTGCTTAACCACGATTCAATTCTAATAATCTTGGTCGTGCTCTTAATGTTTAGGAGATAGAAATGAGTCAAACAAACGTATTATATGATTACTACTAATTATTAATGACTAATGGAATAGATATAATAAAGATACATATTATAGAGATAAACAAAACAAAATTAATATTTAGAAAATTAGTAGGTACAATAAACGATGCATAGAAAACATCCGTTACTCTAACTAATATAAAAAGTTTATTTCTAAAGGTAATTAGATTTATTTTTTGATTTTATTACCTAGTGATTTTGATAGATTCGATTTCTTATATGGCAGTCACAATCGTACAAACTCTCTGAGTACTATAAAGTTATCTGTGGTACAGTACGTGAAGACAGTACTTTTGTCTGGCAACTCTTTATGTGCTTACTGGATTACTGAATTTTATATTTTAGCTCGTGTTTCGCAAAAGAATTATATCCAGCATAGCATACCTTTCGTAGCTTTCGTATGCTTTCGCAGTGCGATTTGCTTTAGATATTAATATAATTATAAACCTGAAGTTATATTTTTCATTCTGCGTATTAAATACACAAGATTGCCATCAGGTTATTATGTTACTCAACAAAACCAGGTTTATTGTTTTTCTTGTTGATCCAACGTGACGTCCCTTTCCAAAATATGTTGCATTTATGAAAAACTGTCGACCCACCATTCATTAAAAAATACGTGATTGTGTTTGCAGGCTGGTGGGATTCACTAATAGATCCCACAAGAGCAATATGGAGGGTAATTCCACGTCAGATATTGTGATCCTCAGTGGCAATTCGCACCCTGAACTGGCTGATTTGATCGCTAAGTAAGTTTCACCTTTGAATAAGAATTTTGATGAGTTTCAAGGTTGGAACTATTGACTTAATGTTTGACTCTTGCAGAGGTTAAGTAGTATGACCTCATTTGTAGAGTATTGTATACTATATAGGATAAATTTAATTAAGTATATTTTGCAATAATGACATTAATATGTTTTATTTTAGCCGACTTGGTGTAAGAAAGGGAGGATGTTCAGTATACCATAAAACCAACAGAGAAACTATGGTTGAGATTGCTGACTCTATTCGTGGAAAGAACATTTATATTGTTCAGACTGGAACAAAGTGGGTATTGTTTTCCTGAAACAGTAATGTGAACCTTATTGAGTGAAGTTTACAGCTCATGCTCAGTATAATATCTATGTAGTCATATTTGAGAACTTATAAATATAATATTTGTGAACTATGTTAGAAGTGTTTATCTTACTATAACAACAAAGAGACACTTTGTTAAATATTTACAGAAGCTATAGTAGCTTTTTGAATAAACATTGTTTTTATAGTATCTACACTGTAAGAATTTCACAGTCAGACATTGATGTTGTATGCCAGATGAACTTTTATTTTTGCGATGGCAGCCATTAGCATTAATCCTTTTTAACCGACTTCAAGGGAGGAGGTTCTCAATTCGACTGTATTTTTTTTTTTTTATGTTTGTTACCTCATAACTTTTGACTGGGTGAACCGATTTTGATGATTCTTTTTTTATTAGAAAGCTGGTGCTTCCCGTGTGGTCCCATTTCAATTTGGTCTAGTTCTGACCATGGAATCTATGAGAAAACCATTGAAGTCGGTTTTTTTTGTTAAAATTTTACTTGTTGCTAAACTGTTTGAGTTAAAGTTTCCTTCATTAAAATTTCTATTACAAAGTGTTTATTGTAAGAATATAGAACTATTTTATCAATAAACTCAGTAATAAACTGTTTATTTGCAGAGATGTTAACAACAACATAATGGAGCTGTTAATAATGGCTTATGCTTGTAAGACTTCATCTGCTCGGTCTATTGTAGGGGTGATTCCATATTTGCCATACAGTAAACAGTGTAAAATGAGGAAAAGAGGTTGCATTGTCACTAAACTCCTGGCTAAAATGATGTGTAAGTCTGGCTTGACACATATTATTACAATGGACTTACATCAGAAGGAAATTCAGGGTTTTTATGAATGTCCAGTTGATAATTTAAGAGCATCTCCTTTCTTACTTCAGTATATTCAAGAAAGTGTAAGTACAATTTGCGATTTCTATTTAATTTTTAATCATTATTATTATTGAGATATATATTAAATAATAAATACTTATTGCTGTCATACACTTTGCATCCATATTAGCAATGTGACACTTCAAGTGTAGTATAAAACCTTACAAGTGTAAAACAACAACAGAATTGATAAGTATGTACAAGTTTACTAAACTTCAATATTGTAAAGTAAAAATAATAGCAGTGTGATAAATAATCATTTGAAAAGTTTTTATCTGTATTCATTGTAGCATAGTACATTCATTGTATGGGCTGGCTTAGATGACTTGTTGTTTGTTAAAATTACTTATTAAATGTGTGCATCAAGTTATCCAATTTTTTTAAAGAAATTAGTGTGCATTTCGTCAGATATCTTTTCTATTCAAATTTTTATTTTTAGCTCCAAACTTTAGGTAATTATATACATATCAAATTTTAAAATTCAGTTTTATATTTTTTAAATATTTTAGGTACTGCACAATTATCACTATTACTAACCAGACAAATTTAAATAGTCTGTGATAAACATGTTAAATTACTATTGTTAAAATTTTTAAAGATCTCTTGGTTTTACAAGAGCATCAAAGTTGGGCTATAATTAGTCCAAGCAAAAACTGCAACCATTGAGTAATGAGGCAAGTGTGCAATTATTCTAACTTACAATTAAAGATTAACTATTGATTAATTAAGTAATAGTATCTACCACAATTAACAGTTGATACTTAAGAATTGTGACAACTCGACTTTAATTAGCCTTTGCAATAATTGCAGTTGTTTTATTCTAAACATCTAGCATTTTGCAGTAAATTTAGTAAATAAATTCTTCATTGTTTTTAGACTCAAGGTTATAAAACAAACAATTAACTGAATTGCTATGGTGTCTAAATAAACATATAAATAGAGTGACATGAAATTCTGTACATTTTATTGTTTAATAGGAGCATTTTGATTAATTCTGTACAGTAATCAAATAATTACTATTTAGATTCCAGATTATCGCAACTCTGTGATAGTGGCACGTAACCCCGGGTCTGCTAAGAAAGCCACATCATATGCAGAGAGGTTAAGGTTAGCTATAGCTGTCATTCACGGTGAACAGAAAGAAGCTGAAAGTGATGAAGTAGATGGACGCTACTCTCCACCATGTTTACCTAAGTAAGTACCCTATAATTAAAACATGTAGAAAATTTATTGGTAATGGATTATAGAACCTTCATACGCCTTCAGTTGAACTGTTTCTTCTGCAAGCAAAGCCCCTTAGGACATTTTTGCCCTAACCTGAGGTCCCTCCCTAATTTTAAATAAATGATTAAAGCAGCAAAAGGCTATGTAGAGCTCAAAACAAACTCCAGTCGCCTTAACTCAAGGTAGTACAGATTCCATTCTAGCAAAAGCAGGCATACAATTGGGGCACATAATGTGAGTAGTGAATGGAAAGTTTTGATAATATATCATTATGTCATATCTGATCGAAAATTTAATGCAGACACAAAAGTTAAATGCTTTTTATTGTGACATACTTAATAACAAAAATAAATATGTGTGTATAATAGTGGATGATATACTGGTACTTATGTGTAACATCTCTATAGTAGGTCTCGCACCATGGATGTGTCTGTTGGTGTACCTGGTAATCCAGCTAAGGAAAAGCCACCAATAAATGTAGTTGGTGATGTAGGTGGCCGAATTGCTATTATGGTGGTAAGTGTCTCAATACATCCTATTGCTTTGTTAATGTCACTTGAAGATATTTTTAACATAGAAGTTTTCTTTAGTTTAATTCAAATACTTGTAAAAATTTAATATCAGAAAAAGAAAACCAAAAGAAATTGTGTTACGTAAACTTGGTCACAGGTTATCATATAGGTTTTTGTTTTAAATAATCAAATGTCATTATCCCTTTTAAGTAAGAGTAAGTACTGCTGATCTGTGCCTTGTGCCTTACAGTTAGTTACATTGAGTCTTTATGTATGTTTGTAGGACGACATGATAGATGACGTACAGTCTTTCGTCGCCGCGGCTGAGGTCCTCAAGGAATGTGGAGCTTACAAAATTTACGTGCTTGCTACACACGGACTGCTATCTTCAGATGCTCCACGGCTCATTGAAGACTCGCCGATCGACGAGGTGGTCGTCACAAACACAGTCCCACACGAACTTCAAAAGATGCAATGCAACAAAATCAAAACCATCGACATATCAGTACTCCTCAGTGAGGCAATCCGCCGCATTCACAACAAGGAGTCCATGTCATATCTCTTTAAAAATGTTACCCTTGAAGACTAAATAAGTTTTCTGATTTCCATGTTATAATTCTAAGTATTAATTTAGTATTATGTTCCTGTTTGAGTTTTATAATCATTGAACTTTTTTAAATATTGTGGAACAACCAAATTCTTATAGGCCATATATATTACACACTTGCCAAGCCTCTACAAGTGTCCAGAAACACGAGTGTGTAAACGGGGAGTTTGGCTCGGCTTGCGTGAGCTTGTCGTCGATCGGGACGAGTGGCGGTTTTTGAAGGAAGATCACAGATCTAAGGAAGGTTTAGTCCCGCCGTTTATATTTTGACTAAAAATTTGTCCATGTCTGCTATATTTGCCTGTCCGGAACACACTCGCAAGCGTGTTAATGGCATCCAAGCGTTTGTAAAGGCTTGGAGATGAGGACATTTGTCGAAGTCTTGGCACGCATGTAAAATAGGCATTAGTGTAGTAATGTAAATACAAAATACAAGTTTTTTTGCTTAGACAGTCTAAGTAAAAAACTTGTATTTTACATTCAGAGAAATATTCCATAAGTATTACGAATTTATACCTCAGTGATTATAAAGGTCTTAATGAATGAGTATATAATTCCTTTTTTTGTATAGTTAAATGTACCATTATATCAAATTACTTCATATTACGGTTTTAAAACCAACCTAAATACAGTTTATACAGAAGAAATGTAGAGTTATACATTTATAACTTTTGAAAAGTTTATTCATTTTATGCAGAATGTTATTTTCTTTTTTCATGGAAAATATTATTAGTGTTCCGTACCAATTCCAGCTTCTTCACCTTTACCACTAAAATACCTTTACTATTATAGAGTATTAGCCCTTTAGACTGTTATGGGTCTTTGAAGTGTTATTTGTAGATAATTAATCTACAACTTTCTTTTTGTATAATATTTAACGGACTTCTTAAGTGTCACTCACTATATCAAGTGTATCACATTCAAAAATAGTGTTTAAGTTTAGCTTCATAATTTAGGTTTAATATTAAGTCTGATCAGGTCAAGTACCATGAATTACTGTATAATACGGAACATTAATCAATACATATAAAATTTCTTTACATATTGGCAGTGGGTGGGCTAAAGCTAAGTAAATGACTGCAGTCATTTAAACTGTTTTGCTGTAAACATGTAAAGTCAGCAATATGAAATTAAACTTCTGTTGGTAACCTAACAGAAAAAACTTGTTAGTTCTGAATTGTTTGTAATAGGAGAAAAGTTTGAATATTTAGAAAGAATGTTAAAATAATATTTGAGTCTATTCTTTTCTGCTTGTTGTCGTATATCTTCGTCGCTTCAGTGAATGATTATTAGGTAAATTATAGAATTCGTCTTATAATTATTGAGACACTCCTAAAAACAAATTGAATAATATTTATATTTTTATTCGACTTGTATTCATGAGTATGTTGAAGTATGCATGAATTGATTTGATTAAAGTGCAACATCTTTGGAATAGTAATACATATATAAATAAATGAATCGCTAAGATGACGCCGTGTTATTTGTATTACTAATAGACTATATCTAAATAAATATGTTTTGTGGCATGGCAAAAGTTTTTAATTAATAACCTTTTTAGATAACTTGATGACATATCTTAGACTCTTGGCGAGTGCAATTTGACGTTATAAAAGAACCAACGAATCCCTAGCTTCGGTGAATGAATTATTAATGTCATAAACTAAGAAGTTCATCCATTGAAACTAAAGCGAATTTTTTAGTCGCAGGCAGTTGACGTGATTACGTGGGTACCTGCATGAATGGCGTAGCGATTTAGGCGGTCACCTCGCCGCTTCCTACAGTGTTGCAGGTTCGATCCCCACCTGGGAAACACTGAGTGATCTACAAATTGTTGTTCTGGATTTAGGTGTTCTTTGTCTGTTTCATAAATGTGTGTAAAATTTCCCGCGACACAGGATATATTTATAAGACAACTCCCGCACTAAGTGGTGCGGGAGTTGTCTTTAAAAAAAAACAAAACTACAATGTGAAAATAGTACAATACGTGTAGAACATCAAATAAAGTGGTCTAGACCGAGACTGAAGTGATGTCCAAAACTCATTCTTAAAGATGCATATGAACTTATCAGTACTTGCCGTTAATCATTACATATAGTTAGTACTTTGCTGCCTGCAGCCGTACTCAATTGCCAGAAAAAAAATGTTTATTAATAATCAGACCCCAGTCTTATTTACAAAATTAGAAGTGCAATAGTACTGAATACAGCTACTATTCCGGGTACCTTTGTTGCCAGGCATTTCCGCATCGTCGTCATGGCAAATCGAAGGGAAATAAACAGAAGACTGACGAAAAAAAATGTGTGCGTTACCCCAGCAAAATAATGTCGAAAATGGTCATTTAAACTTTATAGATAATTAGTTGCTCCCCTTCTGTAATTGTTAAGCACATTTTTAAATTTGTTTCACTTAAACTTTTTTAGTTATTTCAAAAAAACATTTCCTGCTGGAGTAACGTTTGAAACGTTACCGCAGCCAGACATTTTCTTTTTTAATTGTAATATTGAAATAAATTTTAGCTGAATAATTAGTTATCTGGACTAGGTAAATGTTACAACTTATTTGGTATTTGTATTTTCTTCGGTTGCGAAGTTATTCGAAATCCTGCTGGAGTAACGTTTGTGGGTTTGCTGGATCTCTGAAACGGGTAAGCGGATTGTAACCATCTTTTGTACATAACTTCTTAAGGATTAGTTTTAATTTGTTCGACAATAAAATAACAAAAATAATGGACCGTTTAAAAATTATTTAGGTAAGTATGAAAACACTTAAATACGTCCTAACACTTTAAATAAGACCTCTTAAGACTTACTTGAAACGTTATGCTATTGCTTGTAACTACCTTCAAATGTATACGAATTTTCGTAAGAATACTGTAAGTGACTAAAAAGTTATGATGAAATGTAGCTCTCCACGTTCACGATCACAATGTGTGCGGCCTTTTTTGGCCACCGATAAACCTGTGTGTGGATATATAAACTGAATGTTATGCCAATAATTAGTTGTTTAGTTCAGTTGTCTACCTGTAAAATTTCAGCGTAGTACATATAATAATTTACGAGATAATTAAATAAAAGTCATTAGAAGGTGCAAGACCGTGGTAACCCGACCATGTTTAGGTGGTTACAAAAAAGCGATCACCCAGTACATTGTGCTGGCTTTTAAAATATGTAGGATATTATTTGCAAGTTTACTACGGATATGTACATAAGTGTTACAAAAAACTACATGTTTTTTAAATATTTTTTTATTTAGGATTGTTTATTGCATAATTAGTAATCAGCCGGGAGATTAGGTATTGTTTTGAATGCTTTTGTTTTCTCGTAATGTTTAGGTGAATTGTTTATAGTTGTTCATAGAATTGGTACCTGCGTAGTATTTGTTAATTGAAGTTTAATTTTAGGGTAGGTATAGGTAATTTAAGAAATATGAAATGAAATGATAAGTTTTGAAGAGTGTAACGTATGCGTTGTAAATAGGTATTTTGTGAATAGATGGGGATTTTTTTAAGTGATGAATCGACTTAGGCTAGCATTTCGCGAACAAACTCTGTATTGCATTATTTCTGTAATAATATTGGAGAAAATAAAATATTTGATCACAAAATCGCGGTGAGTTAAATTATAATAAAATAAATTATTTATGTAAAATTAGTAATAAGTGATATACCTACCTAAAAGATATGATCGTTTTTAATTTGTTCACCCTGAACGAAATTTCAATATTAGCATTAGTAATTAATATCCTAAGACAAGAATTGACAATTACTTAAATTGAATCGAATTAGAATTAATGCCTATTATTAGTAATTAGGTACACACATATTGAAGAACTCTCAAGAATACGATAAATATTTGCAAAAATAGAAAGCGGAAGCGCACACGTACTTTACAACACGTATATTATCTGCCTAAGGGTCAAGTTTAGTGCACTAGATGCAAATTGCAAACAATGAAGTATCCCTTCGCCCCTCCCCTCCCGCGTTCTAGCGAAGGATGTATTATCAGCGATTCTTGATTGACAAATATTATCTGACCAATAATTTTATCTATAAAAATGTATCACTTTCACTCGATAAATTAAATTTCCGTTATTATATCAAAATATCATTCAACAACTGTTCGTTTTTAACAGAAATCAACAGTAACGGGCTCAACGCTTAACGGTAGGTACATAGGTATAGATAATTCTCGGTTCTAGGTATAGACCACAGAACAATATTACCTACTCTTACGAGGTATACGTCTGTTGGGCGATGCAATGTTGATGCATTCTAATTTACAACTGTATTCTTCTACTATTCGGTCTATTTTAACTTATTGTAGATAACTTGTTGCTTTAAATATTTTGATGCATTCAAGTCTAAGCTCTATACACCCCAAAATAAAATACAATTACTTTAATGTTATTTCTTTACAAAAAAAAAATCAAACAAATGAAACGATTTCTTATTGGTTTAAATTTTCGTTTTATTGCAGTCAGGTGAATCGTTCATACATGTATCTACATATTTATAATTTTAGCGGACTAGTGCAGATTTTCTGTTGATTGTAGCTCCGGTAGTAAAAAAGACTAAATAAATTTTAAGTAAAGAAACTAGTGCTTAAGATCAATTAGGGAAAAAAACAAAATAAATAATAGGTCATAATAATGAATAAATATTGAATGTATTTAACACTGTACGCAACTGTACCGAAATCGTAAGGTGTATTACACTAAACATTTTAAAAGACAGCGCAATGTACTGGGTGATCGCTTTTTTGTAACCACCTAAACATGGTCGGAATACCACGGACTTGGACCTTCTAATGACTTTTATTTAATTATCTCGTAAATTATTATATGTACGACGCTGAAATTCTACAGGTAGACAACTGAACTAAACAACTAATTATTGGCATAACATTCAGTTTATATATCCACACACAGGTTTATCGGTGGCCAAAAAAGGCCGCACACATTTTGATCGTGAACGTGGAGAG